CCGAAATTTTCAGTGCCGCCCTCGTATAACTGAAAAGAACAAAATATTACAGAGCTGAGCTAGTTTATAGGTTTAAATGAGAAATGTGACTTTTATAGGTCAAAAAAGTTCCAAGAGTCGAGAAAAAAAGATGAAATGTTAATTGCAGTTGGCAAGAAAGATATTATTGCACTTTACTGAAAGTTTCTTCAGAAATTAAAAAACATAAAGGAAGTTTCCTTAATAAGTTCTTAACTAACCTTCACGCGTCAGCATGAAAATTATAAGTCATAGATACTGAAAATGTTTGGATTTTTTGTTCTTGAAAATATGTACTTAAGTAATACCTGCCATTGCGCTTATCTTCTGGAAAAGAATGCTCTAAGGAGTATTTTAAGAATAAATAAGCGAATCAAATGAAAATGCTCAGTGTGGTAGACGAAGGCACGTGTGTTACTGTTACTGACGTCAAACGATAGCGAATAAGTGGCTCCATCGTTATCGTTGCGTTTACATATTAAACAGAGTTAAAATACAAGGAAATTTATCAAAATGTAAATTTAGCTATACACTGTATAAAAATTCAGCGAAGCGAAGATCTCTGCAACTCCTATGTAGCCAGATATACAGCCTGTCCATCCAACCAAACGAAGTGAGACTACATAAGTCCCAGTGAAAAGTTAACCTGTACTACTCGTAGTACATTAATACATTAATAACAATGACTAACATCAAACTAATTGATTCATTCACCATTATCATCGCGAACTTTGTTTCGTCAAACAATAACTCAATCCCAAACAGCGATAATGCGTTCTGATCGCATAGAAACAAGTATTTATCTCAGGAGCCGTCAGTTCAGAAATGAACAAAAGGCTTCCGGACGAGCCACTACAGAATTAGAATGAGTAAGCCTTTATTAATTTATTAGTTATAGTCTACTTTGCTTGATATCTTATTTATTATTAGCAGTAAAAGTGATGCTAGAAAAATTTACATTATATCTATATTCAGACTTGTCTTGATACAAGACCTAGAGAGGGCTTAGCCACCACTTTTGTAGATAAATACAAAATTAGAGCTTTGAGCTTTTTTTTATTATCCCAAAAACCTTGGAGATTAAATAAACAAAAAAGGCGAGTACTCATAAAACTCTCGCTCTATTTCCAGGAATGTAGAGAACATTGCAGATTGATTCGATCAATCCAGACCTTCGAACTGTTAGAACCTTCTAAAGCTTGCAATAAAGGTATTGCGAGATTTCTAGTTCCGCGCAATACTGTATTTGCAAGATTTCATTAATTCATTCATTTAAAATTGATGTTACGGAGATTGACTACAGCAAGGACTATAAACAAGATTCTACTGAATGTACTTCCATTAGATCATTGTGACGAGTACATTAGAAGCTGTGATAAAGGAGACTCAACCCGCGTAACGAACTGGCCTGAGGGTTGTATGAACATGAATAACGAAGAAATAGAATATAATCATTGAAATATGAAGTGTTTCACCTTTGTCAGCAATTAATTATCATATTGTAAGACCAAGTTCTTGATAAAGGGCGTCTATTGTCCTAAAAAGAGGGTGTGTGGAATGTAAAACAAAGCCACGTTCAAGGTTACAATGTAACGTGGTATAATGTAATGAATGATGATTTATCATAATGCAGTTTCAATAAATAAAATATATACGAGTGTAATCCATTTTGACTTCAAAATCCAAGCAAAAGATTATTTCAGATGCAGAGTACACAAGCATAAATGGGAAAAATTACAGTATTTTTATACCTGAATACTATTCAATGTCGAATTGAAAACGAACAAAGCATTTAAAGATTAGCCCTTTCTTATCCATAGGTCAACTCAATATCTTACATGGAATTCCACTACGTACGATCAAAAGATAGATACAACGACATGCCAAACTAAACACGGTGGACTCTTTATGTACCATGTAATAGAGGTGATTTTGCAACAAAAATGTAATGTACTGTCTGTAGAACATCCATACCAGACTTCCTTCCACAATACGAGTGCCTAAGAATGAAAGATGTTTATCGGCCGGCGAGCTGCACGCAATCTTCGCGTCAATTAATCATCAGTCCACCAAAACACCATCAACGAACGATTTTGAAAGGAAACAGTTTGAACTAACGACCGCCGGTGACTTCGTCTGTCGAGAGTTTTGAAGTTTATGAATGACTCGAGGAAGAACAGTATTATTTTTGCGTAGTTACTGGCTAACACTCGTTCAACAAAATGAACACGTCATATGATGATAGTAAACGAATCACGAAACTCATGTCAAAAATGTGGTTCCTACCTATTTCACATTTCATTGCCTTTTAAAATCGTCAATTTGTGAAATGAATTCCTGAATTATTACACCCAAAAAGGTTATTTCAAAACGCATTGCATGTTGCAATTTAGCAAACTAATTACGCTACGCAAAAGTTGAGCAGTTGCACTAATTAAAAGTTCAGTTGTATCGGGCGTGATTAGGCACAGGCTGGCCAAACAGATTAGAGTTTAGACTACAAATACAGGTCCTAATCTAAATTACAGTCTGAAATTCTTAGTTTCTCCTAAGAAATTATCATTTTGAAATTACTAACCTAGCCTAGGCGCAGACAGACCACCGATTTTTAGTTGGCCGATAGTTGGGCCCGATTCTAATTTGAATGAAGAACCTGCTGATACCAAATCAGTTTAATGTGCACACTTTCTTACATCTCCATACTGATTAACAGCCTGACCCAACTAACGGTCAACAAAAAAATCGGTGGTCTACGCCTAGGCTAGTGTCTGGACCAGACAGTCAGTTTAGGCACTACAAATAGGTCTTCTTAAATACACCTAATCTAAAATTAAGGTCCAGTTTCTGAATGACATTGCAGCTTAAATGTACTCATCTTTTACTCAAGGGTGAATTTCATAAGTATTAAAAGCCAAAAATCTCAATTCAAGAACCAGGCCATAGTCTAGATATTTTCCTCAATTTTTTTGGTTTCTCAGGAATTCAGGATACCGAAATAATTATGCAATTAGTGATTAGATTGATTATACAAACAGCCAGATTAGTCACGATACAAATTTTGCCTTACTAGAATATTTCGTTCCACCTTTCGTGGTTTCCCAGGATATCGAAAACATATGAAATTATTAACTATTAACTAACTAGTGCGAGTCACGAGACCAAGCCAGAGTCACCATTGATATAAACTAGAACACTAATTAAAACTTGCGTCCGTCCTAATTAAGGTGTGTGTAGGACTAGGATAGTATGGTACAGTCAGCATCAATAATTTGTGACACTAGTGACCAAAAAGTAGTTCATCATCATCATCATTTTCAGCCATAGGATAGGACGTCCAACGTCCACTGCTGAACACAATGGCCGGTTGATGGTGCCCTGCATCCAGCGCCTTTCCGCTACCTTTATGAGGTCGTCCGTCCACCTTGTGAGTGGACATCCTACGCTGCGCTTGCCGGTACGAGGCCTCCACTCCAGAACCTTGCTGCCCCATTGGCCGTCAGTTCTGCAGACATGTGCCCATCTCTCTAAAAAAGTTTTTATCACAACTTGGACGTGTTGCGAACTTTTTGACTATTCTAGGTGTCACGAACTGACTGTACATCTAATCAGGGCGTATAGTCTGGTTAGCTGGTAGTCATAGGGGAGGCTCGCGAGTTGTATTGGAGTTGGGGCTTCGGTGTCCGAGCAGGGTTGCCTGTATAAGGAGTTAGTTATCTTTTTGGATTTGACCAGTAGATAATCTGGCAAAATCGTAGAAAACTCTCATTTTCTGTACCAATAAATTAGATTCAAGAGAGGCAAAAACTTAGGGTTGTCGCATACTTAACTATTGAGGTTCGTCTACGTACCTAAACCTCACTTGAAAAATAAGCGTGAGCGGAATGCAAAGACTTGGCATACTGGCAAAAGTAGCTAATACAGGGGGAAGGAAATATTTATTTAATAACATCTTTACTTGTATTATATGGGATGTTGGAACCAGGCCAATAATCACAGAAGAATGGAGCTCAGCTTGAATCCTCTATTAGAGCTAAAATGCGAACTCGTCAAGGCCAAAGGGCAATAAACGAGGGGATTATGTCAAACACTATTTACCAACAAGTTTCATAAAAATACGAACGAGTAACGATCTATCGTAGTAAATTCTCCATGCTATTGGCAAATGATACGCAGTCGTATCACTTTTCGAACTACTTTTTAATTTCTGTCCAGATTAAATGCTGATTTCCGGTTTAAAACAAACGCGTGGCAACCCTAACTCCAGTTGAACCGCGGCTTCAGTTCTATCCTCACCTACAATTCGCATCCAATTATAATGATAATGTGATGCTATTCACTTTAATAGAACTTATTTAATTGCGAGACCATTTTTCAGAGCAAGTTTCTTCAGGCGCGCTGTAAAATCAAGTGAACTATGGCGGGAAAATTATGCGTAGCAATTTCTTGTAGAAATTATTTTCAAGAAATTAATTTTGATTTGAGTTTTAGTTTAGACAAGTTTTAATTAAGTATTGCCTTTGTACAACTACTATACACAAAGTAATTATGTTTTGGGTGATTGGATTTGATTTTAGGCGCCAAGATATTATAGCAATCTTGTAAGCGAATAAGGCCAATAAACATTGACACCTATTTGTCTAAGCTTATTATGTACTTGGTGAAATAATCTGTTTCAGTAGGATTTATGTATTGGCATGGAATTATAATATGTGGACACTTGAGTAGGTACTAGGTACTATAAAGATTTTATTTTATTTTCGTCTACACTGTCCGTGTAACGCAAACACCGTTGAACAGATTTTGATGCGGCTTTCCGATCTTAGTAGTTTGCGGTTTTCTTGGGCAACAGAGACAGTTTGACCTCTCGGTTGTATTAACCTTCATTTTTTAATGAAAAGGTAATTTAAATTGTTTGTTGTTCCTAAAATATATTTCCACGCTGACAAAATGATGGGCTAAATCTAGTTACAAATAGGACTCACCGATACAGTGTTCCTGAATGTATTTTCTTCACGCCGTCCATTTCTGGTGTGGTACGCTTCTCATGTCTAAACTTCGGGCTGATTGGTAGGTAATTTAAATTGTTCGTTGTTACTAAAATATATTTCCACGCTGACAAAATGATGGGCTAAATCTAGTTACAAATAGGACTCACCGATACAGTGTTCCTGAATGTATTTTCTTCACGCCGTCCATTTCTGGTGTGGTACGCTTCTCATGTCTAAACTTCGGGCTGATTGGTTAATGGGTATGCGGTGAATTAAAAAGTAATGTCATTATGAGGTGCTCTTGATAATTGCTGAAGCTGGCCGAATTGGGTCACCTGGAACAAGAAACATTTTTGTTAGAACAAGTTTTCTCAATTTTAATGATGATGTCATTTGGCAATTTTCTTCTGAACAAAAAAAGTTAGTCAAAAAGGGTTATAAAAAGCTGTTTATTAACATCAATATTATTTTAACCCTACCACTGCTTTAGGAAAATAAATAGGCCCGTGCTGTGAAGAAGCAGCAACAAGAAACTCAGCATCTTACAATGATTTACATGTATTTTGTTAATCATACTTATTTGAGTCTCAGAATGGACTGCTAATGCTTACTTGATGATAGCAGCAATTAAATTCTGTAGCTTAATGTAAACTGTATAATATTTAAATTCAAAACAAACAATAAATCATTAAGTATGTCTCCTACTTTTATAAGTGTTGGTGAGTAAAAAACTTAATTACGAAGTTTTACATTCTTCGTTTTGTTCTCCAACACTCTTTTTTTGTTGAAACAATGTCCCTGAGCAAGGTTTAAAGTTTCTACATTGAAGCAAAACAAAACAAACTATCAAGAACAATCACCTGTTATATGAAAATGTATTTTTTTTGTTAGAGCATCTAACTTTGTAAAAGAAAGCTTGATAATTTGCTATTGTTAATAAGCAAGAGCACAAGCATTCTCTTCATTGAGGTTAATGGCCTTTTCAATTAACCAAAGTATTACTCAAATAATCTTGGAATTTTAGATAAGAACATCACATTGTCACCTAAAACTTGGACATTTCAAATAATTTAAATTAAAGTAGGTATCACCAATTAATAAAATACTTTTTAATCTGTATTAAATATGTAGGTATTTTATGCTGTATGTCGTGTTGTTCCTCGTGTGCAACTGTTTTTCACTGAGTGATTGACCAATAGTTCAGCAGCTCTGTCTCTTCACTTGGTTACTCAGATATTTCAATTTGAAATTTTAAAGGCGGGAAAAAGTTATTTCTCCAAAAAAATACAGTTTCTTTTTGATCTCAAGTAGTGTAAAATGAGTCAGAACAAAATCTAGCTAGCAAGCTAGAGAAAAGTAGTTAGCAAGGTCTCTAGCTACTGTTGGGTTCAGTGTGAAATAAGAATTAAAAAGTAACAGGTAAATCTTAGTTATCTTATGCTGAGTTGCACCACCTAACTTTGACCGTAACTATAACAATAACCGGTGTTTTTCATATTATGGATTTTTGACATTTGTCAAAGTTAAAAAAGATGGTACAATCCAGCCTTAAAAAAAATTGACATGATCTTCTTACTTTGGATATGGCCAGGTCTGGGATACAGCCCACAGAGTGACCTCAACGATCTACTAAAGTAAGCATGAATGTAAACCATGAATAGAGGTTCGGCAAGCTAGTAAAGTAGCATTGTAATATGGTTATTGTGTACATTTCAGCTATTTCATGAATGGGGACTCCCAAGGTGAGTTCATAGTGCAATGACATTCATGTAGGAGAATAGAATTATTATTTGGATTCAACTTGTGAAGATGAATTGTGCAAAATGATATTTTATAGCATGTTTCGGAATTGGAAAATGGTGTGAATTTATACTAACTTGCACTATGTAATTTATCTGTTTTAAAATAATAAATGTTATGGGGTATGAATTAAACATTTACTAAGAAACTTCATACAGATCAAAATCTGTAACTAGTGTTATTATTAGTGACAAATGCATTTTTATCAAATCTATGGTTCATCAATAAGATTACTATTGGAATTTATTTGCTATAGAGATGATGTGTTTTATGGGATACAAATTGTAGTTTCTTTTATCACTACAAAATTTTATGGGTAACTTACATTACTATACTACTACTACTGCCTACTATACTACTACTACTCTCAAATTCATCCAGAAAAGAGAAGCCTACACTTTTTCTACTTCCACTAGTCGTGAGAGATACTTTCTAAATTTGACAAAGCTCACAATCGCGGCTGATCTCCTAGCAAAACTCATTATCGCGCGTAATCGACACGTAAATACGCCTGAATGTAAAATCTGGGCACTCACCGAAAATGGCTACAATCTCGCCAAACGAACAGACTCCACGATCACCTCATAACGCTCACAATATTATAGAACGTGGGATAGTTTTTTACACCAACAATTTCCCGTATGAATGCACTTTCCAACAGCTTTTACTATTACGGCCCCCGACGGCAAGTAGTACAAACAGGCATGAAAAATACTTGATGACTGACGTACTATACGCAGGGAGCGGTCGGAATGTAATCGGATTCAATGCACAAGTAGCGAGGGAGGCGTAGAATTTACACTTGCACACAAATCAAGCACCAAACAATGACACTTATTTCAATCCAATATTGAGTATCTCATCACAAATCGCCATGAAATAATAATTTGGGCGACAACGAAGCGAGATCGTCTCTCCTCCCTTCACAGTAAATCAATCATAGACAATTTTGTTCTTTTCTTTACACTCCATGAGTCAATAGCAAAGGAAAATAATATATCCAGACTGAGCGTGCTTTATTTTAAACAATAGTAAAAAGATAAATGTTAAATTAAAATAAAATTCTTGAATGATTTATACATTTCTCTGTAGAAAAGGTTTTTTTTAATACTTCTAGAATTTTAAAATTTTCAATAGTAGCAGTAAAGTAGGATAGATGGCGTTGCTGTATGGAATCTTGTTTTAAACCAGTGTTACCATTTTCATAAATTTTCCCACTTTCTTGATAAAATTCAATGTCATAAACCATCATTTGCATGCGAAAATATTTTTCGTTCATTTTCACCATTAAAAATAATTTATTAGTAAACTGGCTTTTGCTCAAGGCTTTGCTTAATTATGTTTTATCACTTCATGTACTTGATGTCACAGTTAACCTTTGAAACAACTAGGGAAAACGTGTTGTTCGAAAATTATTCAGTTAAAATTGTTTTAGCCAAAGTCCAGGAAAAGAAAGACCAAACAATATTATTTGACAACAAAGTTTGTTAACTGAAAAGTTGCAATACATTGTTTTGGGAAATGAATATTTGGGCAACGCATAGTTTAGGATACAATGTGATACTTGGGAAAAGTTTTGTAATCATACGTTAATAAACACCCGTGCCCAGTGTTTATTTGATTAACGTAGGCTAACTTCGCGAGTAGTGTGGCTGGGTATTTCGCCGAAACAGTAAATTTTCTGTGTCCAGGCAGGCGAACACATGTTTTTTTATATCTACATATATGTATAAATCTATTTTTATGGGAGAGTTCGTCAAAAGTTTTATTTGTTTTCGCTATTACAATAGCAAAAACTACAAATAATACCGTAGAAAAACTTAATCAAAAGTCGTTTTTCTAATTTCCTTGTTATGTCACATTATAACAAATTGAAGCGTAATTTCATTCTAATAGCACTCTCTTTATATTTGAGAAATGTTTGGCTATCGGAAAATAAAAACTTTAAATGTCAAATACTTAAAGGAAGGAAATAAAGTGAAGTTAAGTTTTGTCCGAGTCAAAAGTATAATTTCCCTAGGTCTTCTTTTCGACCATTGTAGTAAAGAAACGAAAGAACTTAGAATGTAATGCACTGCACCGTTACACTCGGCCATTTCGTTCCAAGGGGCCATCGAGGCAGGACAGTGCTTCGTTGATCAGTTTCGCGAGAAATTGCATAAGTTGGGTTTTTTTTTACTAAAAAGTCAATTTCTTTGGACGGTTTTTTGCAGCTAAGCAATGGATTAATTTTATTGTTTATTTACACAGATTTAGTGTTTGTAGGGGTAAACCCATGATTTAAATATTAAATGCATAGGGTAAATAGGTTTTTGTCTATGGTGTCTTTTAGGCATAAATCTGATTTCTTTGACCCTAATTTCCTTGTTTTCCGTGGCATAAAATGGCCTGGGAAATTATAAAAGACCATTTTTAATTCGGCGTAAAGTCAAATTTTGAGTATTTCTTTATTGGAATCTGTTTAAAATTTACAACACTTAGAGAAAAAAAAATTATAATAATTTCCTTGGCTACCAAAAATTCATGACCTTATAACTTTGTTTCTAAAACGAATTATGACTCCCCTTTTAGATAATTAGCTTAGTTTTTGATACTTAATGCAATGGGAAACTAAAAATTGTTAAAAACAAAAAAATATTTCGTACCAAGGAAATTAAGGTACTAGTTGTAACAATTTTAACTGAATCATTTTGGAAATACGCGTTTTCCCTAGTTGATCTAATGTTTCAAAGCTGTTATTCACTGATGGGACCTCTTGGAGTATGAATATTCTTTGGATGGGATGGGACGATTCGACGACGACCGTTGTAGTTGGACAATATACGTATTTCAGCGCATTTTTTAATAATATTAAAGCAAAAATGTAGAAAATTATATTAAAAGATGGCAATATTGTATTGAACTGTCAAAAAATATAATGTGGTGTGGTTATTTCAATGAATAAATTTTTCAGCACAAAATTAAAATCGTTAAACATTTTGTAGAAGCATTAAAAAATGCGGACAATGGAAATGTTTTGAGAAAACTTAAATTACGCATCATTTTGCGAATATTGGAATCATTTATATAATAATAATGCATGTGTATCCGAAAATTTCAGTCAAGCGCTCATTTTTTTGATAATAGTGTTGTATGTTTCATACAAAATTACCTAAATTATTAAATTATTGAAATCGATTCAAAAATCGATTATGTTGAAGTAATAATAGACTTTATTATTACCAATAGAAGTAATGCAGATTTAGTACATCAAAAAGTGAGGTAAAACAAACAAAAATAGTTTGGTAAGGTTCCAAAACATACACATAAGTGATAAGAAAGTGAATATCATATTTTTATTGTTATAATAAAATTAAATTATAGCCAAAAAAAATATTTACTTATGTGGTGAGTAATTTCGGACCCAAATATAATAAGAAAATATATCTATTTATAGAAGTTTAATTTTTTATTTATATTTTACTACTAAAAGTCATTTAATAAACTTTACTTCTACTTTTTTGGACATTCTGAGCAATACTTTAACTTTAATAAGTTCAAAAATTCTGAATTACCAATCTTTCATACCAAAATTTTGGTTTATAAATTTAAATTACAAAATTATTTATTAAAAATGTTAAAGAAAGAAAAAATGAAAATCGATTTTAATCGATGTTCATATTTAAGAAGATGGACGTCACTTCACTCAAACTCTGTCTATCCATGTGTGCACATATTTTATGTATCGTAGCTGTATGTTGTGTTGTGTGTGCGTGGTGATTTGTGTTAATGCTGATAGAAAGAAAAGAAATTAAATAAATCAGGTATAATTTGACGATGAAACTAACATAAATGTGAAGAAACAAAGTGTTTTGTGTTATCAAGTGCAAGTGAATCCGTCGGGAGGCGGTAATCGTGTACGTTTATTCGCTATTTGTGGATTCTGGATCTCGTCGATGTACCATAAACAAAAATGTCAGCGATCCCGATTTTTTGTTTCTTGCTGCATACCCATCGTTAAACCTTAATTAGATCACACGAATGATATAAAATAATGTTAGACGCTTTCTCCGGCGATGTCATCTCGACTCGCCAGCGTTACCAAAGCAATAAATCGGCCATAGTAAGCGTGCGTTTCGTGTGCTCGCGCCCGTCTATCTACACCCGACCTATCTCATTGTTTATGTATGGATAATAAGCCAGGAATTTTTATGGGGTTTCGCAGCGTTTTCTCGTTCTAATTGAATATCTGGCCACGATCAGGGTTTTGTGTCGACGGAAGGTTGTGACGGGTCCGCTCATCGCCGCGAGCGTCCTCACCACACTCAAGGATTTCAGTGATCTCTATTTATAATATTCTCTCGATCATTTGCTGCAGCATAATGACATTCTTGTAATGAAGTGCCGTTCAGTGGATTCGCGGGACATGTGCCAATTATCGCGGACTTGACGAAAGCGCGCCGATATTGTATGTATACAAATATGATAATGTTTGTGGAGCTGATGGATGATCCTTCATAATCACGCAACGGTCCCCTTCGTGCAGAAAGAGTTTGTTATGTCAGCCATAGCCTTGATTATTCCACCCAAGTAGATGTATGTTAGTTTGCTGGAATAATAAACAACGGTCTAAATAAAAGATCTAGTATTTGATGTAGTTGCAATTGAATTAATGGCAAATCTTTATAACTTAAAGTGTTAATTCCATCTTATCTACCTGCATCTTTATTTTGGACATGTTTGAAACAGTAACCTTTACATCAGTGTTGTTATGATGAGATCAAAAAGTCGCATTTTATATCAATTTGAAGTCTTCTTTATTTTGATTCCCTGTACATGACATCTTATATTATACTGATGAAGGAATTTGTAACATTATTAAAAGCAAACAATATGGTTTGTTGTAGGGTTTTATTATGATAACTTCCCGGTTAATGTACCAGATTTGAAATTAATATTATTACTCAATGAAGAATATTATAATTTAGTTATAATTCTAGGGAATATCCCATACAATTACTAAATGGCAATCCCCGCTACTCATTGANCACGCAACAAACCCCTTAGTGCAGAAAGAGTTTGTTATGTCAGCCATAGCCTTGATTATTCCACCCAAGTAGATGTAGGTTAGTTGAGGTTTTAATTACTTTGCTGGAATAATAAACAACAGTCTAAATACAAGATCTAGTGTTTGATGTAGTTGCAATTGAATTAATGGCAAATCTTTAATGCTCAAAGAGTTAATTTCGTCTTATCTACCTGCATCTTTATTTTGGACATGTTTGAAACAATAACCTTTACATCAGTGTCGTTATGAGATCAAAAGGTCGCATTTTATATCAATTTGAAGTGTTATTTATTTTGATTGGCTGTACATGACATCTTATATTATACTGATGAAGGAATTTGTAACATTATTAAAATCAAACTATATGGTTTGTTGTAGGATTTTATTATGAGAACTTCCTGGTTAATGTACAAGATTTGAAATTAATATTATTACTCAATGAAGAATATTATAATTTAGTTATAATAATTCTAGGGAATATCCCATACAGTTTCTAAATGGCAATCTCCGCTACTCATTGATAAATGAATATTTCAACTTAATATTGTAAACAAACAAGTAAGTATCACTTTACTATTGTTTTGTTTACTTATTATGCTTCTTTGTTTTTGAATATTCAGTTTGGAATAACATCTAAATTATTGCATAGTTAATTAGAATTAATCATTGAAAATTTAAATGGTTGTGGTGCTAACAACTTATTCTGATTATTATGACTTTGGCTTTTAATATACATATTATTTTTAAACTTATTTTCTCTTAATGTGAGTCACCATTATTTAACTAGGCCTACTTCTGTACAATCTGTTCATGTATAAATACATTTACTATGCTTCACTAATATTTAGGAATCTATTTCTGTATATTTGGATTGTTTCTTAATTACAATACAATTAATAAGCTAAGTAATGCCAAAATATCCTTAAAAGTTATTAAACCTTAACGCTGACTTAACCATTGTTTAATCTATTTTTTTCAAAGTTTACAGTAGACTGCTGAAACACATTCAGCCTGACAATTATTACTTTCTTGTGATAAAGTTTTCAATAAATATTTTTAAATAGTCTGCACCCATAATAATTTGGAATATCTTAATAGTAGCACACTAGACTAAGTTCATATTATTTAGAATACTCAATTCACATTATCCAGTACAGGGACCCTGCGTGTAGGCCTACTTTCGATCCCACTTCTCACTGTGCGTTTCCATATTGATATTTTACCTACTACTACTACCTACTACCACCATTTATTTACTAACCTTCCTCCTCCAATATTTCCCTGATTTTCAAATTTCATTTTCAAGTGTCTTGGTTTTTTAATATTGTCCATATTTTTGAAATATCTTCTACTGTAAATAAATCAGGAAAATACTTCTCATAGGGAAACACTTGTTTGATTTAAAATCTGTTAAATTGTGTACTATTTTTAGTTTTATTTTCACATAATAAGTAACCATTGATTAAATGAATGAAAAAAAATTTACCTACTATTAGGTAACTATAAAAAAATTACATATTGTTAGCACCACATATCATCAAGATTTGCTTAGATTCAATTAAATAAAATCACAATCGGCAAACAAAATGTATTTATAATGATAATTACATTTTGGAACATACTGAAATATAATATTTTACATTTTGATTGCTTGACAAGCTCTTTTAAAAATGTTATTTTTAATCTTTTTCCATTTATTAAACAAGATAGCCAGTATTAGGTAAATTACAATAATATTGTTATGTTATTTTATTCTTACTGCTTTTTACACATACATGAGGTAACGCGCAGTGCGGGGAAGCGGGGGAAGAAACTGCTCCGCCATTGGCCAATGGTCACGTGACCGCCCCCTCCCGCACTAGTAGCGTAGTGCGGCACTACGCCGCAAGATGTCCGTATTTTCTGCTCTACCGTGCCAAAAGAACCTGACAATTTTAAAGACGCCTAACAGTATAAATTAAAGTATCTGTTAATTCGTAAAAGTAAAAATGCTATGAATACTGAGACTTAAATTTTCTGTTAATGTAAATTTTGGTATTCCTATAAAGTCACTTCCTTTATTCATTTAATATTAAACTATACCTCTTTTCCTAGGATTCTAGAGAAAGATTTAGATATGTAAAACGTCACCTTAGAGTAAAAACCTAAGGAGTGCATTTTTTCTCACATTTATGAACTTTGTGCATTTCGGTCCATCTTACACAATATAAAAGTTCAGGATAAAAAGCGGGTTAAATTACATTTTTAAACTTAAAAAGTTTTGTTTTCACTCTAAGCCGTCGAACTCGAAATATTACTACACCCGTGATGCGTCTGGGCGGATTGGTTGCCAGTTTGGCGCGAACTATATCTGTCTCTCTCACTTATTAAGTTATTACGTATAATTAATATTATGTATTTTTGTATGTGCAGTCAAGTTGGCGAAGGCACGCAGGGGTATGATAAAGGAGAAGGAGAAGGGAGGAGGCGCCCGCCTCAAAGACGAGCCCAGCGATCCGGCTGAGCCTGGTAAGAAATACACTCGGCATCAAATAAATCGCACCTCCCGCGACAAGCACTTTCAAACGTATGCATCCCTACTTCCCACCAACATTGGTACCATTTGAAAGCCTAGTTCTAAACTTAATTTCATTAAAGGAAAGGTTTTTACCCCAAAAATGTGTCTTTACAAGGAGCCAGAGTCACTTCTTCAAAAAATAGGTAGTTACGCTATAACCATTTTTTATGACTATAAAACTGTTAAGTTGGGATTAATCGCTATCTATCTGTTAAAGAGGACACGTGAGATCTTTATTTGTTTGGTTTTAATTGGTCTAATTGATCCCAGAGATGAGCCCAAAGTGAGGTCTATTTTCAAGTCACATTTATGGTATATGTTAATCATTTATTTAGAAATGAAATGTATTTTTCTTTAAGGATATTTATTGGGCTTTCAAATAACACCAATATTGTTGGGGTACCATAATTGTGTCAGAAGAAAATCTTTAAAGTTCGCTTTGCGGAAGGTGCGGTTTATTTGATGTTGAGTGTAGTTACAAGTCTTTTTTTATCGTCAGGGAAATGCATGAATTTATATACCGACTAACCGCGGGGGCAGCTAGTGGGTTATGTGGGGCTCTCCCTACCACAGGGGTTCACAAAGTGGGGGGCGCGCCCACGATGGGACCTTTATAGGGGAGCGCGGGCTATATGTGTATTTTAATATTAAAAAACCTGCGATCGCTGAGAGAATACATTCTAGACTGCTCTGACCTCTGACCATCTTCTGACCACCATCTGGACTGGAGGATGGGGGCGCGAATTTTTTTTTATGGTCGGAAGGGGGCGCGTCTCAAATAAGTTAGGGAACCCCTGTCCTACCAGAAGGGTAGGGCCTACCCACTAAAAACTTGACTGTTTCCGCCATGAGCCATATGAGTGGGGAACGCGGGACATCGCCATTGGCTGTTGCCTGTAGCATTTGTCCACGTTCAAACTATTTACAATCTAGGTTCAGTTGACAGCACATCAGACAACTTTTTTGCTGAAATGGCATCTAATACCACTACACAAGATGCGCCAGACTTTATTTTGATGTGCTGTCTGTACTTTTACAACACAAATATCTTTGTTATAATATTCGTATGAATATGCATCCAGACAGTAATTTAATACTTACATTATTTTATTGAAGTTATTGCAGTATGCAAAAGATACTTTTTAGTTGTTTTTGATTCCGTAGTTATGTCGTCGTCTGGTGTGTGATTGGTGAAATTAAAATATTTACACCATCCACCCACACTCCACAGGTTTGAAACTGTTCTTCAGATGTTTTAGAATTCAACCTCCCCTAATAAACTAAAGTTTTCACCATCAATCCCTAATTTTTAAGTGACCCCTATGCAAACAAAATTCCTGTTATTTGTTACAATAGGGGTCACATAAAAATTAGGGATTGATGGTGAAAACGGGCATAAGTCTCCCCTAATAATCAAGCTATCCCCCAGTAGATGACCCCCCAAGCAACAAACGGGGTCTCCTACAGCCATAAAACACAAATCACACAACAAAAATGGGTGGGGGATTCTTGCCAACCCCCCCTATTGTAAATCATATATTGCCTAGGCCTAAGACAGTTGTTTGTTAATTGTTTTGGAATCTAGAGCAGTAAAATACTCGTAAATAAATAATACTCCACTGGCAATAGATCCCTGAAATAGTAAACAAGATTCTTTAATCGATTTCTCAATAGAAATAACAGTGATGGTGAAAGTTTTGCATTGGTACCAGCGATGCATGTAATCAATTCAACTCATTTATTGTTATTGCCAATAATCTTTAGAGACTATTGGCATAATTCTTAAATCAAGTGTACATGCATCATTTTAATAATAACTAATAACAATTACGTTTTCGCATGCGACCAATCAGCTCTTCATTAAAGTTGGTTTCAATAAAACATTTTGTTGAAAAAGTTGAGCGGGGATCATGGCGGACTTAGGGTTATCAACCCGGTTGGTCACTGCGATGTAACTTTAGGTCTGATGTTTGACTTACAAGCAAAAGACACTGCTTCATTATCTGTGCATCACAATTCTAGCTACCCATTTCTGTTTTTTCTACCGCTCCCATCAAATGGTGATTCTTTGCGATAGAACGAGACGACATGACCAGGAAATGTGGCCGATAGTACATCCATGGTTTTCCATTGTCTGACTAGGTGTGGGTTCGCTTTTGGTTGTTTGCGCTATGTTCTGAACCTGTATTCGACGTACACACTTGTCACGAGCTGTGTCCTATATTTTGGCTGAAGTATCTTCTGTACTGCCTTATCCGGTTGTAGCAGGCACCATTGCACCATTAGAAACTTCTTCTCAGAGGCTACATATTGAGATCGATACATGAATGAGAAAAAGACCGGATAGGCAGCCCTTACTTCGTCTCCCTTACTCCTGACCTGAAGCTTCGTGTCGAAGCGATAACTAAGAAGCGTTATTGCGTAACGACAACATATTGGTCTCAGCTAAAAAAGCCCGTTACTACAGGAGTGAGAGAGAGGCAAACACCGCTGATCCGGTCGACTTGACGAGGCTATGAAGCCTGAAAAATCCCATTAATAAATCTGTATGCGTAAGTTTTTTGAGAGCATTATCGTAAATTCGAAATAATGATCGACGGTCTGGCCGTAATAAGAATAAATTCACTGCCAAAGTCCTTAATTAGGATTAATTAACGTTAATAAAGTTATGGGCGCCGATGCTTCACCCTTATAATCAACCATTGTGAAATCATTAATATAGGAGAAGTTGGCGTTGTATAAAGTTAACATGCTAAGGGCAACGGACTTGTCACATTTGCTAAAGCAAGGATAACAGCTCCAATAGAAGTGTTCTAGTATTTATCAGCTCTAAGATACCGTAAGTAAGGACTGACATTAAAATCACTGAAAATACGTCTGCGTCTTTTCTATGATCCTCAGCTTTTTTTATAATAATCCTTTGCTATGAATAAATTTCCCAGGTAGGGAATAGCAAATAAAATTATCCTTTATTTGTTTGCAATGCTCTATTCGGCATCATTCTGTTAAGATGTATGATGTTAAGTTTTGCGGTATATGAGTGTTTTATGGGATAATTGGCCTTTTATCATTTTCAACACTTTCTTAATGGTTGTTTATGTGCATAAATTATATGTACCGAATATACAGGGTGACAGGGATACTCGACCTATTCCTTGAACAGGGTAATATTTATTAGCAATAAATTATGTCCAGTGAATTTTTTTTTAAAGTTCTTAACTTACAGAAAATAAAAATATTTTTACTTTAGACTCAGTTTAGACCTTTTATTTTTGAGATTATGCCAAGCACTTTTTTGTCAAAATGGTCACAATATTTTGAGCTTTCAGAAAAGTATCAATTCAATGTTCGGGGTGGAGTAGTTTATACATTTAAAATTTTCTAAAAAATTGAAGAACCATCACAGCTCGATAACCATCCAGTTTCGACCCCTGGTTCACTGGACATAATTTGTTACTGACCTCTAGAATAATCCCTTTTAAGGAATAGGTCGAGTATCCCAATCACCCTGTATTACGGATGGCCGACGTTTACTCGATCACCGCTGTCTCATATATTCAAATTCAGGGTCATTACACTGGCATGTTGAGGAAAACATATTTTTAATACAATAAATTATAAAATACAAATAACTTGCAGAACCTCTCGGGTTTGTTTCGGACTACAAAATATAAAATTCGCGAGACAATGTAGATAAATCACTGTATTTTTGCAATTCTGAATTTTATATTCAAATAGGCGCAGACGCATGCAAAAATCTAAAATTTAAATGCAAAAAATCGTAGTCTATCGGGCCTCCGCTTTAAAAGCATTTTAGATTTAATATAGCCCATCAAAATATTACTAAATCGTTGCTTTTTTTCCTATTCCACCATGTAACACTTGAAGGACCTTNTTTGCTACAACGCTCTTAAGCTACCCACGCTTTCACTTGTTTTTGAAGGAAGAGGTGAAAACTAAAAAAAACTTAAATCCTCGTAATTTTACGAGAAATGGGTCAAGCCCCAAATTTGAAGTATTTTCATCGATAAAATTGTCCATAGATTACGCCCTTAAAGTTTGATCACTACAAGCCCGGACACACTGTATAAAATTCGTGAGACAGTGTAGATAAATCACTGTATTTTTGCAATTCTAAATTTTATATTCAAATAGGCGCAGACGCATGCAAAAATCTTAAATTTTAATGCAAAAAATCGTAGTCTATCGGGCCTTCGCTTTAAAAATATTTTAGATTCAATATAGCCCATCAAAATATTACTAAATCGTTGCTTTTTTTTCCTATACCACTATGTAACACTTGAAGGACCTGTTTATATGATTACGTTTGATTGATGATTTTTCCAATTTAAAAGTTTTAATTAAAAAAATAATTGTGCCCAACCTGCCGAAGCCAGGGCAGGTCAGTAGTTTTTAATACAGTTTCCTTCTGCTATTTATAAAATTGATGCGACATCGCTTGAGGCGGGAACCGGTTTCTTTCTAGTCCAGTGTATTCGTACTCGTATCATTCGCACTTCGAAACGTCGTGTGTGAGGACCTTATTAGAATCATACGTCGATCTCAATTTTGAGATTCGATTCAAATGTATCTGAGATATAAACGGTTGAATTATGCCGGTTTTCTATAATCAATCCCAACCCAAATCCGTCCCTCAAATATGTATTGGTCAAAATGTCCTCGGTTTCGATGTTTCACGTTTTCATATTGTTTTTATATCTATTTAAACATTATGAAGGTGTAATAGCATCGAAAATTGTGGATATTTGATCAAAAACAAATTGAAATTTGACAGTTGCTAGACGGATTTGGATAGGGATTGACAGTAAACGGGCGTTAGGGTTAAACTTCAGTAGTTTTGTCCAACTGGAAGTTACCCTATTTAATTTTTGATGTTATCATTTTCACTAGGCGAGATTCGAACCTCTAAAGTAAAATTCTACGTTTTATTGTTTATTCATGCGTGCTTAATGATAAAAATGTCAATTACTTAACTTCCAGACACGCAATTTATCGGTATGACCTATGATTGGAGTATCGGACAATGCTTGAAATTGTATTCTATAATAATTATACAATCGTTAGCCTGGCTGATAATCTAAGAACATACAACCAAAATGACTTACAGAAAAATGAAATTGGATTGTTGGTTTATTTTGTACGAAATAATATTTTCAAAAGCTAAAGTTTGTATAATAACCCGAAATAATTTTAATATGAAATATTAAAATAACGATGCATGCAAAGCCGCGGTCAAGAGCTGCTAGTTAGAGATAAATTAGAGACTGTAAAAAATATAAGTTAACATCCACATTGAAAGCTTTATAAAATATACTGTTTCTTATACTGTCTCTCTTTCTTACATACTACAATCTAGGTTGATGAAGAGAGACGTAAGAAATAAAATATCAGATATCCGTATTCAGTAACACACCTCTGACATACATAGCAAAAATTTTAACGTTTTAATATCTAAACTAAAGAATGTGTCCCTAATAGCGATTGCAACAGCCTATACCCGTTGAAAAGCTGCATTAGAGTGGAATAACATAGAATTATGTAACGTTTAATGAGTAGTGCAATTAAATTGCCGGCCGACTACGTAAATGTGACCCCTCTGACCGATATCTGATTTTGCATCGGGTACTTAATCGATTTATGACGTCGATTTTTTTATCGAGAATTCTCTGACTTATCGTATACTTTAGAACTAATACATTGTCTGACTGTACGGCATAAATAATTGAAACGTATAGCTTTGTGTAAGCAAACATACAGTGAATTACAGACTATTTCATTAGTTCTTAGACTCGTAACAGTTGACACCACCAATCAATTGACATCCCTTAAATCAGCTGTCAAAACATCGTATTTTGTATGGCAAAGACAAGCTATGACGTCACTTTTCATGTGAAAACGAATTGTATTTTCAGGGCTAGAATAAAGCGTCACTGTACACGCGGTGTAGCATTCTAGACGCGTACGCGCATTTGTACGTCTGCTTGCAGCTTACATATAAAACAATGTAATTCTGTCGACGAAGCTATTGTATGCAGGCGTACAAATACGTGTACGCTACGCCGCCGTGGACAGTGACGACAAATGTTCTTTTAATCGTTGATTAATCAATGAGGGCTGTCGTTCGTTCTCACCAATTGGTGCCACTGTAGAGTAAGGCCCTGTCACTTGCTAGTGGCTAAGGCAGTGGCGCCAACTGATAAGCGCTGAAGTGGTAAGATTTGTTCACTCACCAGTGCTGCACTGCTGCCAACTGCTAAGTATAAAAGCGATAGCCATCATTCAACAACACGATTCCATCCCACATAACATCGTCGCCATGTCCCCAGGTCATGGATCGCGGCCGCCTTCAGCGTCGCTGCCGACGCCGGCTGCGCTGAAGAAGGAGCCCGACGAGCCCGCGCACAGGGTAAAGATGGAGCCCCACAGCCAGCCCGGCGGCGAGGACTCCGCCGCCGATATGGGCGTCGATGGCATCAAGACTGAAATTGACGGCCTCATGGATAGCGACGGTATGTTGACTACTAACTACTAGTAAAAAAAACACAATAAAAGGAAAAAAATACAATAATATGCCTAAAAAAAACTACTGTAAAATGTTAACTTCATTTGTAAATTTAAAACCTTGTACATAAATAAACGTCTATAAGTATGGAGACTACAAGTTTTCTCGTAGACATTAGCGAGAAACTATCACCACTTGCTATAAAAAATACTGATTTAATATTCAAGAAATTGTTTTGTTTGAAACCGAACTCCGGCAATTTCAGAGATAAAAAAAAAACTTACAGTAGACTGTATGTCGGCCTACATTTTGTGGTAAAATTACACCTATTACAAACACATAGCTCATAGAATTCTTCTTCGTTGCCCTCTTCAATTCCCATTACGCAAGTTCGGCTTTCCTTGCCGGGACTATTCCCACCTCTAGTTCCCACCGCTGCAACTCCTGTGTAGCCAGGATCTACAGCTTGACCGCCATAAAAACTCAACCAATGAAGGCTCAGCTTTCCCTAGCACGCGGCTCCATCTGTTTCTGGTTAAAATCGTTTGGTTGGGCCTCATGTCTCTTTAGAACTCTTTAGAACGGATTGCGATTGTGGCGGAAAAGTTTTCGAGTGGTTTATATGTAGGCAGACAATTCCACTTGTTGAACCAACGATCTTGTGAAGGTTGGATGCGAGCAGCGCAGGACAAAAAACTACATAAGATGCTACAGAGTTTCATTAAACTTGCCGTCACCACTACATTCATATCTGGTTCATGAAAGATTGTTTATATGCATTTTTGTTTACCCAGGTGACCCCACAAAATCCCCACAGTGTGATCTGGGAGGACCAGGCTCACTCAAGTCAGAAAGGCTTTCCTCAGACTCAAACGACATATTGGACCCACAAACTGGCCTAAGAGGCTCTTCAAGTAACCTCCAGGTAAGCTCTTTAAATTCAAATACATACGAGTATATGTCATAAATGGAAATACTACAAATAGTTACATAATCATCCCTTCATCAAACCGAGATTTTTGTTTGTTTATAAAACTTGTTTCATCTCTTTCTTGAATACGTATTTCTAGTTACATTTAGTATATTATGCAAAATAAATACCGACTATTAACCATGAAAGTGAAATGCAATTTTCCAAACGTTTACCTCAAATAGCTGCAATTTCTCGAAAGCGTGAATGTATAATGATCGAAGATCCGGCTCGAAGGACCAATTATAGGAATAACCATGGCATCTCTTGCAGGATGGCAACCAAAACTGCCGCAACCCAAACATGGGCCCAGAGAATATGGGGTCGTGTAGGATGGGTGGCGGCGGGGGACCCATGGGCCCCGGCGTGTCTATGGGCCCCATGTCGGCAAGTGAGGCGCAAACTTTGCCGTCCAATGTCATCAGCAAACAGGCCGGCAGTATGGAGGTAACATTAACACATCTTCTATCGTGTTAGCAACTACATGCTCTATTAACAGCCTTGAACTGTATGTGAGATATTTCTTATGAGACAGATAGACTTAAAACTTAATATAAAAACTTATATCCCACCATAAATGTTGTCATGTAAAATATTGCCAAAACGAGACCTCATGGTTTTCACTGTAAAAAGTTTTCAGATCTCATATAGAGCCAAGTTTTTAATACACTTTTAGCCTTAATTCTACACTTAAATATTTTGGCCGCTTCGCTACCATCAAATAGGCGTAAGGCGAATATTCGTTCATTACCTACTAATAGAAGAACTAGTTCTTGTAGTAAAGTAAAATATTTCCAAAAGAAACTCGTAAAGTAAAATATTTCCAAAAGAAACTCCGATACTTCAAAACTTGTAGAATACTTACTAAAACCGTCATATCCTCCAGCAGCAGAGCCAAATCTTCGTGTTCTCAACGCTACTGGCCAACAAAGGCGCCGAGGCCGTGCTGTCCGGGCAGCACCACTCCATCATAGCGTACCACTGTGCGCAGCCGGGGACTAAGAAGTATTTGGAGGTGAGCATTTTGTACCTTACTAGCGGCCGCCCGCGACTTCGTACGCGTGGATCCCATTTTACCCCCTTCATCTATCTTACGCGGTTTAGATTTTTTCATACAAATGTTGTTTCCCGCTAACTCCCCTTCCCGTGGGAATTTTGCAATATCCTGTTGTAACTAAGCTTTAAGTTTACTAAGGTACCTGCATGCCAAATTTCAAGCGTCTAACTTAAGCGGTTTAGATTTTTCATACAAAAGGATTTTCCAGCTAATTCCCGTTCCCGTGGGAATTTCGGGAATTCCTTTCTTAGTGCACCTCTACGGTACCTAAGCTACGTCCCTTCCAAATTTCAAGTGCCTACGTTTAGCCGTTTAGGCTGTGCGTTGATATGTCAGTCAGTCAGTTTCTCCTTTTATACATAGATTAGATTTAGATGGGTAGATAGTAGAGTTGGAATTTGGTTTAGGGATCTCCCACACTAGCGTCTTGAGCGCTGTCATCTTGGCAGCGCCCGCGCAGTGTCGACGTCACGTTTTTCAGTGTAAGGCTGCGTTTCCACAGAAGTGGAGCTGCGCGGAGTTGAGCGGAGCAGAGCCGTGTAAATAGGTAGGTGTTTCCACTAAAGCTGCCCAGAGATGAGCGGCGCAGGGCTGAGTTGTGTAGCTGGCTGAAGTGGAGCCGAGCAGTGTGATTGGTCAATTTTTATAAGTCTATGCTCAGCTCCGCGCAGCTCTCAGCTTCTGTGGAAACGCAGCCTAAAGAGCGTTGGTGCGCCACGCCGAAGCTGGCGAAACGACGCTGTTCGGAGACGCTAGTGTGGAGAAGTCTTATCTATCACCAATCATTAGTTTAAATTAAAATGAGTTTGTTTCGGACCGTAATCCATTTAGTGTTAGTAGCAATTTTGTTTTAGAACTTCAATGAAACACTTCTTCTGAACAGTAATTAAGACTCTCTTTAATTATAGCAACTCGTTATAAATTTTAAAAATGTATTTCTTCCAGAAACACCCCCTAAAAATGGGCCAATTCAACAAACAGAACCCCGCACAGTGGTTAAACAACCTCGCTATGGCGAAAACCAGGGGTGGCATGCGTGGGGGGCCCAATATGATGAGCGGGCCCAACCAGATGGGCCACATGATGGCCGGGCCCATGGGCGGGATGGGCCCCATGCCCCACGGCATGGGCCACATGATGGGCCCCAGTCGCATGGGCGCGCCCGGCAACCAGATGATGATGATGAAGGGCGGGCCCGGGCAGATGGGCCAAATGGGACCCATGGCCCCCATGGATGGGTTTCCAGGGGGCACCCCGTCCTGTGGTGTCATGGACGGCCTCGGTGCTGATGGTGAAATGCCCTGGGACACCGTAAGTTTATTATCTGATTCATTATTTATTTCTAAACCTACCACTATCCTTACAATAACAGCAAGTACTTCAAAATAACAGCAAGTCCAGGCGTACATAACTTTCAGATCGCCTTTATTAACCGCGGAATAACAGTTTTTTCTTATTTAAAATTTTACTGTTGATGTGTACTCTATGTGTACTAACTAATCAGGCTCCGTTTCTGTTGCATAAAGAAGTACATACTGCATTGATTTAAACGACCTAAGAACAAAAACGACAATCTAATAACATTTCTAACGTCCTCTTTCTAGAAAAACCCCTCAGTGATGTCGAACGGCATGTCAAACGGCCCCGGACAGATGCCCGCGTGCTCGGAGGCAGGCCAGAGTGACACCGTGCCCTCCTCCGGTGCTGACGCCTCCTCCACAGACGCGCCATGCCAGTCCGGACCTAAAGGTAAATAAATTAGACCTTGTTAAAATGATCGAGTAGACTGTAATTATTATATTGGGGATAGGCCTGTTGGTAACTGTACGCAAAAGCTTTTAAGGAAATACTCCAATTATGGGCCAAAACAGTGTATATTGCTCAAGACAGAGAGACAGTAAAAGAGTAACTTCAATATGAATAAAAAGGTAAAATACCATAAAGAATTATCAAAAACTATTGCTGGCAGTTTTTTGACGTGTCAACTACAGGCTTCATCGTCAGGACTTTTAGTTTCCACTGCAGGAGGAATCAGATATTTTTTCAGTAATTAGGCCCTTTCCAAGACGCTTATACACATCACATAATAACATAGCTTGCCCTACCACCACTTCGGGACAACATGGGCCGGTGCTGAAAAGAAGTGGAAGACTCCCTATTTTACCAGGAGCAAATAGAGGCAACTACAGACTTAATACAAATAGCTTTCTTCTGCAATTTCTCCGCTTCTCGAGGAAATCTTCTGATAATTTTCTCACATAAATTGATCGATCTCATACCTATTTCTTTTCCACAGGTGTTAAAATCCCCGACGAAAACCTAACACCTCAGCAGCGCGCACACAGAGAAGAACAATTAGCCACGATCCGCAAAATGCAACAAATGCTATTCCCAGAAAGCGGGGGCAACGGGAACCCCAACAACGGGGATCAGCAGCAGCAAGACATTAACCCACCCACGTCAGCACCCATGAACATGCCCTTCCCGCCCATGTCAATGGGGCCCAACGGACCTATGGGCTCAAACGGCCCCATGGTCTCCATGTCCGGCCCAAACAGCATGAACTCAGGCCCCAGCTGTACTATGTCCGGCCCCATGGGACCCAACGGCCCTATGGGTGGACCAATGGGCCCAAATGGACCCATGGGCGGCCCTATGGGACCAAACGGCCCCATGGGAGGCATGGGTGGGCCACCCGGAATGATGGGCGGGCACGGCTCTATGGGCCCCAACGGGATGATGGGTCCAAACGGACCCATGATGGGTGGGATGGGGCCAAACGGACCTATGGGGCCGATGGGTCCGTGTGGGATGAAGGGGATCAGAGGCCCGTGCGGGGGACCAGACATGAAAGGGGGGATGTGTACAGATATGCATATGGGGAGGGGGTGTGGGGGTCCTATGGGGGTGAGTGACCTTTTGTTTTTATGCAGTCATACATATTAATTGTTGTTTATATGGTGTACTAGCGGCCGCCCGCGATTTCGTACGCGTGGATCCCGTTTTATCCCCTTGGGCTGGTTTTAGAATCACGCTCAGGGCCGGATCGTGAATTTGTGGGGCCCTGGGCTGAAACTTCTTATGACGTTGTCACGTAAAAATATCGTCCGTAAACCGACTTTACAGACAACCATTTTTTTTTCAATTATGGCCTACTTTTTAGCGGGATCTGGGGGCCCCTTGTGACCCCGGGGCCCTGGGCTGCAGCCCAATCAGCCCATAGGTAGATCCGGCCCTGATCACGCTGACGCACGCTGACCGTCAGCGCTCACAGCCAAAATGTATGAAGCGTCGTCGCCGAGCGATCAGCGTCACTCAGAAACGTTCCCTTCAATTATATTATGTACATTTTGGTTTGTCAGCGCCGACGATCAGCGAGCGGTCAGCGCGATTCTAAAACCAGCCTTTGGGGTGGATTTTGAGCATTTATGTTCTAAAAGGAGGGTTCCTTTTTTTCATTGTTCATGCAAAATTAGAGACTCCTAGCACTTGTAGTTTCTGAGATTTCGTGATGAGTGAGTCAGTCAATCAGTGACCTTTCGCTTTTATAGATATAGATTCATTGTGGTTTTGTGTTTGCAGCGGATGCCAAACCCAATGGGCGGAATGGGCGGGCCTAAACCGTGTATGATGGGTGGACCACACATGGGGCCCAGGATGATGCCGGGGCCTAATATAAATGCAATGAATGGTATGTTATTTTATTCAACATTTATTGTATACGTTATTGTATTCATGAAAAGTAGGAAAAAGTTAACCCAATGTTCATATGAAGTGAGTTTATGTATTCATGTTTTTTGTGCATTTACATGAATGTAGGCATTTTAAAACACCTTTTTTCCTCTATGTTATTTAATATCAGGGTTCGAAAATATCCGATATTTATTATAAATATCAAAATATCGGATATTTATGATATATATCCGATATACANTATATATCAATTTTGTATGAAAGCCATACTATTATTTTATTGTATTATTTATGAATACTATTGCATATGTGTTACTTAAACATGTTTTTAATGTTTTTAAAACTTAAAATCAGACAAATAAAGCAAAAACGTAAAATCTTGTTTCAAATACGGCAAAATCAACTAAAAAATAAAAATCTTATATCAAAAAGTACAAATACAGTAACAAATTTTAAAAATTGATATATATCGTGAAAACCGGCTTGATATATATCGGATATATATCCGATATATATCCCTTGATATATATCCTCGAACCCTGTTTAATATAGAAAGAAAATGTGTCTAAAATTCCTCGTCAATAAATATACAGTATTTGACCCTCTGATTTGTACAGTCGCTATTACACAAATCTACAAAATAGCAACTTTTAGACAGTTATTTTAGTTGAGCAGAGTTCTATCGCCGATATTGTACAATTCGCCTGGAGGTCTTTATTTTTTTTCTTTCTATGGTGGGTCTCAGATCAAACTCGTACAATTAAGGGCTAATAAAATTGTTGCAGGAGGTATAATGATGGACGGAGGCATGATGGGGGGCATGGTGGGGCACGGCGAGTGCGGGCCCGAGCACCACGGCATGCCCGTCAACGGGCCCATGTGCGACGAGTATGGCCGCGGGAGGAATGTGAGTACACCTGCCATCACCAGGTCACTAGGGGGGCCTGGGGGGCCCGGCGAGTGCGGGCCCGAGCACCACGGCATGCCCGTCAACGGGCCCATGTGCGACGAGTATGGCCGCGGGAGGAATGTGAGTACACCTGCCATCACCAGGTCACTAGGGGGGCCTGGGGGGCCCGGCGAGTGCGGGCCCGAGCACCACGGCATGCCCGTCAACGGGCCCATGTGCGACGAGTATGGCCGCGGGAGGAATGTGAGTACACCTGCCATCACCAGGTCACTAGGGGGGCCTGGGGGGCCCGGCGAGTGCGGGCCCGAGCACCACGGCATGCCCGTCAACGGGCCCATGTGCGACGAGTATGGCCGCGGGAGGAATGTGAGTACACCTGCCATCACCAGGTCACTAGGGGGGCCTGGGGGGCCCGGCGAGTGCGGGCCCGAGCACCACGGCATGCCCGTCAACGGGCCCATGTGCGACGAGTATGGCCGCGGGAGGAATGTGAGTACACCTGCCATCACCAGGTCACTAGGGGGGCCTGGGGGGCCCGGCGAGTGCGGGCCCGAGCACCACGGCATGCCCGTCAACGGGCCCATGTGCGACGAGTATGGCCGCGGGAGGAATGTAAGTACACCTGCCATCACCAGGTCACTAGGGGGGCCTGGGGGGCCCGGCGAGTGCGGGCCCGAGCACCACGGCATGCCCGTCAACGGGCCCATGTGCGACGAGTATGGCCGCGGGAGGAATGTAAGTCTACACCAGTGTTTTTCAACCTGTGGGTCGCGACCCCAAGCCTCTATAGTCGCGAGAGGTCGTAAAAACTACATCAGTAAAAAAAAAAATATAAAGACACGTTATCCGAAATCTTATTATGCAAATGTTGCATGGATTGAAGTATTCAATCCCTACAAACATCTTTGTGACATTATAAAATGCATGAAAAAAGCGAACGGTCGGGGGACGCCAAATTTTTTTTCATACTAGGGGTCGTGTCATGAAAAAGGTTGAAAAACACTGGTCTACATCAAAGTTAATATACCTAGCGGAATAATCAACAAAGAACCGAGCGAGCGAGATGTCAAAAGCAGCAACACTGTGTGATAAAAAAAGATGCGTAATACCGTCGCCGTCGCACATGCTAGCTTTGCGTGAGAGGGATGGCAACATATGAAACTTCTGAAACGTTTTTCGGGATAACGCCGCTAATCATCGTCATAATCAGGTCATTGCACTACAGGAGCACGTTTGTTTGTTTCAACAAAAGAACGTCTACTTCTAGACCAAGTGTTCCTCCAAGCATTTCCGCAACAACCAGTCCTGCGCTACCAGCACCCACTAGATTATTAGATCATCGATCCACCGAGTGGGATGCCTGCTTACATTATATTTTCCGGTCCGTGGTCACTAATTGTCAACTTTTCTGTCCCAGCGCCTGACAGTTTTACTATGTGCGACAGAAGCACGACTCTGTCTAATCCACCAGAGGCCAAAGAAGGCCTATACTCTCCACGCTGGCCAATAGGTTGAGAAGGCCTGGTCTCGAAAAACTTTGAATATGAATATCCCTTTATCTAAATATATAAAAGGAGAAACTGACTGACTGACTGACAGATCAACGCACAGCCTAAACGGCTAAACGTAGGCACTTGAAATTTGGAAGGGACGTAGCTTAGGTACCGTAGAGGTGCACTAAGAAAGGAATTCCCGAAATTCCCACGGGAACGGGCCCCTAAGGGGGTAAAACGGGATCCACGCGTACGAAGTCGCGGGCGGCCGCTAGTCCTCTATAAACTTACTTAAGTTTTCATTGTTTGTTTCACAGATGGGTCCAGGTGACCCCGGTGGGTTAGGTCCAGGCGTGAATGTCGGCCAAAAAATGGGACTACGGAGTCCCAAGAGTCCCGCGAACGCAGACATCGACTGGCAGAAAATACACCATCAGTTTTTTGATGACCCCAAATCTATGGATACAGAATTAAGTGAGTATGCTTCCGTGTTTTATAATGATACTTAAATCATCTTCTTACATGGTTCGGATCAGCTGTATTTTCAATGAAAAGGCAAAAAGACTGTAAAAGGCAGCCGGGATTGGGCTGTCGATCAGAGGTGGAATTGTGTAAAGCAATCGTAATCATTTGACAGTTCTTAACGTACGATAAAGTCAGTTAAACAAAGCGTTTGACAGAATAATCGTACGTTATAAATTGTCAAATGATAACGATTGCTTTACACAATTCCACCTCTGATTCTTACATAATATTATTATGCTTTGTATATTGTACAATAAAGACTATCTGGGGGCACGGCAGTGCCCCCACCAAGTCGAGCAAAAAAGCGGCACGGCCGTACCATCCTTTTCTCGAAGCAATTCAGGCCATTTTCGACCGCCTGTAACTTCGTTGTGGATAAAACTAGAAGGCTGAATTTTCATTAGCTATGCAGGCATTGTAAAGACACGGTATATTTAAAATTTCATTCAATTTGAACCAGTCGTTTAAGAATTATAACGGGTCAAAGTTACTTAATTTTGTCACTCACTNAAAAAAAAAATGTCCTGAAAGCTACATTTATCAGGATTATAAATATATACCATTGTATGGTACTTTTTTTGAAAAAAGTAGGTGAAAAAAAATTTTTCTTCAGGACACAGCGGGCGAATTTTAATGCGCGTCGGAAAAAAATATTTATTTTATCCATGAATTCATACTATTTGGGTCATAAGCAAGTAAAGATTATTATTTTAGAATTTATTTAGAGTTCCTGGCACATCATGCTACCATGATTTGTATTTTTTCTTCAATTAATTTTGAACTCTATGCGTAAGACATAAGGTTGAAAATAGTTTAAATACTTTTTATTATTGAAAATATCATAAGATAAATAAAGAACTAACTAAAGAACATAAGCACTAAATAAAGAACTTGAATTTGTATAATGATTATTATTATTTTAATAAACATTTTTATTTCTACAATACTATTGTACCAGTGATAACGGAAAGGTAAGTGCCTCACACTTACCTTGAAGAGAAGATTGATATTATCATAGTACGGGAAATTCCAGCAGTGGACGTCATTTGGCTGAAACGAACGAACGAACGAACGGGAAATTATTTTTAACACAAAGGCTACGGCTGTGACCATTATAGTTGTTTTTCAGACAGCACCAGCTTCTGCACTACTTCTTTCCAGGCAAGCTTCGGCAGCTGCGGGCAATTGGTCCATGTAGCTCCATGTTGCTATCGATTCTGGTCCACCCCCAACCAGTCGGGTAAAGGGAAGACTGAGTCGGTTGCTTGCAACTGACTCTATACGCGAACCCCTTGAACCAACTAAATTTTAAATAATTTGAAATAATCATAAGGACATAATTACTGCCCTTGATATACTGATACAAAACTGCCTAGGTTGGTGGGCACTTACAGCACTCGTTCATAGTCAAGCATGTAGTAATAAACACAGTGAACGTTTAAGGAGGTTTGCTACAGTATTTCAAGCTGAATTCTACGCTATAATTATGTGTGCACTAAAACAGGGGTGTAAGAAACGCAATATTTACATCCTTAGCCACAGCCAGGCAGCACTCAAACAAAACCATCGCCTCAGTGAAGGTTGAGTCTAGAATTAGGTATTCTAGATGCAATCTTAAAGATGAACAAACTCTGAAGGCATGACAAAGTGTCCCTAATGTGGGATACCTGGACATACACGGATCGAATGCAATGAGAGAGCCGACAGTCTAGCGAGACAAGGGTCAGAGACGATACCTATTGGGTCAGAACTGATAGTACCTTTATCTAAAAGCTTAGGTACCTCATGGCCATATCCAAGAATAACAGGGATGAATGGGAAAGCTCCAACGATATAAGCCTCTCCAAATCATTCCTAAAGGGAAATACAGGGTCATGAAGAAAACTTTTCAAAGGTATGCCCAAGCAATTACAGGTACGCAAACTGGGCATTATGGAACGAATCACATGTCCCACAAAATGGGCCTAACAACAGAAGCTCTCGAGCATGTGGAATACAATGTGGAGTCCATGAAACACTTAATACTGTAAGGATGGGTCTGCTTGGGTCAGCATATCCGGCATCAGAAGACTATTAGGTGGCTTTCACTCAGACGCTTAATTCACTTAACTAATGGATAGGATTTTTTTGGATGAAAGGGAATAAAAAAGGGAGAATAAAGATCCTAATGGGTCGCTGTGGACTACGCTTAGGTGTGACCCTACATAAAATAACCCAGACAGCTTTGTTTCAGCATTGGCTACTGGCAGTATATCAAGGGGTTCGCGTATAGGATCAGTTGCAAGCAACCGACTCAGTCTTCCCTTTATCCGACTGGTTGGGTGTGGCCCAGAGTCGATAGCAACATGGAGCCTACATGGACCGATTTGCCCGTAGCTGCCGAAGCTTGCCTGGAAATGGTGAGATGTAAGTGCAAGAAGTAGTGCAGAAGCTGGTGCTGTCTGAAAAAACAACTATAATGGTCACAGCCGTAGCCTTTGTGTTAAAAATAATCTCCCGTACTATGATAATATCAATCCTCACTTTCCTCACACTTACCTTTCCGTTATCACTGGTACAATAGTATGTAGAAATAAAAATGTAAATTAAAATAATAATAATAATCATTAGACGTTTAGACAAATTCAAGTTCTTTATTTAGTGCTTTCTTCTTATGATATTTTCATTAATACAATGTAATTAAACTATTTTCAACCTTATGTCTTACACATAGAGTTCAAAATTAATTGAAGAAAAAATACAAATCATGGTAGCATGATGTGCCAGGAACTCTAAATAAATTCTAAAATAATAATCTTTACTTGCTTATGAACCAAATAGTATGAATTCATGGATAAAATAAATATTTTTTTCCGACGCGCATTAAAATTCGCCCGCTGTGTCCTGAAGAAAAATTTTTTTTCACCTACTTTTTTCAAAAAAAGTACCATACAATGGTATATATTTATAATCCTGATAAATGTAGCTTTCAGGACATATTTTTTTTATTAGATTATCTCCAGTGGTTTAAAAGTAAACGACGTTTATTTAAAAAAATACTTTTTGGTTTTTGTGAATTTTACTCCATATTTCTATTTTTTTGTATGAAAAGGCAAAAAGTTTGTTCTAGAAATGAATTCGCCATCCTTTAATTATCCGAAAATGACACCACACTTGCCCTAATACCCATAGTTTTGAAGATATGGGCCTTAAAGTGAAGCGCGGCAGAAGGAAACTTGCCCCCCCTCCCCCTGCTACCACAGGGGGGGCTCCCGATGTCTACCGACGGAAATCTACTCAGGAGCACCCAAAGAACAACTGGTGCAAAAATGAGCCTTCTATACCAAAGTGGAGGGGTTCTTGCACTAAATTCCCTACTAGTAGCTTAGGTACCGTAGAGGTGCACTAAGAAAGGAATTTCCGAAATTCCCACGGGAACGGGAATTAGCGGGAAAAACGGGATTCACGCGTACGAAGTCGCGGGCGGCCGCTAGTCTCCTATAAAAATAAATAGTAAAAAACATTGAAAACACATAATACCAAAGGCTCTGATCACCACGTCAGAGGTACGTAGAACAAAACTTAAAAAAAAAAAAAGTCACACCTTAGGCAGCCACTTTTTTCCCAATACGATCGATCACCTAATGACGTAATATTGCAGGTACACAAGTGAAATCTCCCTGTTCAGAACGGGGCGGCTGCCTCCCGCCCCCGCCCTACGGGGCGTCTCCTCTACACCGGTCCGCCTCTGTGCCTATTGGTAAGTTTACTAACATCACAGTTAATCACTTCTTTATCTTCAAAAATAGAGTGGAGATATCCATGGAACAGCTAAACTGAAGAGGAGCGCGCGTTGTAGTATGACGTCACGTGTGCTTATAGTCCAGCGCGTTGTAGTTTGACGTCACGTGTGCCTGTAGTCTGAGGAGTCCTTACACCTCAGCTACACTACTCACTTTGGCGCTTCGATTGAAATCTTCGAGGAACTAAATTAAGTTCGAAGTGGATATCCACACACTTGTGCAATCTCATGAGGAACCCATTATCTCGGGGTCCGCGCACATAGTGACATGGACGTTCAAATTGCAGCTGGCANTAAAAACTAAATCAGTAAAAAAAACTTATAAAGACACGTTCATCCGAAATCTTATTATGCAAATGTTGCATGGCTTGAAGTATTCGGTCCCTACATAAACATCTTTGTGACATTATAAATTCATGAAAAAAGCGAACGGTCGGGGGGTCGTCAAAATGTTTTTCATACTAGGGGTCGTGTCATGAAAAAGATTGAAAAACACTGGTCTACATCATAAAGTTAATATACCTAGCGGAATAGACCAACAAAGAACCGAGCGAGCGAGATGTCACTTGCAGTATCACTGTGATAAAAAGAGATGCGTAATGCCATCGCCGTCGCGCATGCTATCATCTCGCTTTGCGTGAGAGGGATGGCAGCATATGAAACTTTGGAGAACGTTTTTCGGGGTAACTCCGCTAATTATCGTCATCATCAGGTCATTGCACTACAGGAGCACGTTTGTTTGTTTCAACAAAAGAACGTCCACTTCTAGACAAAGTGTTCCTTCAAGCATTTCCGCAACAACCAGTCCTGCGCTACCCGCACCCACTAGATTATTAGATCATCGATCCACCGAGTGAGAGGCCTGCTTACATTTTATTTTACGATCCGTGGTCGCTACTCGACAACTTTTCTGTCCCAGCGCCTGACAGTTTTACTATGTGCGACAGAAGCACGACTCTGTCTAATCCACCAGAGGCCAAAGAAGGCCTATACTCTCCACGCTGGCCAATAGGTTGAGAAGACCTGTGATTTCGTTATACAATATTCATACATTAAATAATGAAAATATCCCTTTACCTTCTATAAACATACTTAAGTTTTCATTGTTTGTTCCACAGATGGGTCCAGGTGACCCCGGTGGGTTAGGTCCAGGCGTGAATGTCGGCCAAAAAATGGGACTACGGAGTCCCAAGAGTCCCGCGAACGCAGACATCGACTGGCAGAAAATACACCATCAGTTTTTTGATGACCCCAAATCTATGGATACAGAATTAAGTGAGTATGCTTCCGCGTGATTTATAATAATACTTATCATCTACTTACTTACATGGTTCGGATTAGCTGTATTTGGGATGAAAAGGCAAAAAGACTGTAAAAGGCTTGAATGGGTTCTTGATCACGTTCTTACATATTATGCTTTATCTATATATATAAAAATGAAACCCGTTTCGCGTTGTCACGGCATCACGTGTGAACGGCTGAACCGATTTCGATAATTCTTTTTTTTAAATGTTTGTGGAAGTCCAAGGATGGTTCTTACGGAAAAAAATATTAAGAAAATCTCTACGCTAAGGCGGTACGAAGTTCGCCGGGTCAGCTATTGTACAATAAATACTATACAGGGTGGAAACGATAAGTGATCTCTCTCGATTATTTCTAAACTATACAAGATATTGAAAAACTGGTTACTGATCCTGAAAGTGCTTCACAAGCTCTTTATTATTAGGTAATAATAGGTTACAGAATAAACTGGAACTATCCGAAAATTCAATGTTTCCAGCTTCCATACATTTGGTAAAGTTACACAATATTAAAAACTACACAAGATATCGCAAAACTAATTACTTTATTAACCAGTTTTTTGGTATCTTGTATAGTTTAGAAATAATCGAATGAGATCACTTATCGTTTCCACCCTGTATATCTGTCTATTAGAATAACACAGTAAGGCTGCGTTTCCACCTGAGATGTGCGAGAATGCGTAGCGAGTGATGTGTTTGTAAAGTACCACAATAGAATCGCTTTTTTTACCTCGCCTCGGTAAAACGCAGCCTAACAGCTGTGTTTATAAATTGTGTAGCAGTATTGCCGAGCAAGCGAAAGATCGTGGGTTCCAGTCACACCTTAGGCTTAAAAGAAAAAAATCCATATAAAGTTTAAAATAAGATAGCCACAAAATAGTAAAATTCCTACCCCCTTTTCCCTTAAACAAATCTCCTATAAAAATAAATAGTAAAAAAAATTGAAAACACATAATACCAAAGGCTCTGATCACCACGTCAGAGGTACGTAGAACAAAACTAAAAAAAAAAAAAAAGTCACACCTTATTCAGCCACTTTTTTCCCAAAACGATCGATCACCTAACGACGTAATATTGCAGGTACACAAGTGAAATCTCCCTGTTCAGAACGGGGCGGCTGCCTCCCGCCCCCGCCCTACGGGGCGTCACCACTACACCGGTCCGCCTCTGTGCCTATTGGTAAGTTTGCTAACATAAGTGTAATAACCAATTCTTTATTTTCAAAAATAATAAGTGGAGATAATGCTCCATGGAACAGCTAAACTGAAGAGGAGCGCGCGTTGTAGTGTGACGTCTCGCGTGCCTGTAGTTTGAGGAGTCCTTATACCTCAGCTACACTACTCGCTTCGATTAAAATTAAGTTCGAAGCGCATATCCACACACTCGTGCAACCTCGCGAGGAACCCATTCTCTCCGACGTTAAAATAGCAACTGCCAANAGCTGGCATTTCAGTGTGAGCCCAATCAATGTGCACTCTCACTTGTAATAACAAGGTTCAAATTCTAAGGACGATGTCTCGACGAGCTAGCAGAGTAGTATAGTCAGACGCTTTGTGCTTAAACTTCGGAACGCTTCGAGTCATGATTCGGCCGCAAAACTGACAACGTTCGGAAGTCGGGCGAGATTGCTCGAAACGAAGTGAAAAGCGCGTCTACACTACTTCGATGAAGCTAGTGTATCTGACCCGTTTTCTTAGGTGAACGACAACGCAACGTGTTGCGAAAATATGAAGTAGTCGTTGTTAGTGTCACGTGTCATGACATGTGTCAACGTCACAAAGTATTGGTAACATTTCGCCGCGTCGCTTCATGTCGCGTTCCTTCGCTTACCTAGGACAACAGGTGAAGGGACATATTGAACAGGTGAAATCAGCATCAATTTCTCCCTCCAGCGACGCAGTCCCCTGGCCACGGGTCGGTTCAAATGCCGATGTCTGCGGAGGGCTCGCGAGCGGGGTCAGGCCTCAGTTCGCCGCACCATGCGCTCACGCACCCGCCGCACTGCAAGCCCGCGCCCAAGGACGCGCCAGGTGGGTCACAGTCCTCCTCACTACAATGGGATGAACTCGGCACGCGTGAGCTAAAACGACAGTCGGGACGCTTGATAGCGCGTATTCAAATTCCTTATTTTTTTCAGTAGTCAGTCAATAACTTCATTGATGTAGATCTCTTTTTGTGTTGCACAAATTACGTTAGCCCCGTGGTACGCTACGTGGAATATCATTGTGTTACGAGTGGCCTCACCACAAGAGTTGAACGGTGACGGGGTTCGAACCCGCGTTCCTCGGTAGTCGAGTTGTCCAGTCCGACCCCTTCCCCATTCGGCTATCTTGGCTTCGAAATTGCAAGGAAATATCTACGTGCCCGTAATATACATAATATTTATTCATTACGTTAGGTGTGTGTCTCAACTTTAGGCGGACTGTCGACAAGATCGATTTTAGCGTAAGAAGGCTAGAGCGCGACCTCGTATTTTGGAAAGGGTGCAAAGTTCCATCTTTGATTACTTTTTTTTTAATTTTTTTATTTATTATTCATTATTGAGCAATTACATATTTGATCCAAATAGCGTCCTAAATCCTTTTTAGGTTTGTCTAGACACTATTGTTCTCTATACAAATAAAAACAAACGTTTTAGTATAAGCATTCACAACACTTTCAGATATACAAAATATTATTTTAGCGAGCGCGCACTACGATGACGAAAGACTCGACGTTTGATCGCGATCGAAGACCTTGTATAAACANAATCAGCATCAATTTCTCCCTCCAGCGACGCAGTCTCCTGGCCACGGGTCGGTTCAAATGCCGATGTCTGCGGAGGGCTCGCGAGCGGGGTCAGGCCTCAGTTCGCCGCACCATGCGCTCACGCACCCGCCGCATTGCAAGCCCGCGCCCAAGGACGCGCCAGGTGGGTCACAGTCTTCCTCACTACAATGGGATGAACTCGGCACGCGTGAGCTAAAATGACAGTCGAGACGCTTGATAGCGCGAATAGTTTTTTTTTTTGCAGAACAATCAATGTCATAGTTGGGACAGTTTAGTGTCGGACAACTATAGCGCCTCTCCAAATTCTTTTTTTTTTCAATAGTTATAACTTTATTGATGTAGGATTTTCAAGGAAATATCTGTGTGTGTGTAATATACACATATTTAGATGTACACGTCGCAACTTTAAGTGGACTGTCGATAAGATTTTCGCGAAATAAGTAAGGAAGGTCATCGGTAGAGCAAGAGCGCGATCCCACGTATTTTGAAAATGTTGCAAAGTTCCAACAAAATCCATCTTTAATAGTTTTTGATTACTTGTATAAACGNTATAAACACATTAATAAGATGCTTATTTATTTCCGGAAACCCTTTATTTTACTGTCCTTTTAGCTCATGGGTTAATTAGGTAAGTGTGAAATAAAACGCATGATTTTCTTAGTCACTTAGAAGCCATAGAAGTAAGCCAGCATGATTTGTGTTAGACATTTTCCCAACCACGGCAGATATTCCAACGTCTGTTGATGTCATTTATTTAGCGTTTTATTTTGTTTTAAATTTTGTTTTTTCTGTAGTTGTAATGCGTATTTTTTGTTTTCCCCCTCCCCCGCAAAACGCTTGACGCTTGAAATCCCGTGTGATCTCTCGGATGTTAATGTTGGATGGAACATTGGACCAAACGTTGGGCGAGTAGAGATACTAGAGAAGTTGGACGACGGCGTGTTTGTGCGAACACTCCAATGCCTGGCCGCGGCGCAGAAGGGACACAAGGAGCCCAGCCTCATGCCCGTCCCGTCGCCTCAGCAGATATCCTACCTCAACCAGTTCGAAGGTAACGCTCAAGACGCAGAAATAACGGTTCTCATGTTATGCGACCATACGCGATTCGCAACTCATTTCAAAAAACTTCTAAGTAGGATTCGTGTCAGTTTGGATTCTGAAATCGCTTCGCAGAGCGATTACAAATTATTGGAAAAACCCTCTCATGCTAAATACCGTCATACAGATATAACTATCCTTCTAGCGTAGTCAAGTAAAAAGACGCTGGAACGAAGTTATTTCAGAATTAAAACTGACTCGAATATTATATTCCCTAGGTAGGCAGGAAGGTACATACTCATCGCCACATCGTTTTTTGAGATCTTTTTAGATATTCCGAGCTTTAGTGCGTGTTCATGTACACACGGGGTCCTCAAAAAGATATCATCTGAGGTGTTAAGTCTTCAAAAACATTATTTTATTTGAATTGTTACAAAAACTTTCTTGAAACTCCACGTCTGTATGAATGCGCACTAACCATACAAAGTATTCATAGGCATAGATGTAGTTTAATTTTGAGTGTAGTAAGCAGTTAATTAAATAATATTAACAGGTAAGTAATTCACAAAATATGTAAATAATTGGATGAAAAATAATAGCCATAAGCATCTCTCGTTCTTACAGTGTGACGTGCAAGGGATCGTATAGAGAAAGTCGTCACACATAGTTGGAAATGTAAATAGACCCATTACGTAATGGTTGCATAAATAGTCGTTACATTGCACAATCAATTACATTGTAAACAAGAGATAACAGTTATTTCTGTTCGTCACTAATCGAGTGGAAAATTGCTTTAGTTTCAATGTTGTATTTTATAAATACTGAAAAGTGGCCATTAAAAATATTTTGATTTCAATAAATTGCTACCTTTCTGTATCGTTCATTTAAATATTAATTTAAGTCATGATGTGCTTACATAAATATGTTACTGTAAATTATTAATCTTTAATATTTATGTGCGCACACGCATTTGTATTTAGTCAGCCTGATGTGTGTTTTAGAATTTTTATTTGTTTTTGATGTTATACTTTCCATTTTGGTGGTGGTTGGTGAAAATGTGCTAACATACGTACCTTCATACTCTATGGCTAATTCGTTCTATCACTCTGTCGTGTCTATGGTCGGTCGAGAGGCTAACGTGTTTGTCTGTGGTCTAGGTCAAGAGCTGACGATACAAAAGCAGCCGAACACGTCGTTGAAAGACAACGGGCCTCCGTCAAACAGCGGGGGACAGACGCCACAGTCCAGTTCAAACCAGAAATCGCCGGCGAGGTGAGCTTACAAAACCCCATAAACCTCTATTGAGGTTGCTATAAAATCGGTAAAAGCATTGCAACTCCTTTTACTTGTTATAAAGTGCGTGAGAGAGTTATGCAAAGTTTATTTAAGTGGTTATTATTTATGAATATCTGTGATAGTGTGCGCATGACCTAAGGAGAAGTCTGAATATGTCAAGGACTTATTTAGGATCAATGGAGTTCAAATTGTAAGGTTTTATGTACATCTGAAGTCTATACTCTGAAATGTAGGTCCTAAAACGTATCTTACCCTACGGGAGACAGTAGAAACTTGATAAATTAAAGTCACCGTAAATTGAGAAGTCCTTTCGTTTCATGCGTACAAAGTACACATATTTATCAATAACACAAACTGTTATATTGCCAGTATGATGCCGGGAACGCCAGAGCCTCACTCGTCGCTATCGGAACAGAGGGCAGGCAGGTTTTCACTGGAACAGAGTCCAGGGTTCAACAACCCACAAACGCCTACGTCAGCCGCGAGTACCAAATGTGGTAAGTATCAGCAATCACCTTTTTGCATCTCAAACTATCTCAGTTGATTGTCAGATGTTGGTCACATAACTTGTGTTTATGAGCACCAGAATCTAATCAATCTTTTCGTGCTGTATAAAATTCTTTTTGTAATTTTACGTTAAATGAAACTTACAAGGATGATTACATATCCTGTAAAATAGTAGTTTGTGGTCCACAAATAACTAATCTTCTGAAAGAAGCTAAATATGTTTGTGTTAGGAATAAGTTCACCACAATAGTTCAGCGGTCGACGGGGCCATTTATGAGAAATCCTACAACAGCTTCAATCAAAATATATTTGCATATCGTCATATCGATAAAACATGCATGTTCACACTACTCAATATGTAATAACAAATGTACCAAGTTTTTTGCAAATAAATATTTATTATTATTATAAAACTGTACTTCACACCCTATTCAAACCCTCCACAAAACTAACCCACCTAATTTCCAGATGAAAAATCAAGGCCAAGTCCGTCGTCAAATCGGTCGAGTCAAGACAGCGCGTCTAAAACGCCTCAGCGGGAATCGAATCTGAGCCAAGGGCCGTACGCGCCTGCATCGTCCGCCGCGGCCTGCGCCAACAAGAGTAGCTGCTCACGCACCACCGCTCCCTCTATGGACGACTCTATGGCCAGCACGGAGGTAGGCATATACAGTTGCTATAGGACGCCCCGACATAGACAGTTGCTATAGGACGCCCCGGCATAGACTAGCAGTCACAGGACGCCCGCCGGGAGTCGAACCTGAGCCCGCGCCGTCTATAGACGACTCTATGGCCAGCACGGAGGTAGGCATAGACTAACGGCTGTAGGAAGCCTCGGCATAGACTAACGGCTGTAGGAAGCCTCGGCATAGACTAACAGTTACAGGACGCCCCGGCATAGACTAGCAGTCACAGGACGCCCGCCGGGAGTCGAACCTGAGCCCGCGCCGTCTATAGACGACTCTATGGCCAGCACGGAGGTAGGCATAAACTATAGTTACAGGACGCCCCGACATAGACTAGCAGTCACAGGACGCCTGGTGGGAGTCGAACCTGAGCCCGCGCCGTCTATGAACGACTCTATGGCCAGCACGGAGGTAGGCATAAACTATAGTTACAGGACGCCCCGACATAGACTAGCAGTCACAGGACGCCTGACGGAAGCGCGGAAGTTGAACCTAAGTCCGCGCCGTCTATGGATGGCTCCATGGCCAGCACGGAGGTAGGCATAGACTAGCGGCTAAAAGACGCCCGTGCATAGACTAGCAGTCACAGGACCCCCGGCGGGAATCGAACCTGAGCCCGCTCCTGCGCCGCCACCGTCGCTAACAAAAGCAGAAGTGTTCGAAAAACTTCTGCAAAACTTTTGGAAGTTGTATTTACAAAACTCTTTACTGACTTCCAAAAACGTTTGTCCAAATCTCGACACGTTTTTGGAATCGGCATTAGTTACCCTTGCAGGTTGCTGCCACTCGACCCAGCTACTAGAAATTATTAAAAAAATATTGTCGAATTTATAATGTTGCAGTTTATAACATTACTTATTTAGATGCTAACCATTTGTCTTGCTAGACAAACTGAATCTTACAATGCAACTTGCCTCATTCCAGACGACGTTATCAGGCGGGCCGAACAGCACGAGTTTACCGGGCCCCTTCCCGGGCTCCTGCGGAATGCGGCCCGACAACATGCCCATCAACCCCAACCAGGGCCCCAACGGGCCCATGACGTCAACAGCCTCCTTCGACCCCATCTCGTCTCTCGCGCAGGTTCATATATTATTTACTTAACATCTAAAGAATGCACGCACATTCACGCATACACATTACACATACACTGTAGTCTTTTGTCTAGTAGAATTTTGTCCAATGACCCCAAGCTACCCATCCTTATCGCTCGCGCGATGTTGAGATTATGTTGCTGGTACACTCGCACACTCACTGCGGGCGCCTGTCGCACAGTCGCGACAGCAATGTATTTTAATTGGGGTCATTGGACAAAATTCTACGTGCTCGGCGACCAGACTATACACAATCACACACCTATTTATTGTATTTCTTGTAATTCTGATACGAGTAAGTATTAATATTTAAGTGAAAAGTGAAAGCTGATTGTATGGCACATAGAAGATACTTAGTGACCTGAGGTGGTGGGAGCCTGTCAGGCTCCCACCACAGTATACCTGTATTACAGGTCATCAGGCTCAGCCTGATGACCTGTAATACAGGTATACTAAATACCTAGCATAGGCATTAGACTCACACAAGAATGAACCTCAAACGTATCTTATACATTCACTATGTAACTCTGTTCGATTTTTGTGTGAGTAAAATAAAGATTTATTATTTACTAGCGGCCGCCCGCGACTTCAACCCCCCTTCAAGGGGTGAAGTTTCGTAATATCCTTTCTTAGCGGATGCCTACTACGTCATAACATCTACCTGCATGCCAAATTTCAGCCCGATCCGTCCAGTGGTTTGGGCTGTGCGTTGATAGATCACTATGTCAGTCAGTCACCTTTGAGCTATAAATATTTAGACTTATTATTTATTTACTCGCGCAGATGTCTCAGCAGCTGACGTCAGCAGTGGGAGCGCCGCCGCAGGGCGCCATGCCCAGCGGTGGGCCCATGGGACCCTTCCCGCACCATATGCAGCACCATCACAATATGCATCCGCATCAACATCCGCATATGATGATGAACGAGCTAGGTCAGTTGGTTTTCTTATTCGTTTCAGCCAAATGACGTCCACTGCTGGACAAAGGCCTCCCCAAGGCTTTCCGTAATGAACGGTCCTGCGCTGCCCGCATCCGGGTTCCTCCCGCGACCTTTACCAAATCGTCGGTCCATCTAGTGGGAGTTTTCTTATATTTGAGTACTACCACACCTAACGTTTTTTTGTTTGTGGCAACCAAACTTCTTTATGTATCCTCCATGTTTCTAGTGAGAAATATTGTTACAGTTTTTACAATAGAACATGGGTGTTTTAGTTCTGATGATTTGGCTTAATCGCTTTTTACCACCATGGGAATAGTGGGAATTGTCATATTCTGGTCCACTCTTTACAGGTCTAATATGCGAACATTTGTCATCCCTAGTCGCTAGTATGGTTAGAGTAAACCAAATCTCCCATTTGCGTCTGGTTTATTAGAGAGTCACGTAACTGCAAGAACGTCTCTTTAATAACCATATTTAGCAATTAGGGTTTTTAAAAGCGCATGTAAAACGCCCCATTTGAACCTTACCACTGCTTCAGGACCATATTGTGGGCTATTTTTGGGAAGAAGTCACTATTCTGGAAGGTTTACAGAAGTAGATGATGGTAATGATTGTAATCATAACCTCGTGTTTCCGTCCGACACGTTGCCACATAGACGCTTGTTACAATATTTTCAAAGGATTACAAAAATTGGTGACTATTATCAGGCCTGTTCATCTCCGCGAGTTTACATCGAAAACAAAACACGCACGATGGCCCACCTACAGGATACTATTCGACAAGGCCTCACATACGAGCGAACATTGACTCACGCACGCGTATTATTGTGTATGATGGAAGAAAATAAAGAAAATGGTGTACTAAATACTGTGCAGTATTTAACTGCCTAAATAATAATAAAAACACATAATGTACTTTTTTAAGTTGCCTCAAGACACTGAGAGGTAAATAAGTAGTTAATATATTTCATGATATTTCATGCTAAATCATGTATTTGGCACCTCACGTCACATCATTTTACCGAAGTCAGCCCTATAGCTTCGGCGCAGTGCCGATCACTGACGTTTGTCAACAAAATGGTGCTTGACTCTTGAGACAGGCTAAATTACACCATATTGTTAATGACATTGAGCATACATTTTTTTAAATACATTCGCGAAGTAAAACTTCTGTACATCGTACTTATTATTATTCTGTGCTATAATGATTATAATCGTGTTCTTCTGTGTCTGACAGGCTGCCACATGGACGCGCTGGGCGGCATGGAAGGTGTTTTGGGCGGCGAGTTCGCGCCCGACAGCCTCAGCCCGAAGTTGCACGACGCCTGCATGCCGCGCGCCAAGATGCCGCCCTTCAATGGCGCCAGTGTACAGGTACCTACTAAGGCCGTCCCTACAGGGCCCCGGGGCTCCCAGCCAAATAATGACGTACAATCTACAACTCAGTCCCAGTGGTACAAGTGTACAGGTACCTACTAAGGCCGTCTAATAGGGCCCCGGGGTTCCCATTTAGTTAATTTCAGCCAGCAGTTCACAACTGGATAAAGGCTTTCGCCAAGGATTGACAGCCTCAGCCCTAAGTTACACGAAGCCTGCATGTCGCGCGCCAAGATGGCGCCCTTCAATGGCGCCAGTGTACAGGTACCTACTAAGGCCGTCTTTACGGGGCCCCGAGGCTCCCTGTTCTTTTGAAGTTTACAACTGGATATAGGATTGACAGCTTCAGCCCCAAGTTGCACGACGTCTGCATGCCGCCCTTCAACGGCGCCAGTGTACAGGTACCTACTAAGGCCGTCTAATGGGGCCCCGGGACTCCCTGTTCTTTAGAAGTTTACAACTGGATAAAGGATTGACAGCCTCAGCCCGAAGTTGCACGACGCTTGCATGCCGCGCGCCAAGATGCCGCCCTTCAATGGCGCCAGTGTACAGGTACCTACTAAGGCCGTCCCTACAGGGCAGCGGGGCTCCCTGTTCTTTAGAAGTTTACAACTGGATAAAGGATTGACAGCCTCAGCCCGAAGTTACACGACGCCTGCCTGCCGCGCGCCAAGATGCCGCCCTTCAATGGCGCCAGTGTACAGGTACCTACTAAGGCCGCCCCTACAGGGCCACGGGGCTCCCAGTCAAATAATGACGTACAATCCACAACTCAGTCTCAATTGTGCCAGTGTACAGGTACCAACTAAGGCCGTCTAATAGGGCCCCGGGGTTCCCAGTTAGTTAATTTCAGCCAGCAGTTCACAACTGGATAAAGGCTTCCACCAAGGATTGATAGCGTTAGCCCGAAGTTGCACGACGCCTGCATGCCGCGCGCCAAGATGCCGCCCTTCAACGGCGCCAGTGTACAGGTACCTACTAAGGCCGTCTAATGGGGCCCCGGGGCTCCTTGTACAGTCGCGGAATGAAAAGGTTCGTCACCTTAGTGTCGGTTTTCGCTTGCACTAGGTACTGTAAGAGTCAAACCTGCCAACATAACAGTGCAAGAAACAGTGCTGCTAACATTGAAATAAATATGATGTTTGCTTACGAATAAGGTTTTGCTTGTTTATTTTTCTATCCCATTAGTGCAATGCAATGATGACATTGACCAATTGACAATAGTTTTTTTTATTTTATAAGTAATAATAATGGCAGGTTGAACCAACAAGAAGGTTTTAGTTTATGAATCATAATAATCTTCTTGACAAGATAAATCGTCAAACAAATTTGATCTGAATAATTTTGAACTTTACCGACGAACAGTTAAAGATTATTTTCTCTAACTCGAGATTATTCTGTAACATAGTTTCAAAAGGTAATATGTGTTCGCGATTCGTTGAAGGAATCAATTTGAAAACTGACGAACCTTTTCATTCCGTGACTGTACATTCGTTTCAGTCAGTAATTCACAACTTGATAAAGGCTTCCACCAAGGATCGATAGCCTCAGCTCCAAGCTGCACGACGCCTGCATGCCGCGCGCCAAGATGCCGCCCTTCAACGGCACCAGTGTACAGGTACCTACTAAGACCGTCCCTACGGGGCCCTGGGGCTCCCTGTTCTTTTAAAGTTTACAACTGGATAAAGGATTGACAGCCTCAGCCCGAAGTTACACGACGCCTGTATGCCGCGCGCCAAGATGCCGCCCTTCAATGGCGCCAGTGTACAGGTACCTACTAAGGCCGTCTAATAGGGCCCCGGGATCTTTATTAGTTTGTTTCAGCCAGCAGTTCACAACTTACACCAAGGATTTTCACAACGACTGGTTCTGCGCTGCCCGCATCCAGTTACAAGGCTGTCTTTACGGGCCCCCCGGGCTCTTTTTCGTTCGTTTCAACTAGCTGTTCACAACTTACACCAAGGATTTCACAATGACCAGTCCTGTTATGCCCGCATCCAGGAACTTCCCGCGACCTTCACCAGATCGTCTCGGGATTGGAAGCCCAGGACTTCGTAAAAAAGAAAAGGGAAGCAAAATTGTACAAATTTCCAGCAACTGAGACTTTTTGAAAGTAGAAGGGGGTGTCAGTGTCAGGTGAAAGCTAGAGCGCGCCCAACACGATCCTAGTACCTGCCGACGCGTTCATGTACAATCACGGAATGAAAAGGTTCGTCAGTTTTCAAATTGATTCCTTCAACGAATCGCGAGCACATATTATTACCTTTTGAAACTATGTTACAGAATAATCTCGAGTTAGAGAAAATAATCTTTAACTGTTTGTCAGTAAAGTTCAAAATTATTCAGATCAAAGTTGTTTGACGATTTATCTTGTCAAGAAGATTATGATTGATAAACTAAAACCTTCTTGTTGGTTCAACCTGCCATTATTATTTCTTTTAAATAAAAAATTGACAATTGGTCAATGTCATCATTGCATTGCACTGATGGGATAGAAAAATAAACAAGCAAAACCTTATTCGTTAGCAAACGTCATATTTATTTAAATGTTAGCAGCACTGTTTCTTGCACTGTTATGTTGGCAGGTTTGACTCTTACATTACCTAGTGCAAGCGAAAACCGACACTAAGGTGACGAACCTTTTCATTCCGCGACTGTACCTTTTTTAAAACTTACTTGTTTCATCTTGTGAAACTTTAAATTTTGCATACATGTTTATTTATTATTATCGTAATAGTAACGAACCGTGTATGGTGTCAGGTGAAAGCGAGCGCGCCCAACACGATCCCAGTACCTGCCGACGCGTTCCTATACCTTTTACTTGTTTCATCTTGTGAAACTTTTTTGCATACATGTTTATTTATTATTATCGTAATAGTAACGAACCGTGTGTGGTGTCAGGTGAAAGCGAGCGCGCCCAACACGATCCCAGTACCTGCCGACGCGTTCCTGTACCGTTTACTTATTTCATCTTGTAAAACTTTTTTGCATACATGTTTATTTATTATTATCGTAATAGTAACAAACTGTGTGTGGTGTCAGGTGAAAGCGAGCGCGCCGAACACGATCCAGTACCTGCCGACGCGGCCGGCGGCGCCGTGCCACGCGCGCGCGCCGCCCAGCCTCGACTTCCTTCAACGCGTCACCAGCCCCATGCAGGTCGACGCCTCCAAGGTACAGCCACACACCACTCTCTAAAGTCCGGTCGCCGAGCAGACACAATTTCGTCCAATGATCCCAAGCTACCCAGTCTTGTCACTCGCGCGTAATGAGGGCTATCGTTTTTATACTTAACAGTTGGCACCCCTGGCGATTGACAGGACCTTACTCTACAGTGGCGCCATCTTGATGAGTGCAAATGCGATAGTCCTCCTACCACTTTAGCACTCACAAGTTGGCGCCACTGTCTTCGCTACTAGCAAGTGACAGGACCTTACTCTACAGTGGCGCAAACTGGTGAGCGCTAAAACGATAGCCCTCATTATATTGATGTCGCGACTGTGAGACGGGCGGCCGCGGTTAGTGTGCGAGCGCGACAGCAATATAATTACGCGCGAGTGGGTAGCTTGGGGTCATTGGACGAAATTCTATGTGTTCGATGGCCGGACTTTACACTACCAAATTTCCGCCCTACACCTATGCATTAGGTTGCGTTTCCACCAGAGATGCACTGCCTCGGAAGCGATGAAGAAGATGAATGAAGCGATTCTATTGGTTTTTTACAAATACATACTCGCTACGCATTAAGCATCCTTGCACACTGGTCTCTCTCACATGCCACTTGCCACTTGGGCAACATTTAAACACCAAATTTTTTTGTGAAATGTATTTTAATCATTGAAATAAAATAGTTGTGTATACTACCGCTATAATAAACCAAATTATGTATTAACAAAAATAATAACTGGTGGAGCTTTTATATGAATTTAAAACAATAGGTATTTATTTCAGTATGATATTAACGTGTGATCTTTTCTTTAGGGCGGCGTGCAATACTTCGGCGGCGGCATGGGCGGGCCGGGGGGCCCGGGCGCGCGCGGCATGGACATGGAGGGGGCCATGCGGGGGCCCATGCGGCCGCCCGCGCCCGGCCTGCTGCGCATGCCGCACTACCCCGCCGGCTTCAACTCGCCCCCCAAAATGGACCCCTTCGGACCCCCCGGGCCCATGTGCGGCCCGACCTTCCGCGGCGTCAAGGGCCCCATGGGCCCGGGCCCGCAGGTGCGCATGGGCGCCGGCCAGCCGCTGCCGCCGTCCATGGGCGGGCCCGGCGCCGGCTTCAAGGGCCAGGGCTTCGCGGTGCCGTCCACCGCCGACCCCAACTACGCGGCGCAGTTCCACAACTTCCAACAACAGTTATACGCCACAAACTCGCGCGCTGCGCCGCCTCACGCCTATCCCTACCCGCCCAAGTGATGGCCGCCCGCCGTCGCCGCGCCCGCGCGCCCGGTGCGACTGTACAATTTGTACAAAAATATTCTAAACGTGTTGACTCGTACTCTACACGATTTAAAAGTACAGTTTTTTAGTTATTTTCTCGCTCACGGCGGCAAACTTAGTTTTAGACGATTTTTTACACGGACATGCCGGAATTTCAGTGTATCGGTTCCTTTTACTTAGCTACTTTATGTACGATTCCTATGCACGCAGATATCTAGTCAATTTTGAAATTAACGGAGCCCGATCCCGTGTTATATGTAAACCTCGACGATTGAATCCGCCGTTCGGTCACTTTTATATGCAGAAGTACACGACGTTGTAGATGTCCATTTTTTAGTTGTAGCTTAATTGAAACTGTTTAGTTGAATTGGTTTAATGTAATTTTTGGCTGACGGCCAGTATGACTCCTGAACTAGTGCCGGTCTGTTGTTGACTACATTCGTTTTGATCTGATAGCAATGTTTTTTCTGTCTTCCAGTACCTTTATAGGCTCTTAAAATAATGCAATACGATTGTTGAGAGTATGATGTGTGTACTCCTCTGATGCGCTTCGAAACTTACCAGACTGTAAGTTCGCGTAGTCTATACTTTAAAATAATGAAAAAGTACTTAAAATCTGATGCCATATTATTTGCCACATGAATTTAATTTCGTGATATTTTTACTATCTTAATTTATTGTTGTCTACGAAATCTGTATGAACAATGCGAATATTTTCCAAACGCAACACAATGTTATCGTTTCGTCGTAGGACTTAGGGCATTTTAATATGCTAGGCTAGTAGTCGCACATTGTGGATGTCACAGTGGCCTTCGATTTGTAATGCCTTGTTTGGAAAGCAATGAACCCCTCGGGACGCGGCGTCCCGGCAGCCGGGCCCGGGCCCCGCGGCTCCGGTGGGCGCGGGGCCCACGGGCTCCGGCGGGGGCCCCGGGGACCGGGCCCCGTCGGCCCGAGTCCGCCCCCGCCGACATGAAGCGAGTGGCAGTTTCGTGAATAACAGCACAAAGTCCAGAATAAAAACACCCGCTAGCGATTAGATAGACTTAATTTAAATGTAATTATAATATAAGGTAAAGAATGGTTCTTGTTTTAGAATAAGCGAAGAGCAATGATATAAAATAGTTTGTGTAATATTGATAAGAAATGAAATTAAGATGCAAACTATTGGTTGTGATTCTGACACAATTTGTTAAGTTGTTCGTAGATTTGTCACACAGAGAATTGTGGAAACTTACTGACTCACGATAAGGCCCTTTTTATTTTTAATTATTTTGTTTTTGGATATTTTTACTTGTCGTTCTCGTTTGTACATCGCTAACAATAATTGTACAGAGTACTTTTGGACTTAATTTAAGGCAATAAATGTATTTATTTTATAACTCGTGATGTAAGAATTTATTCTTAATTATTATAAAAAAAATATATGATATGCTTGTACATAATGTTTTATTTCTTTATTTTACCTAGACGACATGATGGATACATGAATAACATTAGGTATGGTACATCATCTCATCCATGCTTTCACTATGCATGCCAGATGCTAGGGCAAATTATCAGACGGAATGTAGCACAGCTATTCTAAGCAAATCGAGACTGTTGTATAGTGTGTTGTAGAGGAGGAGAGTACGTATTTAAACCAACAAGCAATCGCTGATCCACCAAGAACTATTTTATATCAGTAATTAAAAATACAATAGTACTTGATGAAGGCTTATGAAGGAGAACACTTTTCGCCACATTTGTTAGCAAGTCTACAAGATAATAGAAAGACTGGTGGTGAAGACCAAAAAAAGGCTATCTCCTAAAAAACCTAAGGAGCCTGTAGTACAAAATTTTGTACCATTTTTGTTTTTTTTAGTTTAGATTGTTAAAAAACCTAATGAGTAGTACAAACGACAGCCCATCAAGCTAAACACTGGCATCGTATTTCGAAGTCATAGGTGTTTTATTTAGTTTACAACAAAAAATTCTGTGTTGGTACATATTTGGTTCACGGTCAGTTTGTAAAAAGCAATCTTAGAGAGTGCTGCCATCTAGAAGTGATAAAGCAAACTATTTCGTGCTAACATCGCCACCTGTTGACGGTGATTTGTACTAATTAACGCCATCTAGCGAAATTGCTAAGTAACACCATCTCAGCAAAGCAGCCATAGACAATTGGGTCTCTAATCATACTTCAAAAAAACCTAAATTCTTGGATTAGATTTTTATTTTATTGTAAAATTATTTGGAAAATCATAACATATTTTTATTGTAATTATTGAAATAAACACAAAAATTAAATAAAAGAGAAAGCGGCTTCTTGACGAAAGTGGAAAATTACTCATTCAGTATTCGAAATTAAAAAGTATGAAGATTTGTCTATGGAAACACAGAACGGAATCTTGTAAAAGATTAGGCCATTTCATAAAACAAATGTATAGTAACTCGCAGAAAATATCTTCGGGACAGTTGTATTTATTTCAGCTTTGCATTTTATTTTAAATTGAATCGTGAGCCGTATTGTAGGTCCACTGGAAAGGATTCATCTTCGACTCTCGCGGAAGGGTTAGCAGTCTCGATTCTGCAATAGAAAAGATTTGCATTAGAGGAGACGTAAGGTAAACATCGATTTTAATTTTTTCTCCTAAAATGGGATCAGGTGATGAAACTAAAGTTTAGATGTTTCTGTACATAATAGGTTGTGTCTTGAGTGTTTATAGTGTATTTTTAGTGCATCCTTGTACGAAATGAAAGTTTGACTTTTGCCACATATTCTTTTGAATGGCAGCTGACGGACGTAGGTACATCTAGTTACGGATAGTACGTACGATAGATGCAACGTAAACTGTTTTCTATAGATTTATTGATGTTATTTTGGTTGTTGTGACGTTGATGAAGTGGTTATGATAGCTTTTACACACCCATTCAGGTGGAAGAACAAATTGTTTTTCCCTGCCTAAAATGTCAAACTGTGAACTTGTCAAAAGTAGGGTTGACTCATTGTTGCAAGTGTAATAGCGCCCAAACTATTCTATAATTATTTCTATTTACCTGAAAGACTGGAATAGTGCCTTGAGACAATACCTAACATATTGTGATCATGTTTTCTAGCTTATTGTAAAATTCTTACATGAATCTATAATAGTGAATGTGTAATAGTAACAAAGACACCAATTGCTTTGTTTTGTAGTGATTAATGTAGAGAAATAATATTGCCAAGATAGCATTATTTGTTATTATAATCTACTCACATTCCCAGTATCTTGCATTATCTTGTTCCCAAAACAATTAAGAATTTAGGTATATATTGGTTTTATAATGTATTCTGAATTTTACACATACTGATAAGCTTCTGTGTATTTTTGAAATTATTCAAATGACCGGTGTGATTGTTCTGTGAAGTATTTTGTAGAAATTCATTCAACTTTAGACAATTTGCATAAGAATGAGTTGTATTAGAATCTTTAATGTAGTAACTTTCATATTGTTTTCTAATTATATTTTCTGTTCACAGGTTCATTTAATGTACTGCTTTTGAACATTTAATCAATGCATGTTAGATATAGGTACTAATTTAATCTAAAATAATTAATGTTGGCAGTTTGGCACACTGTTATAGTGATACTTACAATCCATCATTTTAAATGCATAAAATCCAGAGTAAGTTTGATTATTCGTGAACACATAATTAACTTTTAAAATGATGGGGATGAAAAATAAAATAGGTTTACAAACAACAGCTTCACAGAATCTATCATTGAAAATCTACGGCATTACAAGTCTTGCTCATGATTTGAGGTGAAAATCTATTGTAATTCCTAGAGAGCATACTGAGCAAGGATTTGCATGCTTTTAATATAAAACTATCATAATTTTATTTATCTTATGAGTGAGAATAGTAAAAATAGGCCTTGCAAACAATATCAGTAAAAACTGTGTAGATGCTGTTACTTGACACCAATTTATTTAGTTATGTGTTATTGAGATAGCTCTTTAGGTTCATAGAGATGTAAAAGTTTTTCTGAAATAGTCCTGATAACATAATATAATGTCAGAAGCTTAATGCAGATTTTAATAGTATAATTAGTGAGATATGTATTAATTTGCATATTTCACTAACAAAAGTAGTTATCAGCTGTCAATTTTGTATAATGAACGTAGCGGCTTCACCTGCGTGAAATTTAGTTTGTCACAGATCGTCATAAATTATAGCCTATATGTTATTCTGTGATATAAAAAAATAATACTGTAAAGTTTCATTAAAATCCGTTCAGTAGTTTTTGCGTATAAGAGTAACAAACATGTTGACATCCAGACATCCATACAAACTTTCGCATTTACAATATTAGTAGGATAACTTGCAGATTAGGCGAGAAGGAATAGCATTCTCAGAGCTAAATCTATTCGACCATTAAACATTTCATTTGTACATAAACAATGGTTCAAGTTTCTCACATTAGTCAGCTGAAATCTAAAGCAATTAATTAACATTTTTAAGACAACCAACAACAAATGTGTGACAAAACAGAACTACACTTGCGAACAAAAGTAATATTAAATACATTAAATTGATACCATAGATACATAAATAGTCGTTCACTTGTAAAGATTGCTCAGAACAAAACAACGGGGTGATTCTGTACTTTTGCTTGTTCAGGCATAGGAAGTTACAATTATTATTTCATTTTCATTTAAAATATAAAGAACAAGACTATTGCATAAAGCTATATTTTAATCCCTAAATTGAAGATAATGGCAATTTACATTATTGTGAATCACTATGATGGACTACATCCAGTGGTAGCAAATTCTAAGATGATCTCATAAAAAGTTACAATGTAAGTTAAGTCATAAAAAGATTTTTTATTACTCTTGACTTATAGTATTTTTTATAGTCAAAAGACTTCCAGTCCGGTAGCTGATAAGGTAACATCACAACTCTCATAGGTCAAATGCTATAAGTGTTTTGTCTACAGGTGTCATCAATTGTTTAACACCTGGATACCTAGCTTCTGTTAGATAATCCCAACTTATATCCCAACTAATATTATAAATGCGAAAGTAACTCTGTCTGTCTGTCTGTCTGTTACGCTTTCCCGCTTAAACCTCGCAACCGATTTTGATGAAATTTGGCATAGAGATAGTTTGAGTCCCGGGAAAGAACATAGGATAGTTTTTATCCCGGTTTTTGAAACAGGGACGCGCGCGATAAAGTTTTTCTGTGACAGACAAAATTCCACGCGGGCGAAGCCGCGGGCGGAAAGCTAGTAATAAATAATCTTGAGCTTCATTTATGTTGACTCTTAATATTGTTTTACTAGTGCCACTAATAGTCTTTGTACAAATTACAATTATGTATTTGCCATAATCACATAGGTATTTGTTTGTTGGTGTTGATACCTAAAGAGTTAATGCTTAGCTATTTTTATATCATGCAAATTACATTTTATTTTATTCAACGTCGCGTCGCCGTCGTCGGCAGTGGCCAATTGATTTTCCGTTCCTTTAGTATGAACGTTGAAGTATGTTATTGTCACTTATCGCGATTTAATTCAAAAGTTCACATTTATCACTTTTCGCCTTATCATTTGACAATTCGATACGTAATGCTATCACCAAAATAAAAATAAAAAGCGGTTTTATTTGGTATCCTCAGTACATAATCGGTGCGTGGAAATAAACATATTTTTTCTCTTTTCTTTATTTACTTATTCAAATTAGAGAAAAGAAATAGCACATTACAAATATTACAATACACCTGCTATTTTTTATCGTACAATGAACTTTTTTTTATTGTTTCCTACATATTTCAGTTATTTTTAAGAATTTCTACCAACACAAATTACTTATAGCCATTTGTAAGTGTTTTGCATGATTATTCTTTATTTTATTAATTAAATTATTTTATAAAGTAGATGAAGACTAACTTAGAATAATTTTAAATTGATTTCAATGTTTAATTTTTCCTAATATTCAAAGTAATCCAAAGTAAATAAGATTTTATCAGCCTAACATGCACAATTTCTAATTTTACAAATTCAAAATAAATATTTATTTGCACAATTTTAAAATTTTAATATGTTTTTAAATATTAATGTAAAACATGAATTTTAATTGTTTTTTTATTCTCATATTAGTAATTTGTGATAGGTCATGGTTATTTAGATGCCTTATAAAACTGGTTGTTTGAGTTTGTTTTGATATAAAAACTTATTGACACATGTGTATCTTAAAAACAACAATATCTCACTTTCTTTATCAACTCCTTTGCTTTCTTTTAATTTTTATTTATTCGATTAGTCTCACATAGGTACGTCTAGTGAACATTTAAATTCTATATGAGGAATTTGAGGTCTAAAATTCAATGTACTACCTACTAACTGTGGATACTGGATACATAATGTGCACATTAAGCTTCTTACATTATAATATGTAGTAATGTTAAGTTGTAATAATTAACCTGCCAGTGAACTCGTCCCCCTTTTTACTGAGACTATGCTGACCTCTGCAAGCCTTTCTAATGGTTGCATAATGCTCATCTTCGAATGGCGACTGTAGCTCCAAACAACATACACAAAGATTGTTACTTTTATCATAATCATAAAGCTCTTTTTTGAGTGACCTTGATCATCAAAAACATGATCCTCCTTTTCGCAGTCAGGTAAAGGCCCTCGAATGAACCAATCGTACTTGAACGTCAGCGCTATTTCCTAAATCTACAAGAGAAAATAGAATATTGTTTATTTGATAATCTGTAATTAATTGGGATGTAGACAGCAAACAATCCAATTAATTAACCGTATGTATAAAATAAACATTACTTAGATCTATTTAGATAGTAATTAAATGTTTTTACAAGTTTGAAATTAAAGTAATCAGGTCAATATGTATTAGAGATGAATGAGCTTAAAAATATGTTACAGTAAGTTTTTTATCCATAAAAGTATCCAAAAACTTAACGACTGAGTAGTTTCAGGCTGACCCAGTCGCGCTGGTTCGATTCCAATTGGAAACGGTATAGCGAAAAGAGTCATGAATATTTCAGTATTTAAGTTGTCAGACTGATGACTTACTGTGACCCATTTTTACTATTGTCTACTTTTGGTAACTGACTAAATAGTAATTAGGATAATTTAGACACGCAATTACGGAAACACATTCGCACATGACTTGTCTTTATTATTTTACTAGCTTTCCGCCCGCGGCTTCGCCCGCGTGGAATTTTGTCTGTCACAGAAAAACTTTATCGCGCGCGTCCCTGTTTCAAAAACCGGGATAAAAACTATCCTATGTTCTTTCCCGGGACTCAAACTATCTCTATGCCTTTCATCAAAATCGGTTGCGAGGTTTAAGCGGGAAAGCGTAACAGACAGACAGACAGACAGACAGACAGAGTTACTTTCGCATTTATAATATTAGNTCTCTATGCCTTTCATCAAAATCGGTTGCGAGGTTTAAGCGGGAAAGCGTAACAGACAGACAGACAGACAGCAGACAGAGTTACTTTCGCATTTATAATATTAGTTGGGATTAGTTGGGATTACCCGACTACGCCAGAAGGAGGGTTATGTTTTTTAATCATAACTTTTTCCCACGGCTTCGTCCGCGTTAAATTCAGTATAAATTGTAGCCGTTAAGTTCCAATAATATTTTAAAGTTTTATCAAACTCCGTTCAGTAGTTTTTCCGTGAGGAAGTAGCACGCATATGTACATCCTCACAAATATTTGTATTTACAACTAGCTGACCCGGCGAACTTTGTTCCGCATTAATGGCAATAAATAAGCAGACTTTTTTTAATTTCGAACGGGATAAAAAGTATCCTATGTCCTTCTCCTGGCTCTAAACTACCTCCCTGACAATTTTCAGCTAAATCGGTTCAGCCGTTCTTGAGTTATAAGCGAAGTAACTAACACGACTTTCTTTTATATATATAAACTAGCTGACCCGGCGAACTTTGTTCCGCCTTAATGGCAATAAATAAGCAGACTTTTTTTTTAATTTCGAACGGGATAAATAGTATCCTATGTCCTTCTCCTGGCTCTAAACTACCTCCCTGACAATTTTCAGCTAAATCGGTTCAGCCGTTCTTGAGTTATAAATGGAGTAACTAACACGACTTTCTTTTATATATATAGATACTAGCTGACCCGGCGAACTTTGTTCCGCCTTAATGGCAATAAATAACGGGATAAAAAGTATCCTATGTCCTTCTCCTGGCTCTAAACTACCTCCCTGACAATTTGTCAGCTAAATCGGTTCAGCCGTTCTTGAGTTATAAGCGAAGTAACTAACACGACTTTCTTTTATATAATAGATTAGTGGGATTGTTATTTGTTATTTCTTCTGAACATAATGCGAGTACTTAAGTAGATAGGTACTTTTACTAGAGGGTATCAAATAGTCAACTATCAATGTTGTATTTAATTGTTATGTAAATTTCCGATTATAACTATTAATTTTACTGATTGATTGGTTTTGTTTTTATTAAATTAATCACACTTTTACAACTTTTCTCTTGTTATCGTATATTATAATTGTTCCTATGGACTTCGAACTGTAGCAATTTTTAATTATACATTGTGTTGCAATTCACGAAGGCGAGTGAGCTTTACATGTGTGGTGGCTCGCTACTGTTCGGTTTTGATAGACATTACACTATCGTTATGTGCATGTACACGTACACACACAATAAGCTCACTGGCCTTCGTGAATTGCTAAAACTATAACCACGCGGATTGTTGGATTCTCGAGCTGTAAGGCCTAAGTTTGATTCTTTGATGTGTCACATCAGTTGGTGGTGAAATCAGACGTAATACTAATTCCCAGTGAGCATGATTCATTATTTCTTATCATTTGTCTGTAAAGATGCTTCTTCTAAGGAAACCATAACCGTTTGTGTTATTGTTTTGAGTAGGTATTTTATACATAAATGCTCATCAAGCGTAACGCAAATAATAGCGAGTTTTATAGGTGTAGCTGTCTAAATACGCCTATAAATATTTTTTTTGTTAGGAATAGTACTTATTACAGCTGCATAAATTTGTTTAGCATCCTGTGCAGTTGTCTTTATTTATATTTTATTTATTTAATAGGACAACCAACAAGACATACACTAGAATAGAAGACAATAATAAATTAACAGCGTATTTAAACTTAATCTAAGTGCTCCCTTAATTATAGGTTGCCACGGCATGCAATTGTGGACTTACGCCCGTTTTCACCATCAATCCTTAATTTTGAAGTGGCCCCTATGTCAACAAAATTCCTGTTATTTTTCAACATAGGGGTCACTTAAAAATTGGGGATTGATAGTGAAAACGGACATCATACATTTAAACAGTGTTTACACTGAAAGAAAAGAGTTTTTCTTCAGCGAGTATTATTTCGCTGGATTAACATTTCGCCAGCAACCCGATGCGAAGCTGTTTAGGGCTAATGTGTTTTTAAAGCAATGTATTTTACAGGATTGGTTTACATTGTCTTTTTAGTTCCTGTTTCTGTCTAAACTTTTGAACTAAATGAAAATAAATTATTTCTTTGTAATAAACGTACAACTTGTATTGTCCACAGGAGCGGATAGGGGGCGCTAGTTGTCTGGTTCACTGTTGGCTGGGAAACACTGAACCCTTGACTCAGGAATAGGATGTCAGTGCTGAATCAGAGTGGAGAAGAGCAGGTAAATCAAATCAAATCAAGTCTTTATTTGCACAATTAAATCACATGCAATAATAATTAAGGCACACATCATCAGTAGGCCTAGAATACGCGCCGGGGTAGATTTTATCGCCATTTTATCGATTTTACGCGATAAGCCTATACATTTATCGTCTAAAGTCGCCCGCACGTAATTATGTTGCTGTCGCGCTCGCACACTCACTGCGGGCGCGCGTCGCACAGTCGCGACAGCAATATAATTACGCGCGAGCGATAAGGATGGGTAGCTTGGGGTCATTGGACGGGATTCTACGTGCTCACGGACCAGGCTTTAGTAACAGTGAGCAAGTGAGTGTCAGGGAGTTAAATCCTCTCTATGGGAGGTTTCACAAGCCTCAGTTGAGAAGTGAGCAAGTGCAAGCTAAATTGACTAAGCCAATCTTTTAATTTTTCATGTCTTTTTAACTACACCGACAAAGCTCTTGGCTTGCATCTCACCTGATGGAAAGTGATAGTTTAAGTTTTTCATCTTCATGCAAATTTTCAGTTTTATAACAGTCAATCTATGCGTTGTTTCAGGTGGAATGTCCCCTGTGTATGGAACCGCTCGAGGTGGACGATCTCCACTTCTACCCGTGCACATGTGGATACCAAGTGAGTAGAGCACACAAAACATGATCGGTCCGAGGTTCGATGCCTGGACGGGTCAAATTGCCTTCACCAGATCACGTCAAGCAACAGTTGAAGGCAACACTCTTTATTATATGGATTTCAAGTGGTGAAAGAATCGATTCAGGAGCTCCAGAGATTACTTCCTATAAACAAACTCACAAATTACAAAGGGGGTGAAAATGCCCCCAATATTTTTATTGTTAGGGTTCTTTTTATATTGGCGTTGACTGTCAGTTAACTATACATTTTTATTGCAAAGTAGCGCCTATAACAACGATATAAGATGCCCCAGTTTTTTAGGGTTGATGTGCCTTGTCATTACATGTCAAAACCTACTGTGAATATCACAAAGTGTGCAAACCACAATCCTCAATTCCTGAAAAGGGTAACTGAGTTTTAATGGACTTGATATCAATTATTCAGTCAGTTGATACGAGAGTCTGACGTCATATCTCGTATTAACATACGAAAAATATCGTTCACATAAAAAGTATGCAAATTCATCGGTGAATGAATGCAGGGATTGCAAAAAAGAAACTGCTTTGAATGTTGCTGTATCTTAGCATAAAATTCATAGATGAAAATCGTGTACTGTCATGCTTTTAACTAAGGGGATATGCCTGCTATAGTTCTAGGGGTTAGCTCAGTCAATGCTTGAGGTATGGGAGTGGCGCGGGAGGTTGTTTTTAAGACATCTACCGTCAGCGAGACGTCAGATATGCTTCAGATTTGTATGCTCTGTCACGTCATAAATGTCAGTGTCACCCCTCCCGTGCTCCCATATAGTTCCAAAATACTGAACTGTCCTATGCATGACATTGACAGTGGGGCGCCACCGTCAATACCGGATCGCTGGTTCCGATTTTTGCCATGTTGGAAACCAAATAGTTGAACGATGGTAGCGCCCCCCTGTCATTGAGTTTGGTGGGACAGTTCAGCTTGGGTCATCTATACTAGGCATGGAAATGATTGCTATTTTTCATTCATTTTCATTCTATGAAATGATGATTTTTTTTCATATGATTTCACATGCGAAATTTCACAGGCAATGACTTTTATTCGAAGTGTTTTAATGTAGCTCTTTCATATAATGTGCTACTTTTAATGAAGTATGAATTATGATGAAGGATTGCTAATTAGCTAAAATATGAAATGTAACAATATCTGTTTCATTTATGTCGCACAACAAAAAACAAACAGTTTCACAGCACATTAATAACCGCGCGACTAATGAAAATCATTCATTTCATCTGCCTGCTATCTAATGAAATCACACGAATCATGACAAGGAAATCTAAACCTTACACCTTTGAGTTTAAAGTTCATATTTAAAATGACCAGTTTCGTCCGTCATCACATCTCTTGTCCTTTTCTAACACGCACATGATCAAATCATTCCTTCTTACTCGCTCGGTCGCTTCGCAGAGCTGCGCTCACGAACTTCGCTCGAATGAATGAATGAAATTCATGTGATTAGTGATTTCGTTGACTGTGAAATTATAGCAGTCTATGTGAAGTAATATAGCAAGTGTGATTAATGAAATTCATTTCATATGATTTTTCACCTGCTATTCATGAAATGTTCCATGCCTAATCTATACCTCAGGATCTATGTGACATTGGCGGAACAGTGGCAAAAAAGCACAAGTTCATCGCCATCAACAAAAGAAAAAGAAGAACACTGAGTTAAGTGCTACAGCGCTAGGCCTGTGGGTATCTTTTTTTCCTCGTTAAAATAATAATTTTAATAAGGAACAATACATAAGAGCTAAATAAAGATTTGTCTTTGTCTTTCTTGTTATATTATGATGAGTCACATTTTCAAATGTTGAACTTACAGTCTCTTTGTTCATTGGTTTTCAAATTTCAAAGGCGTACATTTCCAAATTTTACCCATTTCTTAAAACGGGGTTTTAAACGTGTAAAATGTAATTCTTACCGACTTGATCACTTATTTTCACTCACTTATGTCTTTTCTTATTTATTGTTCCCTCCGCTGCAACTATTGTGTAGCCGAGAGCTATCATCGAACTTAATAAAGTAATAAGGCACAGATTCAAAGTGAATTGCAGCTTCTCTTGATAGTTCCTTTGTTGGGCTGTTAACGAATGCAATGCACTAGCTGTGCTCGCGACTTACGCTTGAAAATAGTTTGAATAATATTTCCCGTTTAAACATTTTTTTTTGCTGCTCCGCCCCTATTGGCTGTAGGGTGATGTTATATAGCATAAAGCCTTCCTCGATAAATGGGCTATCCAACACGATTTTTTTTTTTAAATTAGACCAGTAGTTTTTTTTTACGTACGACTTAGTATGCGTGTATGCGTGGACTCCGTGTCTTAGTGAGCACCTATGTTCTAAAAGGAACACCATGCAAAATTTAAGACAAAATTCAAGCACTTGTAGTTTCTGAGATTTCGTGATGAGTGAGTGAATTAGTCAGTGACCTTTCACTTTTATAGATGTAGATTAGTATAACTTTGCCGTGTCATTCTAAGTATAATCTTGCAGATATGCCATTTCGCATAAAAATTGTAGACAAAACTACCTGCCTAGGGGAACATTGGGAAAATATCCCGTTTTCCCCATGGAATTTCAAAGTATAATCTTGCAGATATGCCGTTTCTGTTGGAACCGCATACGGGAGGGCGAGAACGGCCTGTGTCCCGCGTGTCGGAAGGCGTATCCGGAGAACCCTGCAGACTTCACCCCGCTCAGTCAAGAGCAGGTAAGTGCACTATTATAACTTCACTCGATGGCCCGACGATCTAGTGAAGGTCACGGGAAGCACCTGGATACGGCCAGTTTGGTTGTTGTGGAAATCCTTGGCCTAGAAAAAGATGCCTTTGTCTTGAAGCTATTGACGTCATTTGGCTGAAACAAACCCAAATGACAGCCACTGCTGGATAAAAATTAAAAACCTCTCAAGGATTTTAACAACGACCGGTCCTGCGCTGCCCTCATCCAGCTGCTTTCCGCAATCTTCAGTAGATCGAGTAGTAGACCTGCATTCAAATACGTTTTCCGGTCTGTGATCGCCACTAGATTTTTTTTTCTACTCTAACAGCTTTTAGTTATATGAGCTATGTCCCACGCTTACTGCCACTTAAGTTTGGCCATTCTGCGGGCTATATCGTTACTCTTATCTTCTAATTTCTAATTCAACCACGTAAGAAAAGGACTGTTCTAGTGTACGAGCAATTTACACATGAATTTTGGTAATTTTAAATCTTATATTGATTGTTTGTCTATGGCGATTGTCAGGTGGCAGCCATAAAGACGGAGAAGAAGGCACGCGAGCAGAAGCGGCGGAACAAGACGCTGGAGTCGCGGCGAGCGCTCGCGAACGTTCGCGTCGTGCAGAACAACCTCGTGTTCGTCGTGGGGCTGCCGGTGCGGCTCGCCGACCCCGAGGTGAGATGATACAATCAAAATGGCGGTCAAACTTGCGAAGGGGGACATTGGGAACGTGATAACTCAATGTCCCCTTTTAAATTTTGAAGGGGAATCAGGATTATTGATCGCCCAATAAGACTAAAAGCCACTCTATAAGTACAAATGATGAATAAAACTAGTAAGGGGACGTTAGGAACGCGATAACCCAATGTCCCCTTGTAATTTTGAAAGGAAATCAGAGATATTGAGCGCCCTATAAGACCAAACGCACTCTATAAGTACACATGGTAAAAAAACTAGTAAAGGGACGTTAGAAACGTGATAACACAATGTCCCCTTTGGAATTTCGAAGGGGAATCAAGGTTATTGAGCGCCCCATAAGATAAAAAGCAAATCAAATCAAATAATCATTTATTGTGTTAGTTATAGGTAATACAATAACACAGATCTTAAATGTTTACATACAACCGTCCAATGACTGTCGGCCGTTTGGTGTAGTGGTTCAGAACGGACTACTATGCCGAGAGGTCCCGGGTTCGATTCCCGGCCGGACAGAAATTGAAATGATGAATTTTAATTTCTGTAAGAGGACATTAAGAAAATATGTATAACCCATTTTCCCCTTGGTATTTCGAAGAGAAGTTAGAGATATTGAGACCCCAATAAGATAAAAATCAATCCTAAGCTTCTAATATTATTCAGTGAGGACTTTGTTTCCTCTAATTTCTCAACATGATTAAATCGTAATCAAAATATTTTTATTTTCAGATCCTCAAACGTCAGGAGTACTTTGGCAAATATGGCAAAATTCACAAAGTAGTTATAAACCAAAGTACCGCGTATGCGGGGTCACAGGTAAGATTAATATTTTCTCCTTGTTTTGTTCAAAATAGTATGGGACTAATTAGTTTATTCCTAAATTGAAACTATCTGTTATAATATTAAGCTACTAAGCGGGTACTTTGTTATTTTTATTTTTATGTAATAGCGGTAGTTTCACTATTGTTTCCAACGGCTGTTGCGCCAGTCGAATACACGAACTTAAACGTAGCGGTTGTTGCTTATTTTAAATTCCCTATTCCGATATACCGACGATATAACATTTGGCGAACGAGATTAAAAGTTAACGCGTGCAAATTAATTATGGCGAAAGTTACGGTCGGCATTTTAACTTCATTTAGCCACGAAGTTCAAGAGTGGTCGGTGTATAAGGCTCGTTTAGAACAATGGTTTCTCGCAAATGACATTGGTGCGGAGATAGACAAAGCCGGTAGTAAACGTCGAGCCATTTTACTAAGCAACGTGTCAGAATCCACCTACAAGCTTGTACGTGACCTAGCTTTACCTAAGGAAGTGGGAGTTTTGAGCTACGAAGAAGTTGTGTCGCTGCTAGATGGACATTTCAAAGCAAAAAAGTGCACATTCGCTGAACGATGGAAGTTTCACAGCGCCATTCAACATACGGGTGAAAGTCTGGCGGAATGGGCGGCGCGCGTTCGAAGCTTAGCATCGCATTGTGGTTTTAAGGCTGAACATTTGGATGAGCAGCTTCGTGACCGGTTCACTCTGGGCCTGGAGCCTGGACCAGAGAGAGACACATTGTTCACCAAAGACTTGGCTGAGCTGACGCTGTCCAGCGCCCTGGACATAGCTGAGGGGGTGCGGTGTGCTCGAGCGAGCTCTCACGAGGCGGCGCAGCGACAGGCGCCGGCGCTGCAAGTGATGAAGGTGGCGATGGCGCGCGGCGCGGCGGCAGCGCGCGGGCCCGGCGGCCGCGGCGCATCGCCGGCGCGTGCGCCCACGGCGGCGGCTGGTGAGCGGTGCAGCGTGTGCGGCTACGTCGGTCATAGGGCGGAAACGTGTCGGTTTGCTCGTTATAAGTGCAGGAAGTGCGGTGTTCAAGGCCATCTCAAACGAATGTGTAAAACATTAGCGGGGCAGCATTATGTTGAGTGCCGTGAGGATGTCGATGACGATGGTAAGCGATTATGTTGTAATATTCGCACTCTTCGTGGAGAACCTCTGCGGGAATCGGTCGTGGTCAATGGTTTTAGCCTGTTGTTTGAAATAGATACGGGATCACCGGTTACCGTAATTTCTGAGCAGATGTATAAACGTTATTTTTCAAACGTTAGCCTGGAACCGAGTGACGTCATTTTACACAGCTACAACGGAGATCGATTGAACATTATGGGAGTAATTAAATTATTATTTACTTATAATGATAAAAGTAACGATATTGTGGTATATGTTGTGCACAATGGGGGACCTCCGTTGTTGGGCAGAGATTTTTTTTCACGCTTCAATTTACAAATATGTGCTATAAATAATTGCAGTAACTTTGTTGAAGATATAACCTCTAAATACCCGAAATTATTTTCTGAAAGATTAGGTTGTTTTAAAAATGTTGAAGTAGATTTGCCTCTTAAGCCCGATTCGAAACCGATTTTTTTTAAGGCACGCCCTTTGCCATTTTCTATTCGTGCAAACGTTGAAAAGGAGTTAGAGCGATTAGTAGACTTAGGCATTTTAGTGCCGGTGAAATATTCCGACTATGCGAGTCCTATTGTTCCAGTCTTAAAGCGTGATGGCTCAATACGTCTCTGTGCAGATTATTCGGTAACAATAAATAAGCAATTACTTGTTGACAAATATCCATTACCAAAATATGATGAACTTTTTACAAAACTGCACGGTGGAAAATTGTTTAGCAAACTAGACCTTTCACAAGCATATAATCAACTGGTTTTAAATGAAGCCTCACAAATGCTCACCTGCATAAATACGCACAAAGGGCTCTTTAAATTCACTAGATTAGTCTTTGGTCTCGCAAGCGCACCCGCTATTTTCCAAAGAACCTTAGAAACCGTGCTCGCAGGGCTAGAAGGAACACTTGTATTTATGGATGACCTCTGTATCTGTGCTGAAAACAGGACCCAAATGATGTCAAGGTTAGCTGAAGTGTTCCGTAGACTAGAGGAGGCAGGGTTTGTTTTGAACAAGGAAAAATGCAAATTTTTTCAAGAATCTGTTTCATATCTGGGGTTTGTAATAGATCGCAATGGTATTCACAAATCGCCAGAGAAGGTAAAATCGATTTTGCAATCAAAAGTGCCGACTGATACGACAGAGCTAAAATCGTTTTTAGGTATGGTAAATTATTATAGAAACTTTGTAAAAAACGCTTCTGCTATCTTGTCACCCTTGCATAAGTTATTACAGAAAAATGTACCATGGGTATGGACTACGGAGCATGAGGAAGCTGTAACAAACATTAAACGTCAGTTAGCATCTGACAACACTTTAACTCATTTTAACCCTGAGGCTGAGTTAGTACTCACTGTAGACGCGTCGCCATACGGTCTTGGGGCGGTCTTATCACAAATTGAGGAAGGTATTGAAAAGCCAATTTCTTATATGTCCCGTTCTCTTAATGCAGCCGAAAAACGGTATAGCCAAATTCAAAAAGAGGCAACAGCTATCATATTTGGCGTGAAGAAGTTTCATCAATATTTGTACGGCCGAGATAAACCATTTCTATTGAAAACAGACCATAAGCCTCTCATATCAATATTTAACCCAGACAAAGGGATCCCCGAAATATCAGCAAATAGATTACAACGTTATGCGATTTTTCTGTCTGCGTACAAATATAAAATAGAATATGTTAATAGTGTTCATAATTGCGCCGACTTCTTAAGTAGGTCTGTGAGCGAAGTCAGCCCGCCGTCCGCTCGGGAGCACCCGACTGCGGGGGATGAGTCATCGCTCGACAGGTCCGCGTATGTACGATTTGTTTATGAGGGCGAACGGTTTCTGTCTCTCTCCGACGTGCAGGAGGCTACGAAGCGAGATAACATAATATCAGCGGTTTTGCACTACGTATTGAATGGGTGGCCAAATAAAATTGATGATAAGTACAAATCATTCTTTAGCCACAGGTTGGAATTATCTGTTGAAAATGACTGTCTAATGAGAGGGCATAAATTAGTTATACCGGATAGCTTACAAGTTAAGGTTTTAAACGAATTACACAAAGGTCATTTGGGAATAACAAAAATGAAGGAAGAAGCCCGCCATAGGTTTTGGTGGCCGGGCATGTCCGCGGCGGTGGAGCGGCGCGCCGGCGCATGCGGCACGTGCGCGGCGCAGCGGCCGGCGCCCGCGCGCGCCCCGCTCACGCCCTGGCCCTACCCGGCTCAGCCATGGCAGCGGGTTCACTTAGATTTTCTCGGCCCAATTAACGGAAAAACCTTTTTAATCATTGTGGATGCGTATTCAAAGTGGGTAGAATGTTTTGATGTGTCTACCGGGTTTAGTTCCCGCATAGTAATTGAAAAGCTGTGTGAAGTGATGGCACGATTTGGTTTATTTCATACTATTTGTTCAGATAATGGAAGCTCGTTCTTTTCGACCGAGTTTAAACAATTTTGCTCTCGCAACAGCATCACTCACTTAACGTCACCGATATATAACCCAGCTAGTAACGGTCAGGCTGAGAGCTATGTGAAGATAATCAAAAAGGCTATAAAGTCAATATTAATGTCAGGTTCAAATTTGCGAGATTTAAACATTAAGTTACAAGAATTCCTTTTAACATATAGAAATTCTATTCATACTACGACCAACCGGTCTCCCGCAGAGATATTATTCGGCCACAAATTAAGATGTCGGTTAGATCTTCTTAAACCTCCCGCGTCATCTCCATCAGACACTGCACTCAACAAATGCGTCCAATCTAAACAGTGCTTACAGAGTGACAATTATCGGGGCAACCGGGAAGTAGACTTTAACCAGGGCGATTTAGTGCTAGTTAGACTTTATAATCAACAAAGACAATCATGGACCCGTGGTGTAGTAGTCAAGAAAATCGGCAATTCTTTGTACTTAGTACAACTCAGCTGCAATGATCAGATTGTTAAAAGACATGTAAACCAACTGTTAAAGTATAAGGGGGGAGAAGATGGATGTTGCGAACAAAAACCGGCGACAACAGATACCGTCCCCGCCTTCATACTGCCAGTGGAGCAGAGTGCGGAGCAACCTCCTAGTACGGAGGAGTCAACACCTACTGCTGAGTCTTCAGGGACCTCGAACGCTCAACCGGCAACTAATATCTCCCCCGAAGATCAATCTGAGAGCAATCCAGAGGACTGGTTTGATTGCGGCAATGAAATTGGACAAACTGTTGATGTCACACCAGCGACGCCCCCCGAGTCTGTGTGTGAACCTCAAACCACACCTCAGAGGGAAGTCTCCACACGTTCGAGACGGCCTAGGCGCGTTGTAGACTACAAGAAGTTTTTTTGAATAAAGGTGGAGGGATGTTATAATATTAAGCTACTAAGCGGGTACTTTGTTATTTTTATTTTTATGTAATAGCGGTAGTTTCACTATTGTTTCCAACGGCTGTTGCGCCAGTCGAATACACGAACTTAAACGTAGCGGTTGTTGCTTATTTTAAATTCCCTATTCCGATATACCGACGATATAACACTATCGCAAATGAATTAGGCGATTATCAGACTGCGCCGCGGTCCGCGTGATTACATATAACGAATCCCGCGCGCAGACGCGTTGTCAGTGTGTTGTGCCGCGCGTGTTTTCTATACAAACTGAGGTACTTGCATATAATGATTAAATCTGTCGTCCCGCGTACCGCGGCGGAGCGCGGTGCAGTGTGATAATCGCCTTATAACCCTTTTAGATAAATACGAGCTTACTTGCATGCATGAGACTTAATTTACAAAAACTGTACAAATTATGTGTATATTTATACCTCAAATACATTTCCTCCCTTATCAACAAAGGATTATGAGAGTGAGAATATAATTTTGACTTTAAACATTAGGCCACAATCGACGTTTTATTGCAGAAAAGATCAAAACTATTTGCTTGAGGCAACTCAATACAATTTACCTCAAGTTTTACAGAAACTTTTTATCAAGTGATTGACAAAACAGAAAACATTATTCAAAAGCGTTCAGTGTGCAATATGTCCTCTAAAACTGAATTGCAAATCTGAATCAATGATATTCATGCAAAACACACGTGCGCTTGCAACGAGACGAATGCTCCAGGTTTTTGTGAATTTAAGAGTATCGGGAAACGTTATTTTCATATTCAGTTATGTTCCAAATAGGTTAGGTTTTAAATACACAGTGAATTCTTGTCCATTAACATTTAATTTTCAGTACGAAAATAGACAAAGTTACATAAAAAAGATTTATTTGGTTTACTAAGTTACTATGCCGCAAAAAATGTTGAAAATAACCCTTAAAAGAATGACATGATGTATTATGATGAGGTGTTTTTTCGTAGTAGACTATTAATAATAATTCCTATTACACGTTCCGTTGGTTAGTAAATAAGGTAGCGACTTGTTTTAATGACGTCATAAAGTGAATGTTACACCTTTGACCTGAAGCTCTTGAGATTATCTGTAACTAGCTTTCCGCCCGCGGCTTCGCCCGCGTGGAATTTTGTCTGTCACAGAAAAACTTTATCGCGCGCGTCCCTGTTTCAAAAACCGGGATAAAAACTATCCTATGTTCTTTCCCGGGACTCAAACTATCTCTATGCCAAATTTCATCAAAATCGGTTGCGAGGTTTAAGCGGGAAAGCGTAACAGACAGACAGAGTTACTTTCGCATTTATAATATTAGTTGGGATGGATACAATAAAAACATCTCACAGATGTCTTTTTAATCCCCAGTGCATCTCAACGATCATCGAATTTTTGCTTCCAAAAAATCACTAACTTAAATGAGCTTAAAGAAAATAAATTGCATTGGGGAGACCTATGTTCAGCAGGTGATGTTCTGTGGCTAAAATGATGTCGTGTCCTCCGTGCTCAAACAACTGATTTAATGAATGCCAACGCCAATCTTGTACCCGAGTTTTGGGCTGACACTGTAAGTTGTCGACAAGACAAGAAGAAGAATGATGATGATAAAACAAACAGAGGTTTTTTTTATCAAACTGTCATTGGATCACTGATTGCTTGTCACAATGACGTAAAAGTTTCGTTTAACATCCGCCAGGGTCCGTCAGCGTCGGCGTACGTGACGTACGTGTCGCCGGCGGACGCGCTGCGAGCGATCCAGGGCGTCAACAACGTGTCGCTGGACGGCCGCGTGCTCAAGGGCTCGCTCGGCACCACCAAGTACTGCGCCAACTTCATGAAGAACCAGCCCTGCCCCAAGCCCGACTGCATGTACCTGCACGAGCTAGGTGAGCCATCTTGTGCCTTATGCGCTTGTGATAGAGGCTACCCCGCGTGTCGCTGCGGCCGCGTGCTCAAGGCTCGCTCGGCACCACCAACTGCTCCAACTTCATGAAGAACCAGCCCTGCCCCAAGCCGGACTGCATGTACCTGCACGAGCTAGGTAAGTGCTGTATCTATAGCACAATAACTTCTACGTTTGAAGCAAAATATCTTCCACTAGCTTTCCGCCCGCGGCTTCGCGCGCGTGGACTTTTTGAGCCTATTCATTACAACCAAACAAACAAACAAAGTTTTCTTCTTATATTAGTGTAGATTAGAACTACAGAAGATGCCACAGTGTTTCGTCTATAGACGCTATTGTGCTTTCGACTACTTCTACCATTAGGGTGAGTCCCGCTAGCTCAGAATGCGCGCTACAATATAATATTCCGAGGCATTTTATTGATTTTAATCAATAGTCCGATATATTTTCGTCTAAAGTCAACGATAACATTATAATTTCATGCATCCTAGGTCGGTTTGAATAAAACATAAGGAGTGTGATTAATATCATAACATCCTTTAGCCATTTGCCAATGGCAATTGCCAGTTCACCAGCGAGAGAGAGAAGCAGCAGATGTGCGCATATTTTTCATGTGATTGAGAAGTGTAAGCCCGCGCTGTGATACAAGCAAGTATGAGTTTTGGGGACAAATGGAGCAGCACGTTTTGCCCGCAGAGCGTCGACACGAAACATGCCCCGGGTCACGTGAAAAGTTTTGCAAAACACTGAGGAACAAATTGGGGAAGTTTGGGAACGTTGCTGCATCACGTAGAATCTGAGTTGCACGGGACATTTGTCCCCTAGTCACTATAGTCTTTTTCACCTAAGATGATCCGTATGACGTTTCGAGTTTGAAAGATTTAGAGATGTCACATAACTAAACCATAGCGATTTATCTATCGATTTTTTTCAAAGAGTTAGTAAAACCTACTTTTAGAGACATATTTTGTATAGGTGTTATTTAACAAAAAAACATGTTTTTTTTAAATTACAAATATTATTGTAACAATGTTTTATTGATAATATTCAAATTTCATGGTTCGTGTTCAAAAAAACCATTCTTAAAAAGTACTGGTTCTGTTTCTTTAAATTAAAAACTATTAATTTATTTTCAATGCGTTTATTAAAGTCAATAATCGAAAAATATAGTTGATTTTTGTGATGTTTTTAATAACTAAGTATTCACTGCAATCGATTAATGAACCGCGGAAATAATCGATTTTATTATACAAGAAATACCCCAGCACTAAATCTATTCCGTTTCACACATTGCGTACATTAAATAAAAAATGTTTTTACATCGTATTTAATTAAAATATAATCAATAGACTCAGATTTTACTATATATTTCAAGACAAGTAGTTAATTTATTTTTATTATATTGCTAATAAAATACAAATATTTTTTCTAAAATATTCTGCATATGTAGTATGCGTAATATGGATAACCTTGAAGTGTCATACGGATCATCTTACGTGAAAAAGACTATAGGGGATAAATGTCCCGTATGACAAATTTACGCTAGGGCCTAGTGTATCCGAGACATTATGCTTCAGAAGAATTCCGATCATAGACTACCATCCTAATCAGATTTTTGTCGGCAGGTGATCCGAAGGCGTCGTTTACGAAGGAAGAGATGCACGCGGGCCTACACCAAGTGTACGAGCGCAAGCTGCACCACCAACTCCTACAGCAGCAGCGGGACAAGCCCGCCCCCACCCCAGGTACACCCCCTCCTCCCCTCTGCCCACCCCTAACCCCTCTCCAGCGAAATCTATACTTGCGATCAGAAGTATGGAATCACTTTTGTGTTTTGTTCTGAGCGATTTTAAGAACTTGCTGGTTCCCGTCTAGTCACACTGTGTCTGTAACTCGTTGGAAAAAAACCCATCAAGTCACACTTTGTTACTCATTAGGACATCTATTAACGGGTTACATTTTAAGTACCTTTAATTCCACTGAGTCATAGTGTTACACGTCACAGTGTGACTACATGGGAACAAGCCTTGTGTGTATTTAATATGTATCTTTGGTATAAGTTTACAGTTTTTTAATGTGGCATTATTTTTATTAATCTTCATTGGTCATTTAGTTCCTTTAATATCTTGGGGTAATTCCACACTTTTGATCGTGAGTGTACACAGGCTAGTCCTTTGACCACGCCTGTACAGAGGGCAATAAACTTTACACGGGCTAGTGACGTCAATCTTTTGTACATTGCTGAAAAGTGTGGGAAAATAAAATTTTATCAGAGATCAATGCAGCAAGAGACACGAAACGAGGAAGAAAGATCTTAGAGCTCTGTCACCACCACTGAGAATACAGGGAGACATGTTAAGACTTATTATGTAATATGTTTTAAACTTTGTTTTAATCGTACTAATATTTTCAATATCACACAGGTAACTCTAGTACGAATGCAGAAAAAGGCAGTTCAAAAGATGGTAAGTCACACACAAATGAACTACTTTAATTTATATTTTTTTACGTATATAACTAACGTAATTATTTGTTTTTAGGTAATCAATCGAACTTTATTCCGACAACAGTGGTCACATCGTCTCATATAAACGTAGTCAATTCAACTAAGTGAGTATCGTTTGACATTCGCTCCTACTTCAAATGCTACCAGAGTTAAAAATGTTTAACTAAAGCGGACGCAAAATTTTCAACTGGTAACACTTGAGGTATACTTTTTATTTTGAACATTTCGAATCGGTTCATAGCATAAAGTTAATATACCTAGCGGAATAGAGCAACAAAGGACTGAGCGAGCGAGATGTCACTAGCAGCAATACTGTGTGATAAAAAGAGATGCGTGATGCGACGTAACAGAACCGTTGTTTGCAACTAAAGCCTGGTCCGTGAGCACGTAGAATTTTGTCCAATGACCCCAAGCTACCCATCCTTATCGCTCGCGCGTAATTATATTGCTGTCGCGACTGTGCGACGCGCGCCCGCAGTGAGTGTGCGAGCGCGACATCAACATGCTTTACATATTTGACAGTTCGTTAGTACTCATTGAAATCACACGCTGAAAATTTAAGCTTTGAGCTTTTTTTCAGATTTAACGTGAATGAAATAATCCAAAAAACTGACATCCAGTGACATCCTAAAATCGGTTTCGTTTGACAGCTCGTGGTGGTTGCTCTATTCCTAAGGAATATTAACTTAATGGTTCATAGATGAAATCTATTAGGCAACCTTCGCTCTTCATTTACTTTTATCTTTATAGATGTTTTAATATAACGTGGTTAATGTTGCTGTGTTGTCCTGTGGTGTCTTCTCTCTTCACTCAGTTATTCTTGATCATATTTATTTACTTTTAATATTTGTATCAAGAAACACGACACAGACAAATTACCCGTCACATCTGTTGAATTACCTTTTTCCATGTGGCTTTGATTGGCATTTAAATGCAATAATGTGTGCGTTTGGCAAAATTGACGAAATTGTAAGCTTTTATAAGCAAAATGACAATTTTTCGGCTGTTTTCGGCTAGGTAGGACACGTTTGCTAACTTCAATAGTGACGTGTTTCATTCATTTTTTTAGCAGTGACCGATTGTACCGCTAAGCGATCGCCATTTTGCTTATAAGCGCTTACAATTTCTATTTTCTGCCAAACGCACCCAATGATTCAAGCTACTCGGCAGGGCAGTAAAATAATATTAGGCAGAAGAGGTCAATCGCTCTCGGTGCATATTTCATACACTTGCCAAGCTATTCCAAACCATAAAATATGATAAAGCACTTCGGTTTAAATACATTGTACCTTTTGCAATATTAATTTCTACTATGACCGATATTCAATGTTGCTTTAATGGCAACACTGTTTTCGTTTCACGCAGAAACATTAAAAACCGGAACTTTAACTCGTAAACATCGACCCTTTACCGGTTTTTAGGTCACAGAATTTGTGAAACGGAACGTAAATTAAAAAGTCTATATGTCAGCATCGATGCGTTGCTGTCATATCTTTCACTTGTCAACGTCATTTTCACTTCGGTGTCGATGCCATTCGATGCATTCATGAATAATTTCTACTATTTAGTAGAATTTTATTTAAAATAGGGGTGGGTAGACAACTTTTAGAAGAATTTTAGTTCAGTGTGTAAATCTGTATGCTAATCAGAAAGCCAAAGCTTCAAAAATACGTTATAAATGAATATTTTCAATACATGTGGCTCGTTTACTACTAGCTAGATGAACTATGCACCTTATGCGTACGTAAAATGAACCATATTACGACCTCTGCCCTGCCTCGCCTGTATCCGAGTAAACACAAGTTAAAATGTCACTCAAAATCTCAAATCACAGACCTCACCCTCTACACACCAGGCATTACAAGTTTTAACGACTCGCGCGGTTTTCAGATCAAATAAAAAGGACCCGGCGAATAGCAATAGTAACGGCCACGGTAACGGTAACGGGCACGGTAACGGTAGCGGTAGCGGCAGCAGCAGCGGCAGTAACGGCGACGCGAGTAGTAGTGCGAGCAGCAGTAACGGGAAGGAGGCGTGGCCAAGCCTCGGATCGTCGCCACCGTCCGAAAGCCCAGCCAGAAAACAGCCGAGTCCGAAGCCACAACAGTCTACAGGTCAGTGGATTTGACTTTATAAAATACTAGCTTTCTACCCGCGGTTTCGCCCGGGGTTTTCCCGGAAATTATTCGAATTTTTCTCGCCGTAAAACCATCCTTGGACTTTAACTAACATTATAAAAAAAGAATTGGTAAAATTTGCCCCGGCGTTATTGAGTTATGCGCTTACCAACACATTTTGCGATTCATTTTTATATTATGATAGACTAGCTTGGCCGATGTATTTCGTTTTGCACTTTATCACTGATATGGTTTTAAAAACTAATTGTTTTGTAACTGTAAGTCTGTAGTAGACAAAAGTCTTATTCTTACCAAGTTTGTTTAAAAAATATGTGTCTCATAATACCTAAACGGCTTATGTTCTTTTTTACAGTTAAGTCACAAGAAAACGGCACATCAGAATCCTCAAGTCCCACACTTTTACAACAGCAGTCTCAAACGAAAAGCAAAGATCACACGGCGGACAAATCCAGGAGCAAAGAGAACGGCACAGCGGTACCGGCGAAGAGGAGCAAAAGCGATAAAAAACACAAAAACAACGACACAGACGACTCAGACAAATACACAAACACAAATATGAACACTAGCACACAACAGCAACAGTCTTTATTCGAAAACGACACACAGAGTTTCCTATCAAACGAATTGGACGAGTTAGAATCAGATAGACACAGCCTTTTAGAGAATCATGACTTATTAGACAATAGTGACCACAGTTTGTTGGAAGACGACAACACGCATAACCTTCTGAATGATGGGAACAACGAGGCGCTGATGATGCAGAGGCATAGAGAAATGCTCGCTGGCCTGGTCGAGCCCAACCATATACTGCCGCATATGAAGACTCCTTTAGTGAATGGTTATGGACTGTTAGACAGAGATGTGAGCTATTTAGGTAAGAATTACGTCATCATCATCATCATAATTTATTTTACGTAACTGTAACCTGGAGCTGTTTAAACCTTTTTAAAGTAATCTGCATCAGCTCATTACAGATCTTTATTCGTATTCTGGTGTTCGAAATTCATTCAAGTCACCTATCACCTGGAACTACTCGCTCAACCTTCATTGATTGCGTTTAATTAAATTAGTGCTCAAGCTAAAGTTCTTGACTATACCTACCTGAGTTACATTTTGACTACACAGTCCCGAATTTCTAATCTGTGTTCTTTGCAGAAATGAATTGCATTGAATTTCTTTAATAATGTTCATCGCCTTCGGTTTAGTGAAATGACCGCCATGGTCCTTTCAGCTGTCATGTAATTCCATTAGTCGAACTAATTTGACGATAAAGATAAAGTTGCTACAAAATCCTTGCCTCCACAGGGTGTTTATGAAAAAGGATAGGGTATTTCGAGACTTATATTTAGTAAAGGTGACCTGATTTCCCCAGGTAACGAAAGAGGGGTTAGTGAAATGAGCCAAGGCCTGCTGGAGCAACAGAAGGAACTGGCGATGCGCGCGCGCCGCGACCTGCTGCGGCCCGACGCGCGCCGCGACCGACGCTTCCTGCCGCTCGCCGGCCTGCCGCACGACTCCGCTAGTGAATTATTAGGTGAGCCCCAGCAGTCCAGTGAGATAGCCAGGCGGCCCGCCGGCCTGCCGCACGACTCCGCTAGTGAATTATTAGGTGAGCCCCAGCAGTCCAGTGAGATAGCCAGGCGGCCCGTCGGCCTGCCGCACGACTCCGCTAGTGAATTATTAGGTGAGCCCCCAGCGACCCAGTGAGATAGCCAGGCGGCCCGTCGGCCTGCCGCACGACTCCGCTAGTGAATTATTAGGTGAGATAGGTCAGTGAGCGCCGCGGGTCACTGCGGCCCGACGCGCCGCGACCGACGCTTCCTGCCGCTCGCCGGCCTGCCGCACGACTCCGCTAGTGAATTATTAGGTGAGCCCCAGTAGTCCAGTGAGATAGCCAGGCGGCCCGTCGGCCTGCCGCACGACTCCGCTAGTGAATTATTAGGTGAGCCCCCAGCGACCCAGTGAGATAGCCAGGCGGCCCGTCGGCCTGCCGCACGACTCCGCTAGTGAATTATTAGGTGAGATAGGTCAGTGAGCGCCGCGGGTCACTGCGGCCCGACGCGCCGCGACCGACGCTTCCTGCCGCTCGCCGGCCTGCCGCACGACTCCGCTAGTGAATTATTAGGTGAGCCCCAGTAGTCCAGTGAGATAGCCAGGCGGCCCGTCGGCCTGCCGCACGACTCCGCTAGTGAATTATTAGGTGAGCCCCCAGCGACCCAGTGAGATAGCCAGGCGGCCCGTCGGCCTGCCGCACGACTCCGCTAGTGAATTATTAGGTGAGATAGGTCAGTGAGCGCCGCGGGTCACTGCGGCCCGACGCGCCGCGACCGACGCTTCCTGCCGCTCGCCGGCCTGCCGCACGACTCCGCTAGTGAATTATTAGGTGAGCCCCAGTAGTCCAGTGAGATAGCCAGGCGGCCCGTCGGCCTGCCGCACGACTCCGCTAGTGAATTATTAGGTGAGCCCCCAGCGACCCAGTGAGATAGCCAGGCGGCCCGTCGGCCTGCCGCACGACTCCGCTAGTGAATTATTAGGTGAGATAGGTCAGTGAGCGCCGCGGGTCACTGCGGCCCGACGCGCCGCGACCGACGCTTCCTGCCGCTCGCCGGCCTGCCGCACGACTCCGCTAGTGAATTATTAGGTGAGATAGATCAGTGAGATGCAGGCAGAGAGAGAGAGAGAGAGAGAGCGAGCATAGAAGATGCAAAGTTCAGAATCTTTACTAAACAAAAGGGTATTCCCTTTATGTCTCGTGGACTCTCATTCACATCTCATCGACCCTCACTACATCTCATCGACCTTACATTTAATTTTGTTGACCCCCAATTACATCTTATTGACCACCTTATTGACATCTTATTGACTACCAATTACATCTTATTGACCACCAATTACATCTTATTGACTACCAATTACATCTTATTGATCCCCAATTACATCTTATTGACCACCAATTACATCTTATTGACGACCAATTACATCTTATTGACGACCAATTACATCTCATTGACCACCAATTTCATCTTATTGACTACCAATTACATCTTATTGACCGCCCAATTACATCTTATTGACCCCCATTACTTCACCCCATCAACCCCATTCACATCTTATTGACCCCTATTTACATCTCATCGATCCTCATCGACCCCCATTCGCATCTTATTGTCCTCTCGTTTACATCTTATCGACCTTTGACCGTCCACAATGAGGTAGTGTAAAATGGCTTACAAAAAAATGTGATACGAATTGAATTTCATTTGGATGAAATATGATTGGTTATTCAAAACATTTCTCCGCTCTCTCGGAGGAAACCGAGCCTTAGAGGCTTGGACTTTTTTATCGACTTTCTAGACATGGATCAATGAATGCTTATCTTTTACCAAATCGATTAAAATTGTTTATTATTTGTTTCCAGGTGCTAATTATCATCCAAATCCCAATATGCTTCCACCGTTCGGTATGCGGGTAGATAATTCAATGGGCTCGAGTGGGCTGACATCCGGGGCGCTGCCCGGGGGCCTCCCGTCCGGGGGCCTGGCGTCCGGGGCGATGTCCGGGGGCCTCCCGTCCGGAGGCCTGGCGTCCGGGGGCCTGTCGTCAAGTGGGCTGTCCGGTGGCCTGGCGTCTAGCGGGCTGTCCGGTGGCATCCCGTCCGGGCCGCTGTCCGGGGGCATGCCGTCGATGACGGCCATGCCAGGCATGAACTATATGCTGAGCCACCAACAAATGATGCAGAATCAACAAGTGCAGCAACAGGCACTTGTGAACGGATTCGATGCGCCACAGTCGGCTGTGAGTTTGTATTCATATTTTACCTTTCAATGTTTTTATGTTTGATTGCACTATTCTTTAAGTAGGTAATTAGGATTAAAAAAAACATTAAATTCGTTAACTTTCTATTGAAAGTAGATGTCTCTTAAAAACAACTTTTACACGCACTTATAACAAATGATTCAACGGCTCCACTGTAGTTCCACGGTTCTGAGACGTGTGAAAGTGGAAAAAAGCCCAGTATTGATAGTAGCTCCCTCCTGTAAATGTCAAAATTATATGTTTGTCCAATGTGGCAAAAATAGACAGACTCCTGACAATATCATGGCTGGGACATCTATACTGGGGAGTAAGGTCCTGTCACTCGACAGTGGTGCCAACTACAAATACAGTCCTAATTAAATACGTAGTCTATGCTAGAATCACGTTTTGACAGCTCGTACAGTGCATGCCAATCGATCTGTAAATTAATGTAATGTCTTGCTTGTGTGATGTGCAATAAAGTTTTAATCTCTCTCTATCTTTTGCAGAGCGAAGGAAGGTACCTCGCAGAGAACATGGACAAGTTCTTCACAGACTTCCACAAGGCGCAACAGCTCCGAATCCTCTCGCGCGGCGCTGACGACTTCCGCCCGCGCGCGCCGCACAATATGCTGTCTGCTTCTAGCCTCGAGCGCGAACACAAGCACAGGTACTGAGGCTAGCACAGGTACTATTGTGGCGAACACAGGTTCAGACTCACTGCTCCGGCTCCTCTCGCGCGGCGCCGCACAACATGTTGTCCTCTTCCAGCCTCGAGCGCGAGCACAAGCACAGGTAAACGGGACTATTCCTACCTCTCGTTCCCACCACTGCAACTCCTATGTAGCCAGGATCTACAGCTTGACCGCCATAAAAACCGAACCAATGAAGGTACTAAGTCTAGCACAGGTACTAATGCGGCGGACACAGGTTCAGCCTCGCTGCTCCGGCTCCTCTCTCGTGGCGCCGATGACTTCCGCCCGCGCGCGCCGCGCAATATGCTGTCTGCTTCCAGCCTCGAGCGCGAGCACAAGCACAGGTACTAACCTCGCTGGTGTGATGAGCACAGGTCTTGTTGTGACTAGCACATGTACTGAGGCTAGCACAGGTACTACTGAGGCGAGCACAGGTCCAGACTCGCTGCTCCGGCTCCTCTCTCGTGGCGCCGATGACTTCCGCCCGCGCGCACCGCACAATATGCTGTCTGCTTCTAGCCTCGAGCGCGAACACAAGCACAGGTACCGTACCGTAACCTCTGCTGTGAGGAGCACAGGTCTTGTTGTGACTAGCACAGGTACTGATGCGTTTAGCACAGGTACTACTGAGGCGAGCACAGGTCCAGACTCGCTGCTCCGGCTCCTCTCGCGCGGCGCTGACGACTTCCGCCCGCGCGCGCCGCACAATATGCTGTCTGCTTCTCGAGCGCGAGCACAAGCACAGGTACCTGTATTGCTTTGTTGATGCTTCAAGCACAGGTAAGGTAACCCTGAGCGAGTGCAGGGGCTGCTGTGACTAGCACAGGCACTGTTGCGACTTGGACTGGTACGGGTTAGTCTAGCACAGGTACTGATGCGTTTAGCTCAGATACTACTGTGGCGAACACAGGTTCAGCCTCGCTGCTCCGGCTCCTCTCGCGCGGCGCTGACGACTTCCGCCCGCGCGCGCCGCACAATATGCTGTCTGCTTCTAGCCTCGAGCGCGAACACAAGCACAGGTACCGTACCGTTACCTCTGCTGTGATGAGCACAGGTCTTGTTGTGACTAGCACAGGTACTGATGCGTCTAGCACAGGTACTACTGCGGCGGACACAGGTTTAGCCTCACTGCTCCGAATCCTCTCGCGCGGCGCTGACGACTTCCGCCCGCGCGCGCCGCACAATATGCTGTCTGCTTCTAGCCTCGAGCGCGAACACAAGCACAGGTACCGTACCGTTACCTCTGCTGTGATGAGCACAGGTCTTGTTGTGACTAGCACAGGTACTGATGCGTCTAGCACAGGTACTACTGCGGCGGACACAGGTTTAGCCTCACTGCTCCGAATCCTCTCGCGCGGCGCTGACGACTTCCGTCCGCGTGCGCCACACAATATGCTGTCTGCTTCTAGCCTCGAGCGCGAACACAAGCATAGGTATTGCCTTGTCAATGCTGCAAGCACAGGTAACCTTGTGGCGAGTAAAAGTACACCTGAAATAAGCACAGGTAGTGTTGCGACTAGCACAGGTGCTGCGGTGACTAGCACAGGTGCTGCGGTGACTAGCACAGGTACTGCGGTGACTTGCACAGGTGCTGCGGTGACTAGCACAGGTGCTGCGGTGACTAGCACAGGTACTGCGGTGACTTGCACAGGTGCTGCGGTGACTAGCACAGGTGCTGCGGTGACTAGCACAGGTGCTGCGGTGACTAGCACAGGTGCTGCGGTGACTAGCACAGGTACTGCGGTGACTTGCACAGGTGCTGCGGTGACTAGCACATAAAATGCCTTGCTACTATGGCAAGCACAGCCTCTCAAAATACAGGCACTGACTCGCAGCTGTGGTGGGCACAGGTGATGTTGCGGTGAGCACAGGTACTGCCTCGCTGCTGCGGCGAGCACAGGTCCTACAGGTCCAGGCATCCAGTATCAGTGCCTCGTTCGGGGACTGACACTGGACCCCAGAATAGTCCAGCGGTCGATGAGGATCGAACTTGCGTTCTAATGTCATATTGGCAGTCTGATGCCACCTTTATGCTATGTATTTTATACCTTTACAACTGTCGATTTTTTTGTTTCTTGTTTGTTGTTTGTATGTTTTGCAAATAAATTATAGCTCACATAACTTCTTTTGCTTTCCAGAATGAACAATTTAAGAAGCACAGAAGCCAACGGCGGCCGCGCCGCGGGTGACGGGGACGACGACTTAGACTTCGACCCCTTCAAGGAAACACAGAAAGCGCTCGCGGAAATGATGGAGTCGGAAATGATGCAGAACACAGTTTCTAGCGGGTATGTATGCAATGTGAGGTGTGTGCATGTTGGCCTTATTTGAAATAATGGGGTTACTTAAGGAGTACCTTACCACAATATCGTATATTCATTGCTATCGTGATAAGATTCTAGAATACTTTGAACCTCTTATTAATAACAGTTACACCCTAGTTGAACTCTGGTTTAAGTCGTCATTTAGTATGGAAATAATAATAATAATAATAATATCCTTAGACATTTTACACTGCGCTTCTAGTCCCAAACTAAGCAAAGCTTGTACTATGGGTACTAGACAACGGATATAAACATACTTAAATACTTTTTTTTTTGTAAATACATACTTATTATACATAGAAAACACCACACAAATGTCATTTTAATTCAGTGTTCATTCCGGGTGTAAATTTTTATTTATAAGGGGGGGGGGGGGGGTGTAAATTAATATTTATAACGCTCTCACGTTGTCGTGCTTATAAGCTCGCCATGTCCAACAAGGACGGTAGCGGTTTCATACCAACATTTTAAATGTGCGAGCATGTTGGTGCGTGTAGACGTACCTTTTGCCACACGCGCAACCCGTATAAACGTGAGCCGCGGAGTTACCACTACCGGTTCAAGCGAACACGCCGAAATACGCCCGTGTACAGTACCCGGCAATAAATATTGCACATCGACCTTTGGAAAGAGAATCGGTTAATTTCGGCTCGTAGAGCGTTATCTCTGTCGCACACTACCTATACGATTGACAAAACGTCATTGACAAAACATTATTCAATGAAAATATTGTCCAAACTCTTAGTATTTCTCTTCGACAAATACTTTAACACATTGTAAACCACTTTTCTTTCACGACTATAAAAAGTTTTTAGCAATTTAATTCACAAAATCAATTGCACACATTTAAAATAAAGTTTGTTTACACTTTGACAAAACGTCATTGTCAGTCATTGTTCAAGTGCGACAGTGATAACGCTCTACGAAACCGAAATTAGCCGATTGTCTCTTTCTAAAGGTCGATGCAATTTGACGATGCAAATTGCAATATTTATCGCCGGGTATTGTACGAGAAATCCGGTTTTTTGAAGAGCGCGTGTAAGGTCTAGATCAGACAGCGATAATCGTGTGGTTGCTGGACAGCTCTCATACATTTGCATCAAACCGTAACCGCACGGTTACCGCTTCAGTGCATCGCTAATGTGAACCACCCAGAAACCACGCGGTTATCGTGCGTGTGAACAAGCGCTAAACATGTTTACTGAAACCGCATATGCCCAGAAAAATACGCTTACCTGTAAGGTCATTAAAGTTTCTAATAATTACAGTCCGTCTGTGATACAATTTTTATTCCGAGCAGCTTGGCTAATATGTGTAATATGTAAAAGTTTTTGTGTGAAAATAGCCTTTCAATGTGCGTAACAAGGTCGATATCCGCTTGCAGGGACAGCATGATAATTTTGTCTTTAAATTCCTAGCCAAGTTTGGCCCCAAGTCATAGTCAATGTGTGGCACCGGCATTATGTAGTAGTCTTTGTGTCATATTTCCTATATTTTTGTGTCAGTATCAAATTGCCTTTATTTTGTGTGAAAATAGCCCTTAACTGTAAGTAATAAGTGCGCTTGCTATCCGCTTGCAGGGACAGCATGGAGCGCATTGACACAATAATTTTGCCAAGTTTGGACCCAAGTCATAAGCCAATGTGTGGCACCGGCATTATGTAGAAATTTCATGTCAAACTGCCTTAATTTTTGTGTGAAAATAGCCTCTAACTGTAAGTAATAAGAGCGCTATCCGCTTGCAGGGACAGCATGGAGCGCATGCGGCGCGCGCGGCTGCCGCCGCCGGGCTTCGCCGCGCGCGCGCCGCTGCACCACGCCCACCACAACCACCACAACCACGCCCACAACCAGGGTGAGGACCACTACATTGTTCCAATATTACTACAAGTAGGCCTGTTCATCTCCGCGAGTTTACATCGAAAACAAAACACGCACGATGGCCCACCTACAGGATACTATTCGACAAGGCCTCACATACGAGCGAACATTGACTCACGCACGCGTATTCTTGTGTATGATGGAAGAAAATAAAGAAAATGGTATACTAAATACTGTGCAGTATTTAATTGCCTAAATAATAATAAAAACACAGAATGTACTTTTTTAAGTTGCCCCAAGACACTGAGAGGTAAATAATAAGTAGTTAATATTATTCATGATAATTCATGCTAAATCATGTATTTCCTCCGCCATTTTCCGCAGTTTGGCACCTCACGTCACATCATTTTACCGAAGTCAGCCCTATGGCTTCGGCGCAGTGCCGATCATTGACGTTTGTCAACAAAATGGTGCTTGACTCTTGAGACAGGCTAAATTACACCATATTGTTAATGACATTGAGCATACATTTTTGTAATACCTTCGCGAAGTAAAACTTCTGTACGTAGTACTTATTATTATTCTGTGATATTACTACAAGTAGGCCTGTTCATCTCTCCCCGTGCACGCGGTGCACCCGGCGCCAGGGTAAATCCACAAGGGATTCACGAGCGAGTAGTGAGTGACGTACGCACGTTTATTCTTCATCCATTGTAAAAAAAGTATTTGCTATGGAAAGAAGAAAAACGCATGCGGTGCCCTAGATGGCGATACAGTAGCTTCTTGTAGCAGTCAGCCCTATCGCATCGGCACTGTACCGATCAGTGACGTATGTAAACGGAACGGTGCTCGACTCTTGAGACTAGCTAAATTACACTATATTGTTGACGTCATTGAATAGACATTTTTTTAAATACTTTCGCGAAGAAAAGTTTCCTGTACGTATCACATATTATTATTCTGTGCTCGTATTTCAGCCACGCCCATTATCGCTTACATACCAGTTCTAAAGTTCACGTTTCCCCGCAGGTTACAACACAAACAGCGCAATGTTCGCGGACTGGACGCAGATGGACCCCGCCATCATGTCGACGTCGGTAGCGGGCGGCGCGGGGGGCCACGGGGGCCACGCGGGCGCGGGGGGCCACTCGGGGGGCCAGCAGGAGCTGCTGGCGCGCTTCAGCCAGCTGGGGCTGGGCGGGCGTGCGGCGTGGGCGGCGCCCAAGCTGCCGTGGGCGGGGGTCCCGCTGCCCCCCGGCTTTGCCCCCTCCAAGCCCCCCCAACGGCCCGCCGAATGTGTCGACGCCAACTAAATCACCCCCATGATGTATTTTCCGTTCGGCCCTGTCGTCTCTTTCCGTTGGTGATGTGATCGATAAATCTTTGTATTGAGAGGAGCGTATTTTAAACGAGAGAAATATGATAACAAAGGAATTTGTAAAATAAATTAACCTATTTGTTTTATTTAAAGTTTGATTTTTCTTTTCTTTTCCGTTCGGTCCTCGGCTCGGCCTTTTCTATTATCATATTTCTTCTTCCGATTTCGTTCTTTCCGTGTCTCGGAGCGCGTTGTATGTATATTCGTTATATGTTATATATTTACTAGAATCATATCCCTGTTACGACAGATTATATTTTCTATATTAAAATGAGATGCCAATTTACTCGCTGTTCCATTTGTACCTTATTGAGCCAATACCATGAAAAGGATCATTAAAATTAAAACGAGATTATTATAACGCTCTCTTTTAATGACACCTGGACCTTTGATTACGAAAGGAATGATGAAAACGTGTTAAATTACAAATTATTTACAAGAGACAAAAAATCAAACATGTTCATTTACCTATACAAAGATAAATTTATTATTTTAGCTTCATTCACTACACTATCATCAATGATAGATGTGCTCAAGTACATCTAAAAGTTACGCGTATGCTGAGATGCAAGATGCAAATAGACCCAAACAAGAGCTTAACAACATTCTTTTTAACGCTGTGGATACACGATACATTTTTCGAAATGCATACTAATACGTGTTGGACTAACTGTGGCGGCTCGTCTGCATCTCAGTATACGAGTACCTGCACATTTCGTAGATGAGTCATAAAATTTTCTTCCATACGCATACACATATTTACACAAGATTACGTTTTAGATGACGTCAAGGAACGTCTATTGTGGTCTATATCACTACCATTAAGGGGCGCACATTAGTTGGCGCCACTAGCGAGTAAGGTCATGTCGCTTGTGACAGACAGTGGCGCCTTCTGGTGACCGCTGAAGCGGTAAGAGGTCTATCGCATTTGCAATCGCCACTGGCGATTGATTCATAGGACCTTACTCGCCTGCGTTTCCATCAGAGATGTGCGAGGATGCGTAGCGAGGGATGTGTTTGTAAAGAACCAATAGCGAAGTAAATGAAGCTAGAATACACTCGGCATCAAATAAATCGCACCTCCCGCGACAAGCACTTATCAAACGTATGCATCCCCACTTCCCACCAACATTGGTACCATTTGAAAGCCTAGTTTTAAACTTCATTTCATTAAAGGAAAGGTTTTTACCCCAAAAATGTGTCTTTACAAGGATCCAGAGTCACTTCTTCAAAAAATAGGTAGTTACGCTATAGCCATTTTTTATGACTATAAAACTGTTAAGTTGGGATTAATCGCTATCCATCTGTTAAAGAGGACACGTGAGATCTTTATTTGGTTTTATAACCATAAAAATTGGTCTAATTGATCCCAGAGGTGAGCCCAAAGTAAGGTCTATTTTCAAGTCACATTAATTGTAAATGTTAATTATTTATTTAGAAATGAAATGTATTTTTCTTTAAGGATATTTATTAGGCTTTCAAATAACACCAATATTGTTGGGGTACCATGATTGTGTCAGAAGAAAATCTATAAAGTTCGCGTCGCGGAAGGTGCGGTTTATTTGATGTTGAGTGTAGTTGAAAGCAAAAAGTAGTAATACTCAATACTTTTTGCTTTCACAGTGTAGATAAGGTCTTACAGAAGGAGTCTTCTTTAGAAACACATCCCTCGCTACGCATCCTCGCACATCTCTGGTGAAAACAGAGCCTGAGGAAACCCTCAATATACTCGCGGTCCTAGAGTTACATCTTCTTGTCAATAAAACCCCTCGGGTCAGGGCCGTCCCAAGGAACTACGGTGCCGTCGTGCCACACATAGAGACCAGTCCCTGGGGGGTCCAAGACCAGCTTCAGAGCCAGTTGGGCCCCCTGTTCTGGGGTCACGGACCCCACGCCGCGAGTCATGTCTGATATCACGTAGCCGGGGTGCATGCAGTTCACCGTGATGCCTGGAATGAAATTGGAAGATTATACAGGAGTTATTGAGTAAAATTATTAACGCAGTTTTAAGTAAGATCTCGGTAATAATTTGCTGACATGCGTAAGTTTAAAAAAAAAAAGTGAGCGTCGTTAGAGGCTGTTGGTTTCAATATACGAGTATTTTAATTTTTGGGGGTAAGTGCGGTACGATCACAAAATACTATTAATAAGTACTACCTTAAAAAACAACTTGTCCAAACGTTTGGTGTTATACCATAAATAATTTAGTTTAGAGTAGGCGCACACCGTTGATTTTTAGTTGGCCGATAGTTGTGCCCGATTTCAAATTGTATGAAGAATCGGCCAAATCGAATCGGCGTAGTGTGCGCACTCCCATACAGGCCCATACTGATCAACAGCCCGACTAAACTATCGGCCGACGAAAAATCAACGGTGTGCGCCTACTCTTAATATTTTGCTAATGCTAAAGATAGTTTTATGCGCGTTTTAGGCCTAAAGAAATGATAACGTATTTTTTTCTTGATTGCCACAAGGTTTGAAGCAATTAAGTATTAATACATATTAAAGACTTACCTTTTTCAGCTAATTTTCTACTAAGCATAAAGGTATACGCGTTCACGCCTACTTTGGAGATCACATACGGCGAGTCACCCCATCCATCTTCTATTTCCCTTCCCTCCTTCACAGATTCCACGTAACTGTTCATCAGTTCCTTCAATTGCTGCAAAGATAACTCCTCCGATATAAATTTCTGTCTCAACGCCTCTGAAGGGATCCGAGAGAGATGGCCAGATGAGCTCGAAATGTTCAATACTGTCCCGCCATTTTTGATCAGCGGCAACATTGCCTCAGTAAAGTTTGCCAGTGCGAAAAAGTTGACTGAAACGGTCTGTTCGGCTTGGAACTCCTTTGGCTCTTTAGCGTCTTTTAAGAATAAAATACCAGCGTTGTTAACGAGAATATCTATTTGTTGATGATTCTCTTCTATGTAGTCGCGGAATTTCTTGATGCTGCTTTCGTCTGTGACATCCAGCTGGTGGAAAACTGGTGATAGTCCCAGATTCTTTAACTCCTCGCACGCAGACTGTCCCCTCCTTTGGTCTCTTGATGTTAAATAGACGGTGCCATTCCAATTGGAACACAGTGCCTTGACTATTGCGAATCCTAAGCCTTTATTAGATCCTGTCACTACAGCCACTTTCTTAGACATTTTTCTTGGAATCTTAAATATGAATTAAATATAAAGACTTATGAATGAGGCAAATAACTGTCTTACTTTTGAGAAGTAGGCATTTAACCTGCTTATCTCAAATTGTAACACAAATATTCCACATTGTTAGATAAGAAAACATAAATGTATATTTTCTCGATTTCTAAGTGGGTCTCTTTTCGTTACATTTACAAAGTATCAATGTTAACCTGAAATTATCTGCTTTTTAGTCTACTTCTGTATTTATGGGCTCTACCAATAATGTGTTTGGTGTTTATAAGACGAAGGCCACTTCCAACCTACGCTATTGTGCGTACGCGCAGCGATTGCGTCATCTTCGAAGTTGTTTTGCCCCTACTATTTTATTCGAAGTCCCTAAATTCTCACTGATCCATGAACATCAGATGAAATGTTAAGACATCCATGTAACCGTTTTAAATTAATTATCAATTTTATTAATTTATATTGCTTTGATAAAGCAAGAAGTACCTAGCCATTAAAGTTAGAAAACACTGGGAAATTTGTTCATGAAAATTTTCCAGATAAAATTAAATTCGTTTCATATAGGTAGATTCCTCTTCGTCATTTATTTAAACTTATTTACTCGTTGAATAGGGTACAAAGGGCAACTTAATACTATGGCGCATTCTCCTCCAGTCAAAATGGTTCGATCGAGTTCTTGCAGTAGTGGTTTGAATCCGTCAATACCACAGAGTAAGTAGAGGATCCTTAATACCACCCGAGACGTCGACGATTTTAATATATTTATCTCCGTGTATTATAAAAGGAATTTCTCTCAGTGGACCGACGATCATATTACCTACTGCACGATAATAATGCTGTTCTGTACCTCTAGTAGGAAAAACTTTCGAGTTCGTTTCGTTGCGTATTCAAAGTGTCATCGAAAAATTTTGTATGAAAAATTAAACAGCGCCCCCTATATTATAGCCGCCCTAGGGGGCGCTGTTTAATTTTTCATACAAAATTTTTCGATGACACTTTGAATACGCAACGAAACGAACTCGAAAGTTTTTCGTACTAGAGGTACTGTAACCACATCGTAATTTGTAAACCAACCTTTTAACAAGACACTATCGAAAAAGCGCCATCTACATTAATCACAACACAACCGCTTATCAACAAGTAACAAAAACATTCTCGAATTGTTCATCGAAGTAGAACCACCAAGTTTGTGAAGATTCTAGAATAAATAGACAAGAAAATGACCCGTGATTTGTTCAGTCCTTTCGGAGATGAGGTGGTTTTGCGCTCGATAGACTGGCTGGAAAATTTTCCATGGAGACAGGAAAATTTAGCCACCAAAAAGGATTCTTATGAGGTTCACTTCAACGTGAAAGGGTTTGCCCCAGAAGAAATATCTGTGAAGACTGCTGACGGATACATTGTACTGGAGGCCTTTCATGATGAGAAGAAAGATGAATTTGGATATATTTCCAGAAAGTTAATCAGAAGATACCCTTTGCCAGATGATTGTGTGAAGGAAGATGTGCTGTGCAAGCTGTCTTCTGATGGGATTCTGACTGTGAAGGCGCCTCGGAAGCTGGTGAAGAATAATACAGTGATACCGGTGACACATGAGGGTGCAGTCAAGGCGAAATTATAGTGGTCGTCTTCAAATGTTGTTAGTAATGTGGTGAAGTTAGCTAGGTACTTGAAATCGATTTGTTTTGGACTATGGACTCGATGCGTAAACGTTACAATATTGATAAATATCGTGATCGGATCGTAACAGGTGCTATTTTGCATTAAAATAAAGTGTAAGGCTGATGTGCCGTCGACTGTTTGATAAAGTTGTAATTATTTTTTTTATTATAAAGATTTAAATTAATGATTATTTTAAGCGATATTATAAAAATATTTTAAATATTTACGTTATTTTCTTTGTACAAATCTGATAGTCGCGGGTTCGAATCCCGCGAATATTTTGTTTCAGTAGAACCTGCTTTGTTACATACTAGCTTTCCGCCCGCGGCTTCACCCGAGGCTTTCCCGAAAATTATTAGATTTTTTTTCGCTCTAAAAACCATCCTTGGACTTCAACAAACGTTTAAAAAAAAAGAATTGGTAAAATTGGTCCAGGCGTTGTTGAGTTATGCGCTTACCAACACATTTTGCGATTCATTTTTATATTATTTATTACATTACATTGGGTTGGAAAACAATAATAATTAGATGAAGGACTAATACTGTCTGGTATATTCATTGCAAAAATCAGCATTTTTATTAAGCGTGTTAAAGATTAGTATGGTCGTAAGAGATTACCTTATCGTTCAGATCGCCCTTATCTTAACACTTCACACCATGATACCTACATAATTATAACTTTGAGTTACGGTATCTATCGAATCTTGAATTTCTTCCTCCAACTCGGCCTATAAAAATGATCGACAAAAATTAACACTTATTGGTATGATCATGTTTTATATGTAGCATGTGAAACAGGAGTCAAGAATGAAGCGAGAGAACGAAAAAAACTTGGAATTCAAGGAGCCTTCTATAGGGTCATTTGAGTGCATTCATCGCGACAGGTAAGTATGACTTATGAGACGTACTTAAGGCTTGGTATTTCTGCTAAAGTAGGTATTTCGCGCTGTCAAAATCTGCGCGCGCAATACTTCGGCGAAGACAGCGCGCCAAAGAGCTCTCGCGGCTACACAGTATAGAAATACGCAGTTGGTTAGGTTAGGTTGACTTCCTTCCGTTCAAGCGTCACACTCACAGCACTTTCTAATAAATACAAATCATATCCAAGTGATACAAATTGAAACAACTTTCAAAATTTTTGGGAATATATTTTAGAATCGAATAAATATAGAATATAACTGCCAAAGTAAACACGGTTAAAAGAGGCGTGGCGACACCCGACCTTCCGGAAGTTCCGCGCCGGCTAAAAGAATTTCAAGATTACGTCTCCCGACCTATCGGTAGATCCTCGGGAGCTTGAGCGATTGGAAAAACATTTTATGATCAGTTATGTTACTCGTAGTAGCGATTATTTAGAGCTTGGATAATAAATTACAGTTGTTGCAATTCACAAAGCTTTGCATGTGGTTAATTACATTAATCAGTACACGCATCAATTTTGTTCAGTCTGTTTTGGTTATTTATAAATAATTGTATTGGTCTGGGTGTTTTCTTTCCATAATTTATGTATAACGTATGTACGGGGCTCTGTATCGAAAATCACTATGAGCAATAAGCATCACACACGGTTACCTGGAGTGCATTACCGCAGCAAAAAGCTTGCCATCTTAAATGAACGGTATAATATCGAGGTTTCGTCAGTACAGTTGCGAACAAAGGTGTTTGTGTAGTGTAGTTGAGTTGAGAGGTCAGATTATTGAAATAATAAAACGAACATTTTATTTTTTTTAAGGCTTGGTATTTCTGCTAAAGTAGGTATTTCGCGCTGTCAAAATCTGCGCGCGCAATACTTTGCCGAAGACAGCGCGCCAAAGAGCTCTCGCGACTACACAGTTTGGAAATACGCAGTTGGTTAGGTTAGGTTGAGTTCCTTCCGTTCAAGCGTCATACTCACAGCACTTTCTAATACAAATCATATCCAAGTGATACAAATTAAAACAACATTCAAAATTTTTGGGAATATATTTTAGAATCGAATAAACATAGAATATAACTGCCAAAGTAAACACGGTTTAAAGAGGCGTGGCATCACCCGACCTTCCGGAAGTTCCGCGCCGGCTAAAAGAATTTCAAGATTACGTCACCCGACCTATCGGTAGATCCTCGGGAGCTTGAGCGATTGGAAAAATATTTTATGATCAGTTACTCGTAGTAGCGATTATTTAGAGCTTGGGTAATAAATTATAGTTGTTGCAATTCACAAAGCTTTGCATGTGGTTAATTACATTAATCAGTACACGCATCAATTTTGTTCAGTCTTTTTGTTTATTAATAAATAAAAATATCATACTGAAATTGTTTGTGTTGGTCTGGGTGTTTTCTTTCCATAATTTATGTATAACGTATGTACGGGGCTCTGTATCGAAAATCACTATGAGCAATAAGCATCACACACGGTTACCTGGCAATTGGCAATGTGAGCGCTTTGGATATAAATCTGTAAGCTCACTTGCATTTTAACTAAATAAATAAATAAACCTGGAGTGAACTGAACCATCTTAAATGAACGGTATAAATCGAGGTTTCGTCAGTACAGTTGCGAACAAAGGTGTTTGTGTAGTGTAGTTGAGTTGAGAGGTCAGATTATTGAAATAATAAAACGAACATTTTATTTTTTAAATACATTTTAAAAATAATTTACATTACAGATAACATTGAGAGGATGACATTGCAAGGTGGTGCCAGTCCAGTCTTCAATCCGTTGATATACAGGGTGGAAACGATAAGTGATCTCACTCGATTATTTCTAAACTATACAAGATATCCGAAAACTGGTTACTGATCCTGAAAGTGCTTCACGAGTTCTATCCAACGCTACCAATAATAGGTTACAAAATAAATTGGATCACTCCAAAAATTCAGTGTTTCCAGCTTCCATACATTTACTACTGCCACAGTCATGGTACTCATGTCTTGATAATATTATAGCAAGTAAAGCCTAATAAAACCAATGTTTTCCACGAAGAGTTTTAATGAATGCAATTTACCAGTTAATTTTAAGTGTTTATGATTTAAAATAAAAAAAATAACACTTCTAATATTGTGTGGCTGGCATAGTGGCATACATTTAGTATGGAGGCTGAAAACATTTAATTTTTGGATAAATCCAGTTAATTCTGTAACCTATTACTGATATTGTTTGACAGAGCTCATGAAGCACTTTCAGGATCAGTGATCAGTTGTTCGATATCTTGTATAGTTTAGAAATAATCGAATGAGATCACTTATCGTTTCCACCCTGTATGCTGCATCTGCCATGTTTTTGGCTAAAAGATTCTTCTATCTTGCAGTTTAGACTTTTATTACAGACCTCAGACAGTATTTTTGGAACAACTTTTACGCATGGTGGAGGAAGGGACGCTCTAGAGACTCAAGTCTAGAAGGAGTCACATAAACTCCAAGTTTTAAATCCGTTGACATCTGCTGCATCTGCCATCTTTTTGGCTATAAGATTCTTCTATCTTACGGCTTAGACCTTTAAGCTACAGACCATAAACAGTATTTTTGTGAAAATTCTTACGCATGGTGGAGGAAGGGACGCTCTAGACACTCAAGTCTACAAGGAGTCACATCAACTCCAGTTTTAAATCCGTTGACATCTGTTGCATCTGCCATCTTTTTGGTTCGAAGATTCATCCATCTTGCAGCGTAGACCTTTAGCTACAGACCTTAGACAGTATTTTTGTGAAAATTCTTACGCATGGTGGAGGAAGGGACGCTCTAGAGACTCAAGTCTACAAGGAGTCATATGAACTCCAGTTTTAAATCCGTTGACATCTGCTGCATCTGCCATCTTTTTGGCTAGAAGATTCTTCTATCTTACAGCTTAGACCTTTCGCTACAGACCTTAGACAGTATTTTTTATTATTTATTTGTGTCAGTGTGCTCTTCTAAAGAGTGTAAGACGATTGTATGTAAGTACTATTAAAATTTAATTTTAATTAATTGGTTTTGTCTCATATTTGAGGAATGTACTATGTATCATGAGTAGAGTCTTCGTTTAAAAGGATGCGAACGATTTAAATTTCAATAGGTAGACAAAATTGATAATTTTTAATTATCAAAAATTTAAGCTTTCTCCAGTAACACTGATATTATTATACTGTGACTCATCAAAGTCATCATTGTCAAAAATATTGACAAATCGCGAACTGTCACGGCCAAAAAACTGACACGCGTCCGTCCTCCGTAAGCGCCACCGCGCGACTGATTGAGATTGTCCAAGCCGTCATAGACGATTTTTTCCACATTTTTTAACATAGTAACTAAATAAGACGCAATATAAAAATTTCATCCGTTAAAAGCCCTCAAGTTATTTCTGAACTTTAGTTTATTAAAAGATTTAGAATCTCAAATCGCTTATTTTAAAAATAAAACCATAAATAGAAAACGAATAGAGGTAACTTTGGGAATTTATTCTATCGAGTCAACTTCATCAAATCGTGTTCCCATCCGTTAATGCGTCTTTCCGTTCTATACATAGCCAGAACGCAAGGGTGTGAAACTAATCGAGTATAGTTTGGAGATGACTTTTTTTACTAAGCTCCTCCAAACTATACACGACCAGTACGCATATGCTGCGTACTGCTCGCGTATACTTTGTAGTGACTTAGGTCAATTATCTTACTCCAAAATATACATCGCCAGTACGCATACGGACTAATCATGTATGTATTGTAATAAGTGCGTGATTACAATTAATACGCGAGTAGTTGCATGCTAGTCATTTTGTCTTATTGGCCTCTCTTTCTAATTATATATTAATTCATATCTGCGTATCTACTTTAAACATTGAATCATCTTTCGACACGTATTCTGCCATAGAAAAGATATTTGTTTTGGGGCTGATATTTAATTTTCATCAATTCTCGAATAACTCTTAAATTAAGAATTATGTAGGCATGGAAATATTATTATGTCAAAATGATTGTTGATTGTTCTTGAGATAAAAGTTAATAAATAAAATAAATAATAAATAAATATCCTTAGNGGTATCCTTCCGTTTGGCCAAATTACTTTTCGCCAAATTTCACTTCGCAAACAACTTATCGCCAAAGTTTCATTTTCCAAATGAACTTTTAGCAACTGTACTTTTCGCAACTAATTCATTTGGTCAAATTATCATTTGGCCAAATTTTACTTGGCAAATTTTTATATAGCAAATGTTTTATTTTGCCAAATATTATATCCCAAATAATTTGTTTGGTCAAATTGCACTTCACATACTTACCCACCGTTACCCACAAATCAAACCATAAGGCAGATGATCATGGTTTTCACAAGAATTTTATGTAAAACAGAGATTGCAGAAAACAGTATGGTTGCAGAAAGTAGGTATTCCATAAAATAGTAGGTTAGGTTAGGTTAGAACAGTGACCCTTAACGCGCGAAGGCGAGCGAAGCGTGCCGCGGTAGCGGCCGCCGAGCGCTAGAATCACCTCTATTGTTAATGAATCATTTGGAAATTTCGATAAAAAGAATAAAATATGAAAATTAATTTAGAACAAATTTTATATTAACTACCCACTAAACAAAATAATAACCACAAGTTAATTTGTATTCCATTCTATGCACCAATCAAATTATTTTGTAAATAGTGTATCGTGAAATATTTTTGCCAAATGAAACATTTGCCAAAACATACTTTGCCAAACAAAAATTTGCTAAACAATAATATGCCAAAAACGGCATTTGCGAATTAAAAGTTTGCTATAAGTTGTTATGCCAAATGAGAATTTGCCAAATGAAAATTTGCGAAACGTTGTTTGCGATGTGATAATTTGGGAAACGTTTTTTGGCCAAACATTAGTAATCCTTTAAAGTCTCGCATAATGTATTAATAATGCACGTTGAACTTTCTTCTCTCACTCTCTCTCGTTTTAAATGAATTTATGATTACACTAATAATTGTTATTTAATTTGAAATCTACCTAGTTAATTAATTTAATTTCAAAAACCACTTACAATAGTGTTAAAAATCTAGATTTATTATAGATTCAGTAAAATAATAATATTTTATGTAATAATATCGAATAAATGTAATTTTAAATATAATTTCATATTTTACTAAATCAATATCAACTAAACACACTCTAGTCAATTGTAAGTGGTGTAGTAGAAACTAATCGAGTATAGTTTGGATATGACTTTTTTTACTAAGCTCTTCCAAACTATACACGATCAGTACGCAAAATTCGTGTATAGTTTGGAGTCACAGATTTACAAACGGGCACTACAAAATATACACGAGCAGTTTCCTATGGGTGCGTTCTGGCCATGTATAGAACGGAAAGACGCTCCGTTAATAGCCCTAGAAAATATCCTCAACTATGCCCAATAAAAATCTTAGCCTTTAATTTTACTGTTTAGTACCTCAAAAATGAAAAATGAAAACCTCATTTTCGCCATTTTCTCTGCTACCCGGCCTTAAATGCAAGTAATGCAACGCCTTGTGTGTCATATTTGGTCTATCTATAAGATATTATACAGGATGTCGTTTTAGGTACTGTTCAAACAAAAAGCATCATCACTACAAATTCTTATCCAAATTCTCAGAAAAAATAAAAACATCCCCTTTAATTGGCTGATACTGATGACGTTTTGTATGGAAAGGTTAATAAAAAAAAAATATACTTATTTCTATTGGGGAAACTGCATTTAAGCACTAGAATATTTATTTTGTGTGATCCATCTTAATAAAGGACGCAGCACACTTATCCTATCAATCCGGAAAGGACATTATGACAAGCAGCGACACCCTGTATCAACACAGTGGACTGGAAGTGCTAGGTAGATTACAAATGTTTTACAGACTCTTTGTGTACTTATCTTCATCAGCATGACGTCTTTAATTTCTTAACGAGTTCCGCAAAGTGAAGAGTTGTTTCTATTTTATTTTCGTTGCACGGGTCAATTACCATCCAGGCAAGCGAATCTCACCACTATCTTCAGATTTTTACAGTTGAAAATGCCCTTGTTACATAAAAACTGTAATCATGGATGGATCCTAAGTCGTGATAATTCAGTATGAGGGCAGCGATGGTTTGAAATACTCGTGTGTGTATTTTATAACGATATCTTGGACGAACGTTGACACGCAAAGGTAAGATCGATAAAAGTTTGTGTAAGTTTGTATAGTTTTTTAAGGTTTTCTTTCATGCCTTATTAAGTACCGAAAAGTTTTTGTAGATTTTTACTCAAAGATTGCTGCCTTGAACTTTTATAAAAATAAAGTGGTCAGAGAAGTGTTTTAAACTGGTAAATTAGAACCGATTAATAAGACTGAATTTGTAAGAAACTAAAGGCTGTTAATTAAAAGAGTTAAGAAATAGGTATTCAGTAAAGCTCTTACTTAAATATCGTAGAATTTATTAAAAATAGAACTATAAATAATTACTTCCTTCGAGCTAAAGGCCGTTCGGTCGTACACATCAATGAACGCTCTGTGAGTGGTCCAATAAGAAGATTCCTTGCTTCGAGCACGTTATGTTAATAAGGTCCCATCGAAGCATTTGGGATACTGAGAACTTACTTAATTGTTTTTTTTTTTTCAAGTTTAACTAGACTTAAACAAAAAGTTTTCGCTCGCTCTGTGAAAGTTACCTATCATAACTCATGTAGAGCCAAGCATCTAATTCCACTACACGTCCTAACTCTACTAAACCTTAACCAAAATAATATGGCAATTACCTACTATACAAAAGGAAAACTGTTTTAACTCCACCTCTCTCTTCTTTGTCGCTACACTCTTGCCAGAGTGGTCGTGGTCGTCACACCCGGTTCGGTGGCAATCCTCACAATCCATCGCCATTCCTCTACCTACTTATAAACTCCACCTACTTAGCATGAGCTTGACCTTATGCTGAAAAATACTAATAAAGTTCGAATATTAGCATTAACATCAGCGGTTCATTCGTCAATAAATTTTTGAAGGCAAAATGACTTCGATTCCAACCGAATCGCTGGCGGAGTACATCGTGGTGGAGTACCGATGGGTGATCGTGATCCTGGCGCTGCTGCCGCTCTCGCTGGCCTGGAAGGTGTGGTCCACCCTCAGGAACTACGTGGTCTTCAAAATGAACAGCGCCCCGAAGATGCACGATAAGAAAGTCAAGAGTGTGCAGAAACAGGTATGGCTACACGTTAATATCAAAACTTATCTCTCCTTCACCCATCGAAGCTAAACGCTTGAGATGTGATCATTTTAAGAGAATATAGGTAAAAGTCGATGAGAGGAGTTCCATTAAGTTCTTCCATCAGGCATTACTTTTCCTAAATTAAGTTAAGTTAAATTGTTTATAAGTACTTAAATGTTATTATGAGCTTTGTTACGTCTTGTTTGAATAGTGTAATTGGTACTGCCGTTCTATTCATGAATAAATAAATTTTTATTAGTTTCTTTAAAAAACATTTTCACTTAAAACAGAAACAGTAAAAAGGCTAACTTACCTGGCATTCTCCTCCAGTGGCTCCAGTTAACCTTTGTTTGTTCTTTCTTTTTATTTACCTCAAGAGTCTAGAGGGTTAACTACCTAGAGTTATTCTCTTTTGACCCTTTACATTCAGGCTAGACTCCTGAAAGGGACATCGAAGGTTTAGGATTTATTTCCGGTTTAAGTTGCTTAATTAACTTTTCAAATTTAATAAATAGAAGATGAGCACGTTCACACTGGAAATCTGGTCTCAATTCAGAAACCGGGTGTAAATCAATTTGATTGTTTGATAACAAAGAATTAATCTGAGATTGGTAGACACCTGTGTGTGTTGTAACAACAATGACTAATACTATTTTTATGAGTCTTGTTTTTAGAGATGGTTTACTGGATTTGCTTTGGCGAGACATTTAATCCATAACCAGCAGAGTAGGTACCTACCTACTTAAGGTTAATTAATCCATGCTATTAAACAGAAATATGGATTCTCGTTTTGGAGTCAAAAAAATATAGAATTTTTTTATCCGCCTCTGTTGTCTAGTAGTAAGACCACCTGCTTCAGACGCAGAGGTCCCGGGTTCGATTTCCAGTGGGGGCAGATTTTTCTGTTCGGTTTGGTTGGTGGTAGGGCTTGTTCTAAGTCCGCCTGGCTAGCTACCACCATCTTACCTAAGTCTGTCGCCATAACAACAATGTTAACAGCATTGTTGTGTTCCGGCAGTTAGAGGTAAGATAGCCAGTTCCTCCGTGGTTGAGGATTCCGAGTGAAGCTCGCTTCCACCTTCGGCCTGATCATCACCTACCATCAGGTGAGATACAGGCTAAGAGCTTCCTCGTTGTGTTAAAAAAATATATTTTTAAGCGAATCGAATGTTGCATTAAGTAACTTATTTATATTCATGTATTGAGGCCATGCAAGTAAAGTACCTGAATGGGTCATAGGTGCAGATAATCTTCCATAAAGACATTGCTTTATTGGAATATTCCTAGATATTACCTTTTTTAATGGTCCATTTACAATACCTAGAGTGATAAGGGTAACTCGAGGAAAGTTATTGTTATAATGCAACAAAAATTTAATGTGCAAAACGATTTAAGTACCTGGGTGAATATCAACAAACTCGTTTTTTGCCTAATTCCGGTGGCGAATTTTAATTTCCACTTTCCAAAACTTTTTTGTGGCAGAAATAATAGTAAATAACTTGTATTATTCAATGATATGGTAGAGATCAAAATATTATTAATACTTCTCGAGATATGTCAATTTGAAATTATCAAGAGCCACCGAAATTGTATTTGAGCCACCGGAATTAAGAACCAATCCACCGAAATTTATTTATACAGCGGACTTCGGAATGTTACGGATGATTGTCTCAAATTACTTATTTATTTGTAATCAATTAAGTATTATTATCCAGTAAAGATGTTTATAATTAAAAACAATATTCAGGCCTGTGTTGTGACCCTAAAAAAGCATCAAATCTTCCCACGTGAGTCGTAATAGCCGACTAAGGAATCAAAATACTGGAGGGTGGGCTGCAGCATCTTTCCGGGTATTATACTACCATACTGGAACTACCAACCAGCCTGCCATTGGGGAGGTGAGATAGGTCGATCGTCGCTTCGCGAAAAAAATACGTAACTTTTTGTGATTATCCATAGACATGCCGTCGCTTGCTTGAACAATATTTTCTACCTCTAAAATTTAAACAATTTAATTGAAACTTTGCCATTGAAAACTTAACATGTTAGACTTATTTGTGTAGTATTCGACTTGAACCGTTAAATTCAAATTTAAGGATAATTCATAAAAAACTAAAATTTTCGTCACCTTCGTGGCATCACCTTCGTGGTATTTTATACACGAAGGTGATTTTAGGCCACGAAAGTGATTTCTTGCTTTGGTTTATTTTAAAATATAGTGACTGGTGTTTATGTTTTTACAATATTTTAATAACTAATAAATTATACGTGGTAAGTAGAGAACAGTACATCAATAAATAAATAAGGGCCTCGTATTTTTGTTGTCTGTCTGTATGACTGTATGTATGTCTGTTTATGTGACTGTGTATCTGTTTGTAAGATAAAGAAGAACGGTCACGCCCCATACAAAAAAAACCCAGACCCGACAGAAACGAGACATACCTCAATTTTTTTGTCATGTCTTAATTAGTTAAATTATATATTTTTTATATTCGAAATCTATGTATAACACCAAAATATTACCCTTTGTTTTTGTTCAGGCGTTATACAAAAACTAATACATAATGCCTATTTATCACCAAAATTGGTAAATGTATGTACCTAAATGCCTATTCCAGCTGCTATGGAATGTATCTAGGTGACCTGCAGATACAGCCGGATTATACAGGGTGGAAACGAGAAGTTACGAAATCCAAAAATTCAATGTTACCAGCTTCCATAATCTGTAACCTATTATTGGTACCATTTGAAAGAGCTCGTGAAGCNTCAGAAGGACACAGCTGAGTGATACAGGGAAGAAGAAGTCTACGTCTCTCAAAGCTTCTTTGGAGAAGTAAGAGAGTGTCGAAATTGAGCCACTGTAATTGCTTTTTTCCGTGGGACAGTTTTGAAAGGCTATTTAAAACACTTAAAATATGAAATATCACATTTCTTTCATATCATTTGGAAGTCTTATTTAATGTTTTTTATAGCTATACTATTTTTAAATTACTAGAATCCCCGAGAAAGAAGGAATAACACAATTTATGAGTAGAAATAGAGTTAGGACGCGCCACCGCTATTAGATTTTGGGTCTTTGAAAATTTTTTTAGTACATAAAATAACTACCTATTGTCCTGAAGACTTTGCTATCGTGTAAAACGCTGTATAAACTATATACAAAAAAAAAATCATCGGTCTAGTTACATTTCTCCCATCGATTCTCAGCTCCGCCGCGTAAAAAACGTGTTTGGGATATTCACCAACCTACTTAGTGACAAGTGTGATGTTATCGTTTTATTTGGCCTTCTGATTTTCGTCCAGACATCAGCAATTTAACGTAATACTTTTAAAAAGTGCGTGATACCGATTACTTAGCTATGCCACCTGTGAGATACGAACACGATAATTAAATAATAAGTCGATAGCAACGGATGAAACTTGAGCTGCGATTATCATAATTTTATACATTGTTTCTATATTTGATCATTTAATTTTTCGATAAGGTATAATTAATTTGTAGGCATGACAATTATAACGCTAAGTTAGCTCTGTGTTTTAATTCAATTTTTTGTACTCGTATAAATTCGGAAATTAAAGTCTCTAAAAGAAAAAAGAAAACACTTCCACAAAATTACAGCTCTCTAGTGCCAAGTTTCCAAGCAAAACCTCAGATATACAGACATAACGAAACTATAAGGGTTCCTTGTCAGGACTACGGAACCCTAGAAACGGGTGTTTTTCTGAGTCTCAGACGGAAACTTCGGTTTTTTTCACCCTTCAGCTCAATGAGAGTTGATTTCAGTCAGAGCGAGAGAGCGAGTATGCTTTACCTATTGTCACCCCACCATGCATGTTAAACAGGGTGTTCATAGGGTCGACATTTTTCGTTAAAAAGTTTTTCTACGTCCTGCGAAATCTATGCGACACTTTGACCCTTTTTCCCGATGTCCGCGCTGGAAATGGTGGTCCCCCATAGATGAAAATTTCCCATTTTAATACCATTTGCATTCCAGATCAAAGCCTGGCTCTCAGGCGATCGCAGCACGCAGCTGTGTACAGCTCGACCCACGTGGCAGACCATGTCGTTCCGGCAGGGCGTCTACAAGAAGACATTCACCAACATCAACATCAATCTCGTCGATGTGCTGGAGGTCGACACCAAAAACATGGTATGGTAACCTACTGAGATATTCGTAGCAATGTTTTCGCTAGGTAACATTTCTTTAGTAAAGAGAAAATCTGCAGTTCTGTAGCAAGTGGTAACATTTCTATTTTAACAGAGAAATCTGGTAAATCTGCACCAGAAATGGGTAGTTAAATCTTGGGAATAAATCAAGCAGACTGACGCTATGCTTCAAATTATGTGCATAATATATCTGATTTCAAAGTGAAATAATCTTGAGGTGACTGTTTAACACATTTTATACCTACTTTAGTCTATGCAACAGATTTCTAAAAAATCTTATTCTATTGAATGACATATTTCTGTCCTTGGTTTCCTAATATCGGAACGGACATAAGATCGGGTATCCTTCTGGATCATTCTTTCGCACATTCCAATGTTCGTAAAAGACAGGCTATTCCCACCTCTCTTTCCCACCGCTCGCTGCAACTCTTTTGTAGCCAGGATCTACCGCTTTATCGCCAATAAAAACCCAACTAGTGAAGGACATTAAGGTGTAGGTACATACCTACTTAACGTTTAGCTAATGCATTAATATCATTACTATTTTTCCAGACTGTCCGCTGCGAGCCTCTAGTGACCATGGGCCAGCTGTCCCGAAGCTTGGAACCCCTGGGCCTGGCCCTGGCGGTGGTTCCTGAGCTGGACCAGCTGACTGTGGGCGGGCTCGTCATGGGCACCGGCGTGGAGACCTCCTCGCACGTCTACGGGCTGTTCCAGCACATCTGCCTGCAGTATGAACTGGTGCTGGCTGATGGATCAGTCGTCACTTGTAGCAAGGTATGTCTCATCGGTAGTTTCGAGAAAAGAGTTTCGATTCAAATTATCATCATCATCAGTACTACACTTCTCGACTCTTCTCTAATATGCACCATTTTACCCTGTCGCAACCAGCTTCTGACTGCTTTTGTCAGCAACTTTTCAGAAGTTGGCACTTCATCTAACTGGATAAGGCATCCTACAACTCACTACTATAGTTAAATCATTATTTATTTTAATAATCGCAACATCAACTGGCCAGGATATTATTTCGGAAACTGTTTGTATCCAGGCAATTTGTTAGATATGTTACGGTCAAAGTGATAAATGTGAAAATTATGAATAATCGCCGGTTATTATGAATAATTACCACATGAATTGGTAAATGTGATTAATATGATGTCATTTATGTGTGTATAAAACTAAATAGGCGGCTTAGGGGTGGCCCAAGGGCCACCACCGCCGCACCTTAACCTATTTTTTACTTTAAATCAAAACATTATGTTAAAGGCATCATGGAAAAATAATATTATGCAAGAAACATTCCAAACTCATTATGCCAAATTATATTAATATATGATATCAAAACGTTCAAAAGTTTGGCTGTACACGAGCACGTACACAAGATGTTGTTCTCTTTTATGAAATTTGTTAGTACTAACGTTGAATAATTAAATAATCACTGTTAAATGTGATTAATTTATCACTTTTACGACTGTCGGTAATTATTCATAATAACCGGTTATTATTAATAATTTTCAATTTATCACATTAACCGTAACAGATACATACCTATACTTACGTACATTACATAGGTAGGTTAGGTGTACATTATGTTCAAACCATCAGCTGAATGGTCACCACTTAAGAACTCATTGACCCATCGGTCATCGCTTCTTCGCAATTACGATTAATGTTTATCACGAGAATTGGTTTGCAGCCTTTTTTCGATTCCATCAATGAGTGTATATTGTGTACCTAGTTGGAGCCTGTTAGGTATTATGTATTTTCATGTATCGATCTCCTACTAATTACCTGCCTCACTTATGTATTCAAACGTAACGTTTTTTATTTCAGGATGAAAACCCAGATCTGTTCTATGCTGTTCCGTGGTCTTATGGTACTTTAGGGTTCCTCACTTCAGTCGTCATCAAAGTAGTCCCAGCTAAAAAGTAAGTACCTATAATTTTTATAAATTTTACTTACGGAATATTCCGAACTCCCGTTCCCACCGCTGCTACTCCTGTGTAGCCAGGATCTATAGCTTGACCGCCAATAAAAACCCATATTACTTAATATTTACTTATTACCTAACGCTAACTGCACTACACAAGGTAAAAGTTATTAATTCAATTATTAATTTTTCAGATACGTTCGTCTCGAATACCACCCTTACACCAATCTGTCGGAGCTATCACAGCGGTTCAGTCAAGAGTCTCTGGCGCAGAAGCCTCACCAGTTCATCGAAGCCATAGTCTACACCAAAAACACGGGGGTTATCATGCTGGGCGACATGGTGGACGACGTCGGCTCTGATGGGAAGGTAGACACAAATTTACACTACAGTAAAGCTTTAACCATACCAACCAACGCGTGCAAATCAAAAATTGATTCTGTTGCATGCCGATATGGTATGATGTAGCTGAACAATATATTTTTTTATGTGACCTATAATATGTACCTACATTATGCAATAAATGATTTTGATTTGATTTGATTTGATTTGAAATCGCCATCGCGGCCAATGACAGGTCACGCGAGGCGACCCACGACAGTCTGCGTGACCTATGATCGGCATGATCGCGCCGCGATGGCGACCTGCACGCGTTGGTGTGGTTGAAGCATAATGAGGGCTATCGTTTTTATACTTAACAGTTGGCACCCCTGGCGATTGACAGGACCTTACTCTACAGTGGCGCCATCTTGATAAGTGCAAATTCGATAATCCTCCTACCGCTTTCGCGCTCACCAGTTGGTGCCACTGTCTTTGCTACTAGCAAGTGACAGGACCTTACTCTACAGTGGCGCTAACTGGTGAGCGCTAAAACGTTAGCCCTCATTGCCAAATTAAGAAAAAATAAAATTGAAACGGCACAATTTACCTAAATAAAGTCTACTGTGGTTTAACATGAGCGTAACAAGGCAATTTATTTTTACTAGTAAGGTAAGTGCCCCCTACTTCGGTATATTAAGGCTCTTACGACTTTAACATTTTATTTAAAAATAACCAAGCATGATATCAGTATGAAAGCTTTTGTATGCTAAACTTTGGTCTTTTGACAGTAAGTTAATACATAATTTATAGTTATATAGTTTGAACTTTTTTTTATATTAATTGTTCTGCGGACCTCTTGTTTGGATCCTGTTTCGTGACAAAATTTTGCTCTGTTTCTAAGTTCGTGAACTCATGTCCCCTATTTCGGGATAAGGTTTTATGCATACAGTTAGGATATTTTAATAATGATTAAGGGTTTAATAAATTTAAAAACGATAATAAAAATTTAGAATAAAATAATTATGTGAAATTGACGATATTACTTACCTGAAATATTCATAAGAAATAATGTGAGTCTAGTAAAATATTTTGATTTGTTAATTCTAACAATATGTGAAAATATTTCTATAACCATTAGAAATGTAGGGGGGGGGACTTACCCCCCACCCCCCTCGTACCCATAAATTTTTGATTTGCAACCCCCCCTCCCTTATCCCTATAATCCCACCCCTGGAGCTGTTTCAAGTGAGGGTAGCCCCCCCCCCTGAAAATAACCCCAGATACGCCAATGACTCATAATAAAAAAAAAGTTATTAACTAATTCATTTCTTAGGTAGGTAAGTATTAAAAACTAAAAAATATGTCGATTTCTTTGATGGTGTGTGTCATAAAAGTACCAAACACCATACATTTATATATCACGAACTTGGAAAAAAGTAACAATAATACGGTTCCTTGTTTCGTGATACTGATTATTCCAAATTCCCCAAGTAAAATTCATGGATTATTGTCAAAATGTGTCAATTAACTATTATCTATCCCATATACAATACAAATAAACAAAGATAAATAAAACAAATCGAAATAAAACCAAAATTATGCTGGTACTACTTATGCTAATTTATCTTAAAATTGGTCATATATGTGAACTTCAAACTCGTGTCATATAAATTCTAGTGAACGAAACATATACCGAATTTAGGTCATGAGAAACTTAAATAAATGCATTATTTGTTTCATAACTTACATTTAAATTATCATAAATAATTATTTAAAAACCAAGCATCAAAATGTTATCCATAATATCCTTGAATCGGTAGTGTCACGAAATAGGGGACACCCGAAAAATAATATGTACGCTATTTCGTGAGTCAATTAATCGCAATTTTAAAGGAATTCTAAGGTTTCATATAACTTTTTTCTAAGCCCAATCAATTGTCAAGGAACACATGAAACCACTATTACCAGTTTTATTTAAATGGACGTTCCTTCGCCTTTTTATAAGCTTAAGAAGTTGGAGCGCTAACCTTACGGTGAGAGCAACCTTTGCAAGCCGCACGGCTGTTTTTGGCTCTCTGAGAGTTTGAAGCTTCGTATTGCTCTCATTTTTGGCGCCACAATGTTGGTACTTGGTTTTTTAGATAGCTTAAATAATAGAGTTTTTGTAGTAATAAAGAATTTTTATAAATAATATTCCATTTGCTTATTATTTGAGCTAGAAAAAAAACTTACGAACTTACGTACTATCACGAACTAGTAGCCGTTTACCTTATTTTATTGGTGTAGCTTCTAGTGCCACTTGTCTCACATCAGTCTCAATTCAATTTGAAGAATGGATTATCTCTTTTCAGTTTGGACTATCTTTTCAAGACAGAATCTATATTACAGTATGATTTCAGCATTATCGTAATGCAGTTTATGTATAGTTCTATTTTGTTAGGTGAAATAAAGGAATATATAGGTAGGTAGGTATTTTTGACGCATGTTACCTAACGACATCTATTTTCTTTAAAGTTTCTTCTAACGGTTTCTTGTATTTCCAGTTTAACCCGATCGGGAAATGGTACTCCGAGTGGTTCTACCTGCAAGTTGAGAAGCATCTGAACAGCTACATGAATGGCAGCAACAAGACAACCGTGGAGTATATCCCACTGAGAGACTACTACCATAGACACACTAGGAGTCTCTTCTGGGAGTTGAAGGTGGGTCCTGTTCTGTTTATAGGGTAACTATTGTCAAATATCCTTAAAATTTGTCACTAACCTCTACTCTTCCCGCGGGTGTCGTAGGAGGCGAATAAGTAGGGACTACACATCAGACAGAGAACGGGCAGCACCGCTCTCTGAAAAACATCAGTCTTTTAAACTGCGATCTAACCCGCCTACCAAGCATGGGGATTATGGCAAAACCCTCCACTATAGTGGAGGAGGCTCATAGTCCAGCAGTGGATTGTAAAGGGCTGTTTATGATGATGATCCTTAAAATCCAACATTCTGATCTTCGGTCACATTATGTCCGACGATCTTTCTGATCAGCCAAGGCTTTTGCACGTTACAACCATTACAGCAGAGTAGTTCTAGAATAACTAGAATTTAAAGAAGCCCTTTTTACATCAAGTTTTTTTTATTTAGTGTAACACGACGTTTGACTCACACTTAAATAAGTAGCCCTCAGAAATTTCACTGGGAGATCCTGACACTGATCCTGATTCACAAATCCTTATTCCAGGACATAGTTCCTTTCGGCAACAACGTGATCTTCCGCTACCTGTTCGGTTGGCTGATGCCGCCCGAGGTGGCGCTGCTGAAGCTGACGCAGCCCGAGGCCGTCACCAAGCTGTACAACAAGGCGCACGTCATCCAGGACATGCTGGTGCCCATCGAGTGCCTGGAGAAGGCGGTGATGAAGTTCCACGAGGAGATTGAGGTCAGTAGAATGGTCTTTTGATATGTCGCCTTTCTCTATCATAGGTATGTGGGTCGCACTTGCAACAATTGGAGCGCTGGTTTTGAGCAGACTTGGTATGAGTTGCCTTGGTAAAGCGTAGATGACTATGACTAAATCAGAACTATGGATTAACCATCTTAGGCACGATTTCTTTCTTTTCGGACAACCAGGTTGATAAATTATCCAGGAAATAAAATATTCCCTGAGAAAAATGTTGGATCTAACTGTCCTATTTTTGTAGTAATAAAACTACGACACGTTGGTCGTACGACCCTATGGTCGTAACGGTGCAGTGAAAACACACATATTATTAAATATCTTTCTCTCTCTATTTTTCTATTGGGTACTTTAGTACTTAGTGCTCCTTAATTAAGCAGACTATTTATTTCCAATTAATGTTTGAGGTGTCCATTTATCTAGTTGCAATAAGGCACAAAGGTTTCTTTACAAAGAAATCATGAACAAAACCGTCCAACAGCCGACTCTTTTTTAAATTTTTGTACTTATGCGTTTCCAGGTGTACCCCATCTGGCTGTGCCCATTCAAAGTGTTCAACGACCCTGGCCAGCTGCGGGTGAAGTCGGGGGATTGGCAGATGTTTGTTGACATCGGCGTCTACGGCGTGCCCAAAGCGAAAGGATACGAGACGGTAAACGAGTATCATTAAAAAATAGAGACTAAGGCTGAGTTGCACCACCTACTTTAACCGTGACTGTAACGATAACCGGTGCTTTTGTATAGAGTTTGAAAACCTTCACTTTCTCCGCTACACTAACTTTTCGGAAACCTGAATTTCAGAAAACCTAATTGTTAGAACACCTAACTTACCAGTAACACAACTTTTCGAAACTTACCTTTCTGAAAACCCAACTTTATGATGCCTAATTTTCTGGTAACCCAACTTTCTGAAAACCTTTCCTGCAACTGTAGAACTTTCCGGAAAATCAACTTTTCGAAAACCTAACTTTAGAAATGGTAATTTTCGAAACCTTGTTTTCTGGAAACCCTAACTTTTCGCATATACCTAACCTAATTTAATTACGATATGCATAAAGGTCATAGCATACTTAAGTACCAACTCGGAAAGGGATCAACTCCGTATCACCTTTCGCGAGCTGTCATCGCCTTTCGTGCGCTGTCAACCGCGAGGCGAGGTGTTTACGTTACGGTGGAGTGTCATACAAAGAATACTGACCGCCTCAAGTTGATACAGTTGCGATCCCTTTCCGGGATGATTGTGCTACGTTCGGAATTCTGCATCTCTCTGAAACCCTTTGAAAAATCTTCCAGGTGCCATCAACTCGCCGCATCGAAAGCTTCGTGAGCGAACACAGCGGCTTCCAGATGTTATACGCTGATACGTACACCACCCGCGAAGAGTTCCGCCAGATGTTCGACCACTCGCTCTACGACAAAGTGAGGGACAGCCTGCCGCACTGCAAGGAGGCCTTCCCAGAGATCTATGGCAAAGTTAATAGGAGTGTTAGGAAATAGTCTTAGAAATAAACACTTTATTACTTTACTTTATCATTCAATCGTCTGGTGAGTTCTTAGTATTAATAAAAAGAAAAGATAGCTGACACGTACGTCACCCGCGAAGAGTTCCGCCAGATGTTCGACCACACGCTCTACGACAAAGTGAGGGACAGCCTGCCGCACTGCAAGGAGGCCTTCCCAGAGATCTATGGCAAAGTTAATAGGAGTGTTAGGAAATAGTCTAAGAAATAAATACTTTATTACTTTACTTTAGCATCATTCAATCATTTGGTGCCTTCTTAGTATTATTATAAAGAAATATAAATACGTACACCACCCGTGAGGAGTTCCGCCAGATGTTCGACCACACGCTCTACGACAAAGTGAGGGACAGCCTGCCGCACTGCAAGGAGGCCTTCCCAGAGATCTATGGGAAAGTTAATAGGAGTGTTAGGAAATAGCCTTAGAAATAAACACTTTTTTACTTTACCTACTTCATTCGGTCCAGCGCTGGACATTTGGCTTGTACCTACTAACTAATTCAGTCATCTGGACGTACCTAACGTGCCTTTTTGTATTAACTTATTAGTAAGTATGTATGTACCTACCTAAAATAGTAGAATACGAAAGAAGTGAAAATAATAAACTGATCAGAATCAATATAAGAATCGTCGTCCTGTACCTAAGTAAGTATTTATTCCGTTTCCCACCCCGGCGTATTCTTTCAGTTCGAAAGTTTGATTCATATTATTGTAAGTTTAATAAGTTATTTTTTTGTACTACTTAGCAATAAAAGTTATGTTACCATAAACCGATTGTTATTTATTAAGTACTGCAACGCGATTATTTTTCAGACACCACAGGAATCGACCTAGCAGCCCTTCTAATCAGCAGTTCGTTGCCTGAAAGCCTGAGGACTTAGGCTGGGTTGCACCATCTTACTTTAACTTTGACAAACGTCAAAAATCTGTCAAACTCCATACAAAAAGCACCGGTTATTGTCATAGTTACCGTTAAAGTTAGGTGGTGCAACTCAGCCTTAGTGTGCGCGTGCTTGTCACTAGTGAGCGCGTAAAAAGATGACGGATTGTACAGCGCCCCTAGCGGAAACTAAAATTTTCATATTTTTTAACGCGCTCACTAGTGAGAACGTTTCATGTAAACTCACACCAAGCCCTCTGAAAGCATTGAACTATTGTTACCTTGAACGCTTTGATAGTGCTAAGTCACACGCAGACAGAGCCCAGACTAAAATAAAGCAAATAGAAATAATAATGCCACCTCGCTAAGGCAGTAATTCCTAATGTTTCCATTGGCATTCCTTCAGACCTTAACATTCACAAAGGGCGTGGGTGGTAATGATAAGTATCGTGCCTTATTAGACGCCATTTGTAGGAATGCTCTGCAGTCGACTACATTGTCTACTAGGCATGTAATGCGTGACCCTACATAAAGTAATTGGAAGTTATCATCTAAAGAAGAATATAAAATAGGGAATGAAGTTTGTGTGCATTACCCCAGCAAAATTTTTATAAATGTTGTGCTTAGAGAGTCGAGAGTATAGCAGATAATTAGTCCATCGTGAGCAGAAATTTGTCCACTAAGTAATGCTATACCAGAGTAAATACAATTGGACCTACTCATTTGTATTTACTTTGGCTATGACTCTCTAAAGCACAACATATAACATTTGTCGACCGTTTGGTGTTGTGGTTCAGAACGGACTACAATGCCAAGAGGTCCCGGGTTCGATTCTTTTGTTATACTTTGTATAGAAATAGGTTCAGTTTTTAGGGTTCGAAAAACTGATGCTTTTTAAGGTTTGGTGTTATAAAAAGACCAGTCAGTCCCTATATAGGTGTACCTATCTCTAGATACCTACCTACTCGTATGTATTTATTTTATTCATGATAATTTAGTGATACATAGTTCGTAGAGCTAATGGCCGATGGGGCAGAAAAGTTGTCCAGTGGCGTAAGATATAGTGTGGGCACTGGGCAGGCCCCCCACTATTTCAGGTGGACCGACGATCTTGTGCAGGTCGCGGGAAGTACCTGGATGCAGGCAGCGCAAGACCGGTCGTTAGGGAAATCCTTGGGGAAGGCCTCTGTCCAGCAGTGGACGTCATTTGGCGGCGAGTGATAATTTTATTTTTAAGAGAGTAAAGATACTGAAAGACGTAGCAGAGTGGGCAGGCCTCCTACTAAAGACCGACGATCTGGTAAAGGTCACGGGAAGAACCTGGATGCGGGCAAAACAGGACCGTTCATTGTGGAAAACCTTGGGGGAGGTCTGGCAGCAGGCAGTGGACGTCATTTGGCTGAAACGAAAGATAAAAATCGGTAAATTTTAAGTAAGTACAGTCAGTCATTTCTTGATTTATTTAACAACCAACTAGTTTTAAATTATTCCGGCTAGACTTATTACGTCACTTGCAGGATTGAGACGCTGTGATTGGTGCGTGATCATAAGGAATGTGTTTGTATGGGTTTTATCTCTACGGAGTTTTGTAATCGTCTCTTATCAGTCGCACTTGACCTATTGCCCGGTTAACTTGTACATACATTGGTTTTGCCAATGGACATTAGTAGGTACTTACTTAAGTTATCTTTTTAGCTACGCTAGTAGATATAACTAATAGGTTTCTAGTGAGATAGTGTTTTGAGACTCAATACTAGTTCCGGCAGTTAGAGGTAAGATAGCCAGTTCCTCCGTGGTTGAGGATTCCGGGTGAAGCTCGCTTCCACCTTCGGCCTGATCATCACTTACCATCAGGTGAGATACAGGCCAAGAGCTTTCTCGTTGTGGTAAAAAACAAAAACTCAATAGTTTATTGCTTCCATAATGTTTACAAAAGATGTTATTGGTAAGTATTTAATCATCATCATCATCATCATCATCACCATTTCAGCCATAGGACGTCCACTGTTGAACATAGGCCTCCCCCAATGATTTCCACAATGGCCGCTTGGTGGCGGCTTGCATCCAGCGCTACCTTTATTAGGTCGTAGGTCCACCTTGTGGGTGGGGGCCCTACACTGCGCTTTCCGGTACGTGGCCTCCACTCCAGAACCTTGCTGCCCCATCGGCCGTCAGTTCACCGTACTATAGGCCCTGCCCATAATCGAAAGGGAATGGAAAATTGGTTTTCGATGAATAAAACGAGCACACTAAACCATGTAAGTAATAATAATAATAAATCTTTGGACAATTTCACACAGCGCCAGCTAGCCCCAAAGTAAGCAACTTAATGCTTGTGTTATGGGTGCTAGCTTAACGGATATACTACTTAGGGGAAAGTAGTACGAGTTGATCCCCTGGGGTAAGATGATCTTTCGCGATTGTGCTGAAACGACTAACGTCATTTAGTTTCTTTCACTGTTAAAACATATAACCAATAATAGTTCATAAACGGTATAAGTTAGAACAATAACTTTGAAATCAGATGATAAAATATCTATTTAGCTACATACAAAATAAATTTTATCGTAATAGAAGCAAAAATAATACGAAAAAATCACATGAAACGATAAAAAACGGGGTCATTTTTCGCGTTCTCATCGTGTCACACCTTCGGTTGCAATGAAACATTTGGTTACTGCATTCACAATTTTCATTCAATTTGTGTGTAGCATATACTAAAATCATCGTAATTAAATATACTTTCCACACAATAATCAAAAAAATATCTTCTTATAATTATTTTGAATTGAGAAAGCGAAATACGTTGGTCACACGATTTTAGGTACCTAAAATTTTGAGTAATAATACAAGATTGCCGTTAAACCGAACACCAGCAACCAATCACAGCCCCGACAGAAACGAGACATACCTCAATTTTTTTGTCATGTCTTAATTAGTTAAATTATATATTTTTTATATTCGAAATCTATGTATAACACCAAAATATTACCCTTTGTTTTTGTTCAGGCGTTATACAAAAACTAATACATAATGCCTATTTATCACCAAAATTGGTAAATGTATGTACCTAAATGCCTATTCCAGCTGCTATGGAATGTATCTAGGTGACCTGCAGATACAGCCGGATTATACAGGGTGGAAACGAGAAGTTACGAAATCCAAAAATTCAATGTTACCAGCTTCCATAATCTGTAACCTATTATTGGTACCATTTGAAAGAGCTCGTGAAGCACTTTCAGAATCAGTATCTAGTTTTTCGATATCTTGTATAGTTAAGAAATAATCGAGTGAGATCACTTATCGTTCCATATGTATAACCACCCTGTATAATCCGGCTGTATCTCCAGGTCACCTAGATACATTCCATAGCAGCTGTAATAGATATTTAGGTACATACATTTACCAATTTTGGTGATAACTAGGCATTTTGTATTAGTTTTTGTATAACGCTTGAACAAAAACAAAGGGTAATATTTTGGTGTTATACATAGATTTCGAATATAAAAAATATATAATTTAACTAATTAAGACATGACAAAAAAATTAAGGTATGTCTCGTTTCTGTCGGGCCTGGGTCACAGATGACCGTTCTTCTTTAATCTGAAGTTCGAGTTAAAAGTTGTACAACAAAAATACGAGGCCCTCTGGCCTAAATAAAAAATATATTTTTGTTGAGGGACTGATAATCAGTTAGAGTTCTTTTTTATTGAGGTACTGATAATCCGTTTTTTACTTCTTTAGCATTTCAGAATGCCACCAGTGTCACCCTTAAAACCAATTGCGTAGAATCTTGTAACTTAGTAGGTGACGTAATCGGTAAATTTTTATCTTGTAATTAAGTAGGTACCTATTTATATTATGTTATTGCTATTTATCTATGAAAATAAGACAAAATATATGTTTTATAAACACTTAAGAGTCATTTACAGTAGTAAAGTTTGAAAAAATTATTGCTGTGAAGTACAGAATCACTTTCGTGGCATCAAAAAATTCAAAACGTTATAGCTTCCAAACGAGACTCACTGTTTGACTGATTTACTGAGAATACAATCTTCACATCAAGCGCTACAATTTTTGTTTAAAAAAAGTTGAAATAAGTTAGAAATAAAATTTTCCACGAAGGTGACGATGAGAACCGTGGCGATGAGAAATACCCAAAAACGTAGCTTGTAGATTATTTTAGCAAATATTTAACAAAAAGTGGGACTTGGGTCAAGATGATCCCTTCCTATATGTACAAGATGATCCCTAGGAATTAAAACAAAAAAGTCAATGGAGTAGGTAAAGGGAAGTGAAATAAAATAAAGAGAACTTCATATAACTCACCTGAGTCTGAAGGAGATGATACTGAGTGGCTGTACTGAACAGAAAAGTTTTCAAGCGATACCAAAGAGTGAAGGATGGATAAAATGTTATGCATGTGGAAAATGTTATGGAAAATGTAATGTTTATGGCCCAAGCATGTGCTGGGGTAGAGGGTGATGAAGCAGGTGAATTT